CTGTTCGTAGCTCCTCGAGCTACGTCTTGACAATCAAGCCTGCCCGTACCTGACGGAATAGAGCTTAGACTGTAGTTTAGCCCGAATACAATTGTCATTGGATTGTGCGCCTGTCCCGCCGTGACAGTTAACTACTTTTATTTTTGTATCAGTTTTTAATTTGGTAGAGGTTTCGTGAGGTTTTAGCTTATACTTGAAATAATACTTTTATTGGTAGCTTTATAAAGAATATTTCCTTACACTTTAACTAACAAAATCATTTAATTCTAAACTGTGTTAAACCTACAATAGTTCTTATTATCAATAGTAGAAGAGAACTTATTAATAAAGCATATATTTGACTATATTTGAGATATAACTAGTTATTTATGTGATAAATTAATTCTAACAAAAATTTGAAAATAGAAACTTTTGCGATAATAGCTATAAGTATTGTAACTATAGTAAGAATAGCATAATAAATATCAGGAGATCAGAAATGAAAAGATGTTGCACTAACTTTGAATAAATATCCTATGCTAAATATAAGTAGTTAATGAGAAATTTAGATAATAAAGGGATTTATTTCAAGATATTAAATCGATAACGCCTTTATTTACATCACTTATACTATCAAGTATAACGTGTTTTATCAGCGAGTGCACCATATCAGCGAGTGCACCACTGGTAAGGGCTGCACAGACACTTAGTCGAAGTACTAACAGCTTATTCCCCGCTTATTCCCGTCGTTAGTGCTGCGCCCAATTATATATGCAGCCCTTACCAGTGGTGCACTCGCTGATATGGTGCATTCGCTCATAAAACACGTTATACAGACTGTAATTATAGTATATCGCAACTACTGATTGCAGTGCATCTGTACGTCGAGTGAATCGCGTTGGTCGCAATGCACCAAGTAGATGTGGCTAGTAGATAAATAAAGCGATCGAAACCATAAATGTTACAGGGAGATGCTACTATAGATAGCAAATGAAGGCGGATACTGGGCTGGAGTGCTAAGGCTAAAGGCAATGAGTGGTTTATGCTCCAGATTTCGCTGCCGGCTTCCGTATTCACTCCAAAACCCTTCTCCAAATTCCGCAGGCCCCCTTCTCCACAGTCCCGAAAGGGCACCCACAAGCGGGAGATTTCCCGATCCATAGTTGGCCGGGGTCCGGTACTCGTCGGGTGTAGGGCGACTTTTGAGGAGAGCTGGCTGCATGTCCCGGGTCTCGGAGCTTTGTCCCGTTCTTGGCGTTGACCGCACATCACCAGCGAGCGATCACCCGAGCATCTGAGTGTCGGACACTCTGTGTCCGGGGCGAAAAGCAGAGTCGGAACTAAGATTGAGGAGCCTCCATTTCAGGACTCTCTTCGTTGGGACGTGGCCGACGAGCAATCCGCTGTTCAAGGAACCCTAAGGAAACCTGGATACTACCTTCGCCATCAAACTCCAAGTTCCAGTCAAGCAGCTGGCGTCTGCCAGCACGAGGCGGCCCGTTTAGAAGCTCGTCGAGCTGCAGCCTCTGCGGTGACGGGGTCTTGGGAGAAACTGGCAATGCAGTCCATGTAACACCTAGCTCCCCACCTTACTGACCGATCTTCAGAAGTATGAATACTGACTAACGTTACCCAAAAGTACACCTGCTTTAGAATTAACCACGCCCAAAGGAGACGTCGGAAGAGCTGTCGTATCACCCTGCACATCCTGGATCGGTCGTCTTGCATCCGCCTTGATGTCCTACGCCATCACGATGCCGAATCCCCTAAGTGTACAGCTCAAGTGATCCTTTCCCACCTTTCCACGCCAAGCAAGCAGCGTCAATGTCTACGCAGGAAACATGAGTTCGAACGTAATGACGATCAACCCTGTCTTGGGAATCGGGCTTGCTGCTGTCCTTCCCTACCCTCACTCAGTGTGCCCCTCTCATGTCCTTAGTACGAGGCTTTTGCGCATTCGGAAAGCTTTCCATGGTGATTATACGTTGAAGGTGTATCGGCTCCTCCGCAGATGGTTCCCTGCCCATCAGCCGTCAGTAGACCAGCTTGTTCAGGCAGTGAGCGCTTAGTTGCAGCCTCTGTTGTGAGTTCGCGTCATTGGGGGGTCCAGTCTTTCTTGAAGTGGCACTCACTCCTCCTGCAGACTAAGAAAAAGAGGCTGACGCCGTGTGGACGCGAAGGACAGTCTGCGTGTCGTTTGGTCTTCTTTCTCTTCTGTTTCAGCATCAACCCCCGGGCATTCTGGCATTGTGTCCTTTAATCCCCCACCACTGCTTCAAGATCCCACTGGCTAGAGGTTGAAAGCTTGTCTGACAGAGCCTGTTGACTGCTGATCGGTGATCTGGCTACTGTCAAGTCCACTACTCAGTTCGGAAGTCTGTGAGAAGTCGTCTGGTGGTTAGAAAGGGCTCAACCTTGGGAAGATATCACTCGATGATACGCAATACTGACTGGGCTTCAGCAATCCCTCAGCCCTGGCAGCCATCATCAACATAAGGCCAAGCCAGCTGGAGACCAAGCACATATCGGGGCGCATACTTACATGTCAGAGACTCCCCGCAAACCTTGGAACACAGCTGCTTCAAATAGCCGTGGCCACCTTACTCAACCGTACGGCGCCCGAGTCCGAGAGCCAGGATACCTGACTGGTCTCAACTTAGCTCGGAGGACACTAGTCAACTTTTGCCAGGCACCTTCAGCCACTTGGGTCTTTATCATGGTGGCAGAATCAAGACGGGACGCGGACAACCATATTGCTTGCGGAAGAAGAATGAGGCGGGCCAGTGCCGAAAGGAGACTTGAGAAAGCAGAGGTCACGACACACGAAGGATTTGGCATTCGTGGGCAACGGAAAGGTTCATAATCTCAAAGTAGTGCAAGCATCCATAAGCGACCTCTTCGGACAAGAAGTCATGTCCCTTGGTCACCGCTTGCTGCGAAGAAGGAGAAAGTGGAAAGCAAAAACGGTGACGACAACTGACCTTCCTTCGAGCGGTCGAAGCCTGCAGAGAAGGACCTGGGTCGCTCCTTCCTGCTCGAGCTCAAAGCAGGTTCCTGCGCCGCGATAACCACTGCCATGTTTGCTCGACGAAATCCAACCTCCAAACTTATCAACGACGACCTCTTCTTGGAAACCACGAGGGTTAGCAGCATCCTACCACCCAGGCCGGCTTCCGTGGGCTTCAGTGACGACCTTATATTGCTACTGCCCATACATTGAGTTGGCAACATTTAGTCGAGTAAGTCCAGCTTCTTTCCCGTCCACTTTGTCATGTTCGCTTGTCTCTCCTTCTGCTTTCTTGCCTATGATCACATGCATGCTCCTTCACTCCACCTCTGCAAGCAAGTTAAATCAACTGCACATCACTCCATCCTTTCGTCACGGCCACGGTTACTGGAGTGGCAGGTCCACAACCACCAGCGTTCCTTCCTTGACTGCAGCTGCTTGATGCTCCTCTCGGCCTTTCCACGTTTCCGTAAGGCAAAAAGGCACTGCTTGACTGTCTGCAACTGCCAGCAACTGGGGACCCGCGTGCCCTTAAAATCCTTCTCCTCTGCGAACTCAAGCCAAAACCTTTTCTTGGTCTGTTATGGACTCTGCTTCCGATCTTACAGCATCAACACTCCCATTCCATCCCAGACCACCGCAGTCTCTTCCATTCATCTTGCTGATAGCTCGATCCATCTTCTTAATCCCTTCTCTCCATCACTTGCATTCGACTCTTTGGTACTAACATTTCCGGTCGTTGAGTGGCTCGGTTTCTTGACGTCGATTCATCTCTGACTCTGCTTCCACCGGCCAGAGTCGATTTTGGAGGTGAGTCCACGCGTCGATTTCCCGGTTGCAACAACTGGCGCGCTCCGCCAAAGCGCACACGCGTCTTTTCTGCGAGATTTCCTCGCCTGTATTTCCTTTTCTCACTCGATTTCTGATTCTGCGATCCTCCTCCTCCTCCTCCTCCTCCTCCCTTCTCTTTTCACCAACCCAGCTCATCCTTCGTAAACCTTCATCAACCTCGGGCCTCGCCGCCACCACATCTCAACGGCATCTTTTGCAATTTGGATTCATTCGGCGCGGCATTCCTTGCTTCAGCATTACTGATACATCGTCTTGCAGAAGGCTTCATCTGTCGGAAAATCAGAATCTGCTAAGGTAGGTACAGGAGTTGCCCTCCTCCCAGTTCCTCCAGCCTCGCTGCAACAGCCCCGTCCTTCCACTCCGTTTCTTTGGCCTGGGAATTTCTACACTTTCAGTCCATTTCGAAGACTGGTTTTCTGGAGACCGTCTTCTCTGTGCAAGATTTGCTACTTTACTTCTGCCTCCCAACAACAAAACTTCACAGACATCAAGACTGATGCTGGACTTTAGGCTTCACAACGACCATGGCGACCTATCGCGCCCATACCATGTCCTCGGATGCTGGCAACAATCGCCATGCGTCGTACCCCGCATACTTGAGCGCCCAGCTTGGAAGCAACCATCAGCACGATGTTCCGGGCTCCCATGGACAGCATGTCGGAGCCCATTCCGATGCTGCCCTTGGTGCCGTGATGAGTCAATTCAGCACTCTGGCTCTCCCCCCGGCCCCCGGCACGCAGCTTCAGGCTCATCACGCCTACTGTGCTGGTCAAGAGCAGCCCGTCGCCTACCAGGGCTACTCGATGCCTTTGCACGTCGGAATGGCGCCCGATGCCGCCTACTCTTTTGGAGTCTCCGGGCAGTATCCTGTTCAGAGCGGCTTCGCGCCCTTGCCTGTCCCCTACCACACCATGCCTTACACTCCTGGTCGAGTGGCGTCCTTTGCCGAACGCAGCAGTGAGGTACCCGGTCTGGAGAATCGTCGCGGGTCCTACTCTACCACTGAGTCCACACCTGCTACGCCTTTCTTTGGCAGTGCCTCGGAGCGCGGCAGTGCGTCGAGAGTTGCCGTCTTCCGGTCGAGCTACACAACTCCTTCTCCGGAGCAGATTGTGGCTCCCAAGGCGCCCCAACCCATCGATGAGGATCTCCTCGCGCTTCTCAAACAGGACCCTCCCATCCCCGAGGCTGTTCCGGCTGTTTTCACCCCCCCCAGCCACACCAAGTCCCTTGAGCAGTGCCTGGAGAATAGAATTCATGGAAACCGCAACGTCTACATCCGCGGTCTCCATCCCACCACCGATGATGAGCTTTTGCTCCGGTATGCGTCCCGGTTCGGTAAGGTCGAGCAGAGCAAGGCCATTATTGACACCTCGACGGGCGCTTGCAAAGGGTATGTATTTCAGCTATTTACTGTGAATCCGATTGACACGTTTGCAGGTTCGGATTCGCCAAGTTTGCTGATGTGCGCGACTCCGAGAAGTGCATCCGAGGCTTCTACCATCTTGGCTATGAGGTCGGCTTTGCTCGGGTAAGTTGTCGCGCCACGCGGTTCTGGCACATGCCTTCGAAGCTGACACCGAACTAGGAGAGTTTCAATGCCAGACTCAAAGCTGAGGGTGATGAGACCTCGACAAATCTGTACCTGTCGAACCTCCCCAAGCGCCTCAATGAATCGGTCAGTTCCGTCTCCATGAGATATGGGTTTTCATGTTGACTGACGTCTACTAGGAGTTGAATGCCATTTTCGCTGGTTACCATGTCGTCTCCAGCAAGATCCTCCGTGACAGCATGGGCAACAGCCGTGGCGTCGGCTTTGCTCGGTCAGTTTCGCATTCATTCTCCAGAATGACTTGCACAGCGGTTTGCTGACACCTGTTACAGTTTCGAGACTCGTGAAGAGTGCGAGGACATAATCAAGAAGTACCACGGTGCTTCCATCGGCGAAGAAGGGATGTTGATGCAGGTTCGGTATGCGGACACACCGGCCCAGAAGGAGCTGAAGCGGATCACCGCCGAGCGTCGGCAGTTCCGCACGAACGAGTACAATATCGGAGCTTATGGCACGGCAGACGTTGGCATCCATCCCAGCATCTACAGCCCTGCTCCGTGGAATCGCCGAGGTGGCATGGGCGCTGATACGTACGCTCTCTCCATCTGCCGGACAATGGAACCCGAACTGACTCTGAACAGCCTCTTTGCACCTCGCGTCCCTTCGATCCGTGCCAGCATTGGCGGCAGCGCGAGCGTGGGCTCCTTGATGGGTCAGAGTGTGGGACACACCCCCAAGTATGACCAGCACCAGTGTCTTGGGCGGCTCCCTGAGCATCCCTACTAATCATCTGTACAGGCAGAGTATCTCGGTGCCCGGCACGGTGTCCTCTGATGACGGCCTGGGTGGTGACAACGCGACCGTCGTCGACTCCCCGACGGCGAGGAAGGGCAGTACCCAGTCATCGCCCACCGTGAAGAAGGAGAAGGCTTAGGTGTTTGTCGATGCTTTTCCCTGAGTTCAGGTCTTGGGGGTTGTGGCGACGTGTAGGACTTTTCTTGTTGGACCCCCTGACTTTCCTTATCTCTACGGTTTGTCGCAACGATATCGGATACGTCACTATCGTCATCTTGCTTTTCTTTGCTATCACAATGGCCCGGACTGGACGCGAGTCGGTTTTCAAGACAAAGTGGTTGTCAGCTCACATAATCAACTCTCTACTATGTCGGACAGGAGCAGCACAATCTTAGGGATGGACTCTTAGCCTGTTAGTCGAGGGGTGGGAAGGGCAGCCACCAACAATACTCTTTGTACGTCGTTTCATCTTTCAAGGGAAAAATGGGCTTCGATCTCGGAGCCAAGCATGACAGTATGGATCAAATGGAAGAGATCGCGCCACTTTGCATAAACCGAGGTGTGCAGCGACCTAGTGTGACTGATGGGTGGGCAACAACTCTGGCGCAGCGAAATGGACAGAGTTTCTGTGGGAGACGATTGCACGAGACGCATCAGGAGGTGGTGATTTTCGCAAGAAAATTGATTCATGTTCCATCGTTGATTGTCAGTTTCTGTAAACCTTCTTCGCTCTCTAGGGGGATTTGGTCGCCGATAACCACTTGTTCCTGGTCATCATCTTCGCTCCCGCTCTTAATCTCCTCCTCGGAGTCCTCCAAGTCGTCCGAGTCGTCGGCATCATCATTGGAATTAGCCTGCTGCTCCCGAATTGCAGCCTCCAGGTCCTTGGCCATCTTCTTGGTGAACCCAGAGGCTTCCACCGCAGCGTCTAGCCTTCTCGCGCCGTCCGTGCCAACCGTCTTCTTGGCGTCCTTGAAAAAGGGCCCTGGCGTCGTGCTCGTAAAGTGGAAGCGCCGTGAGAAGAAGCGCTTGATGCACTCGACATCGCGGTCAAAGTACATTTCGGCGTTTTGGTGGTCCATCGAGACCATCTGGGGGAAGTCGATGATGATTGGTGTGAGGATGATGTTGTCCGAGTCTTGCTCGTCTTTGTCCTCGCGAATGAGGATGTTGAACTCGTTGAAATCACCGTGGATCAAGCCGTGCTTGGCCAGTCGCAGGATCAGCCCGATCAGGTCGGCGTAGAGGCTGGCGGGGTCTGGAACGGATGAGATTTGCCGCATCGGCAAGGCGTCGATCAGGCTCATTACGATCGTGTGCCGAGACTGGGCGATAGGCTCGGGGACGGGGAAACCCTCTTCTCGCAGGGCCTGCATGAAGGCGAACTCCTTGATGGCGGCTAGCCGGGAGAGGTACATCCAGGAGGCGGACTGGCGGTTCTTGAGGTAGTCGCGGTTGGTCTTGACAGTGCGAAATGAGATGCGGCCAAGGCGGTGGATTTTGAGGACCTTTTGGGTGCCCTTGTCGTCGGCCACAACCATGATGTCGCTCTCCTTGCCGACGCCGATGCGGCTGCCGACGCTGTATACATGCTTGCGGGCGGCGTGGGTGTGCAAGGCGAGGTAGTCGAGCCCGCCGTAGCTTAGCCGGTAGCCGTCGTACTTGGCCTCCTTCATGCGCGCGATCAGGCCGGCTTTGGCGAGGGCCGAGATGGACTTGTGCACGCCGCTGGCGCCGCCCTTGAGGCGGGCAATCTTCTCGATCAAAGGGGTCGGCACAATCTCATGGTTCTTGCTGCCCATCTCTACCTGTGGGAATGGGAATGGAGTTAGTGGGGTGAAGCGGCGAACAGGGATAGAGAACAGAAACTAACTGCTGTCAACACCCTCCAATCCTCCGCCGTCAAATGGCGCATTGCCCTCGTGTCTAACTTCATGGTAACAGATGCACCTTGACCAAAGACGGACGGTGTGCCAAGTAGTTTTGGTTGCCGACTGAAAACCTTGGAGCTGAGTCTCAAAAGTAAGTCTAGTCCTAGGAGCAGCCCCTCCACATTGAAAGTGTCCCAGAAAATCATGGTCCGGTGCTGATAAGATAAGTAAGTAACCTAGATCAAGCGGGCTGCGCACTGGTCCCACCTCAATTCAGCTCAGCTTCTTGCAGGGTTTGGTTAGCACGGTGGAGAACTGACCGCTGGTTGGGCGCCTCGCCTCAAGGCGACAAGCAAGCATCGCGTAACCAAGCTGCCTGCCTTGGCCACCCGATTTGTTTAAGCTTCAAGTTTGTTTCCAACGAACATTCAGAACTCCAAATCCTTTCATCAACCCAACCAGTATCCACGATTGATTTTGCCATCAGGCGACCGGAAACGCCAATTTCCAACTCCGATACTACTCCGCGATCTCCGCTTCACCTAGCTCCTCGTCGCCGCCCGCCTGTGCTCTAGGCTATCCCCTCCATCCGAGACCCGACCATGGCGCAAGAGAGTGATCTGGCCAAGACGGCCGACAAGGGCAAGGGAAAGGCCGTTGATAATGAGACACCAAAGGACAAGGCTGGGCAGCCGGTGGCAAACGGCAAGAAGGACGACGACAAGGCCGAGTGTTTGTTTTCCCTCCCCTGCGCTGCCCACCGTCAAGGCCTTGTTCAATTTCCGGTTGCGCTAACTGTCGACACCAGCTTCAGAAGAGCTCAGTGAGGAGGACCAGCAACTGAAGAGCGAGCTTGACATGCTCGTTGAGAGGCTGACGGTTGGTCGTCGAAATCCCAGTGGCCATGTGACCCTTGCTTACCCGTGTCATCGCAGGAATCCAATGCGGAGCTTTACAAACCGGCACTCGAGGCCATGAAGACGCTCATCAAGACGTCGACTTCCTCCATGACAGCAGTCCCCAAGCCTCTAAAGTTTTTGCGGCCACACTATGAGACGATGACGAAGCTCTACGATGACTGGCCAGCCGGCGACGACAAGAATTCTTTGGCGGACGTGCTGTCCGTCATCGGAATGACCTACTCAGACGAAGAGCGCCAGGACACACTGAAATACCGCCTCCTCGCCCCCACTCAGGATATTGGGTCTTGGGGCCACGAATACGTTCGCCACCTCGCGCTCGAGATTGGCGAGGTCTACGCGAAGCGCATTGCCGCCGACGAGCCAACCGCAGACCTGGTTGACCTTGCGCTAATGCTTGTGCCTCTTTTCTTGAAGAGCAACCAGGAGGCAGACGCCGTCGACTTGATGAGCGAGCTTGAGATCATTGAGGAGCTGCCCAAGTTCCTTGACGAAAATACCTATGGAAGGGTCTGCTTGTACATGGTCTCAATGGTCAACCTGCTCACTTACCCGGAGAACGAGCAGTTCCTGCGGGTGGCGCACAGCATTTACAAGACCTACAAGCAGTACACTCAGGCCATGGTGCTTGCCATTAGGCTCAACGACCACGAGCTCATCGAGACCGACTTCGATGATGCACCAGACCCGGCGCTCAAGAAGCAACTCGCCTTCCTCGTCGCCCGTCAGCGGATATGCCTGGATCACCCGAGGGAGACGCCGGATGACGAGGAGATTGTGGAATGCCTCGGTAACGTGAAACTACCGGAACACTTCAAGGCCCTCGGCAAGGAGCTGAACATTCTCGAGCCCAAAACGACCGAGGACATCTACAAGAGCCACCTGGAGAGCAGCCGAGTGGCTGGTCTGACCAACTTTGATTCGGCCCGCAACAACTTGGCAGCAGCCTTTGTCAACGCGTTTGTGAACGCCGGTTTCGGAAACGACAAGATGATGCTTGTTGAGAAGGATAAGGAAAGCTGGGTGTGGAAGACTAAGGAGGAGGGCATGATGTCTACAGTGGCTTCCCTGGGAACACTGATGATGTGGGATATTGAGAACGGGCTAGATCAGGTCGACAAGTACACCTACCTCGACGAGGAGCAGATTCAGGCCGGCGCCTATCTTGCGATAGGAATCATGAACTCGGGCATTCGGTTGGATTCGGAGCCTGCCTTGGCTCTGCTCGCCGACAACGACAAGCTCAATCACAAAAACCCCCTGATCAGGGTAGCCGCGATCATGGGCCTCGGCTTGTCGTATGCTGGTTCCAACAAGGAGGAGCTACTGGCCTACCTCCTGCCCATCATCTCCGACACTAGCCAAGAGATGCGTGTGTCGGCAATGGCTGCGCTGGCTTGCGGTTTGGTGTTTGTCGGGTCTTCGCATGCAGAGGCTGGCGAGGCCATCATCATGACCTTGCTGGACGATGAGCGCAAGAGCCAACTCACAGATAAGTGGACGCGCTTCCTCGCGCTCGGCTTGGGTCTGCTTTACTTTGGCCGTCAAGAAGAGGTTGATGTTGTACTCGAGACTTTGAAGGTCGTCGAGCACCCAATGGCGAAGCCGACATCTGTTCTTGCGTCCATCTGCGCCTGGGCTGGCACCGGCGCTGTGCTCAAGATCCAGGAGCTCCTGCACCTGTGCAATGAGCACATGGAGGAATCCGACGAAAAGAAGGGCGACGAGCTGCTCCAGGCTTATGCTGTGCTCGGTATCGGCTTGATTGCCATGGGCGAGGATGTTGGCCAGGACATGGTCCTCCGCCACTTCGGCCATCTCATGCACTACGGTGAGGCCAACATCCGAAGGACGGTGCCCCTGGCCATGGGCCTCGTGAGCCCCAGCAATCCGCAAATGAAGATCTACGACACGCTTTCACGGTACAGCCACGACAACGACAACGATGTCGCCATCAACGCCATATTCGCCATGGGCCTTCTGGGTGCCGGTACCAACAATGCCAGGCTGGCACAGCTCTTGCGTCAGCTCGCCAGCTATTACCACAGGGACCAGGAATCCTTGTTCATGGTGCGCATCGCGCAGGGCCTTCTGCACATGGGCAAGGGCACCTTATCCATCAACCCCTTCCATACCGACCGTCAGATCCTGTCGCGCGTCTCAGCCGCCGGCCTGCTCGCCGTCCTCGTGGCCATGATTGATGCGAAGCAGCTCATTACGTCCAACTCGCACTACCTGCTCTATTTCCTTGTCACGGCCATGCACCCGCGCTTCCTGGTCACGTTGGACGAGAGCCTCAAGCCGCTAACGGTCAACGTGCGTGTCGGTCAGGCCGTCGACGTGGTTGGCCAGGCCGGCCGTCCCAAGACCATCACCGGGTGGCAGACACAGAGCACGCCCGTGCTGCTCGCATACGGCGAGCGCGCCGAGCTCGAAGACGAGGAGTATATTAGTCTCAGCAGTACCCTCGAGGGCCTGGTCATTTTGCGCAAGGTATGTCTGGGTAACTCCGTCCTCTGAAGGTCCGTCACATGCTAACTCCATGCCAATACAGAACCCGGAATGGGAGGGTGGTAAATAAGCCATGAGGCGGGGCTCATTTGAATCAAGGGACCAAGAAGCAGAAGAGACGGCTTCCGGCCGAAGAATGGATGACGGATGTGTACAGTAGAATAAAGGTAAATGAGCTCGACCCGGGTCATTTATTGAGGTGGCAGGGCCAGCCGCCGCGGCGGTCCTGGACGGGTTCTGGTTGCTAAAATGCTATCATCATGTCTTCTGGGTGGCTTGCCCCCATATACTGTGATAGTGCTCTCCATGCCTGCCCTTGAGGAGACCGTGCCGGCGGAACGCGAACCCGAGCAGATGGAAGATGCGCGACTCTTATTGCTCAAGACAAAGCAGGGTCTGCAGACAACTGAATTAGCAAACACATCGGTACATGTACCCATCCACATCGATCCATTGTAGACAGAACCCCTTTTCTGCTGTCCAACGCACTTCCATTTGCCCAGAACCAAAACTCCTTGCTTGATAAATTCAAACAAACGCGGCAGTGAGTCAAGGAGTTCCCAGGATTTCCATACCAATCAACGGACCAAGCAACCAGCCCATTTCAAACCCAACCCCTCGGACATTTCAGCCAACTTAACTTTACACATAGAGCCAACGCAGATTTTACTTCTTAATCCCAAAGATATTCCTCTTCTTCTTCTCTTTATCCTTCTTCCCCGACCCCTCGGAACTAGGCAAGGACGGGGACGAGGCAGCTCCACTACTCAGCGTCATGCCAGCGAGCGCCTTGGTCGGGGCCCGGGCACCGCCGGGCGGCATCTGGCGGGCCATGCCCGTGGCAACCTGGGGCGGCAGCTGCTGTTGAGCTTGTTTCGGTTGTTGCTGGATCAGCGGCGGGGCGGGCCGCTCAAACAGGTGGGCGGGGGCCCTCGGCGGGGGGCGGTCCATGGGCAGATCGAGGCGGCTTCGGTCAGTCTTGAGGACGCGCAGGTCGGCGATGAAGCGGGCCGGGGTGAGCATGTGGCTCGTGGCGAGGAAGACGTCGCGGTTGTGCTTCTCAGACACCTCGTAGCATGCGCGGGCCTCGGAGTAGGTGGCGCCGCCGGCGACAAAGACGATGATGCGTTGGCGGTTCTCGGCCTGGCGACGGTTGGCCGAAGCCCAGCGCGGAGCGGCCGAGCGGAGGGAGGCCTGGTGCGTGAGCGACTCGGCGCCCGCGTCTGCGGGGGGGACAATGTAGGGGAAGAGGGCGGGGTCGAGATCGCCGGCGCAGGCGCGCTCAAGCATGTGCTTGACGGCCGGCTCGAAGCGAGAGAGGGCGTATTCTTCGTCGGGAACTGCAGTTTTGGGGTTGAGCGGGAAGAGCGGAGGGGCGGGTTGGCGGGGCTCTTTGAACTCCTTCAGGGGGCGGGCGCCGAGAAGGTCGAGGTTTTCAATGACTGCTTGGTCCTGGCTGTCACGCGACCGTTGCAATGATGCGTGCCAAAGAAGGCGAGTGATATCTTTGTCAATCATGCCGTCCCGATAGAGGGCATAGATGGCGATAAGACGCAACCTGTCCGCCGGTGCGACCGCTGGGTCATCCAACAGGCGGACAATCTGATCGAGGATGTTCTTGGGTTTCTTGTAGTCCTCATCGAGGCCCGTGGCCAAGGTTTGTTCTACTGAGGCAATGTCTGCGAGCTTGTACTTTTGGAAGATGTTCATGGCTTCCTGCGCCATGGTGAGGTGAAGAGCATATGCCTGCTTCATCTCCTGGAATTGTGGCAACCCCGCCAGCATATCCCTGATGTCGTGGAGGGTTGTGGCGTTAGCATTCTTTCCCGCAAGCTGGGGGTTCTGGTCAATGAACTTCTGGAAGTCACTCATGAGCTTGTCAATGGTGTCCTTCATGTGGCGATGCCGGTTGCTAACCCAGACGGGGTCTTTCTCCGCAAGCTCCATGTCCTTTTCTTGCGCGTCGGGCGTGTTCTCATCAGCAGCCATGCGGAAGGTCATCTTGCCATCTTCCCGGTCTTTTATTGGGAGCAGGTCGTGAGCCATGGCCTGGTAGGTGAACTCGTGTAGCAGCGGGGCCATCAGGTCCATTGACCTGTCCGTGATGAGCAAGACAGACTGGGGCCGCTGTGACGGAGGGGGAAAGTTGCGGTCCCACTGTTGATAGCCGTCTAGCTCCTGCTGGACGAAGCGGGCCAGATGTAGGCACAAGACCCTCGCTTCATGCCTGGCGTGCTCGGGCGGCTGGTAGTACCGGATCTTGGGCAGCTCCTGCAAAGTGATACAAATCGAGGCGATCTAGCGGGCAGCCTCCTTAGCAAAACAAAACTCTCGCGGCTTTTTCACTCTGGTATGATCCGAGGAGCTCGTACCTTTGACGCCAATGTCCGCAAGTGGCGTGCCACGAGGTCGTTGCAGGTGGGGTTGTACAACACGAGGAAGCTCGAGGGGTCTTGGAAGGTGATGAGGTGGGACTCGCGTGGGTAGAAGTCGACCAGCAGCATGTCAGGGGGTGCTACACAGGCAGCGTGAGCATAACGGTGCCATAAAGCGTCAAAGACAACGACGACCTGGCATACCTGCCATCTGCCTCCGGGCGCCATCCAGGCGCCGTTGCAGGGGATCCGGCACTGAACCAGTCCAAATGATGAAGGCCCTCCTGTACCTGCGGCGCTCAAAGTCGGCGAGAAGACAATCGACAATGTGTGGTTGTGGTGTGAGGATGTATATGGCGTCCATGTCTGGATTCATCTCCCTCCGCTCCTCGATTCGCTCGATGTCTAGGACCGGCTTAGTGCTGAGTGACCCGTCATGAGTCAAGTAACACGGAGGCATACTGGCAATATTGTGACTGAGAATTTCATCTTCGACGACCGAACTGTTAATGATCCTCTTTGCTGTTTCGTCGACCACGAGGACTTTCCACTGGGCGGACAGGCGGGCAAGGTTAGAGCGGGGCTCACTTGGACGAGGGGCAGAGAGCCTGAGGGAGGAGCTCACATCGTTCGGGGCAGTTCTGCGGATAGCATCGATGATGGCTATGGAAACTTGTTATCGATACCGCATACGGACCACCAGAGGAGACAGTTGTGTCCGGAAGAGGAAGCCAGCTTACCTTTGGCATGCTCCTTGATGATGGAGGGGCCGTCCATAGCGCACGCGGTGAGGCCAGAGCCCAGCTCAAGCCCCAACAGCAAGCTTTCGATAAACGGCCAACAGAAAAAAGTTCGAATAGAGGGCGCGAGAAGGCCGGAGGGAGGAGGGGCGGATGCGAAAGCTTAACGGTGCTGAAAGGGTTCTCAAATCGACACTTCGAAACAAGGTGTTGTTCGATTGAGACATGTCAACCAAGGTGCAGCGGGATCGGGCATTGCGCCAGTCCGGGGTACAGAGACAAAATTTAGCCCTAACCCTTCACTCCCACGAGGTGCTTCTGTTTCATCATCTATGGCAGTCCAACCTTCAACGCGCTTCTACACTTCAGACGATGTAAACTCATCGGTGTTTACAACACAGATTGTGAAAACATAGCCATGTCGGAATCTATGCACGATCAACAGAAATGCAGTCCGCACGCGGTGGGATGAGTGACAAAGTTCCGTCTTGCTGGTGTCGTCCACTGAATGGACACACAGAGGTTCTGTACCGGTATGGCATGGCGGACATCGGGGCCCCCACCCCCTTACAAACTGGTCGGGGGAACGGTTATTCCCGCAGTTGCCTGCCATTGGCTGCCTTGACCTTTGCCAATTGGCCTCCTGGCGCTGTTTTTGGTATCCGACTGCTTGGGTCGGTAAGCCGCATGGCTTGCTACATTGTGGAACCGGGACCACAAACTGCAGGAAACGCTTCACTTCGGTTTCCAGCATCGAGATTCAAGACACACGTCGCCGCTGTCGATGTGGCGATCCAGGGCATCGTCCTGAGCTGGACATCATCCGTGGGCTGGCGAAGCCTGTTGGGACTGGTACTTGTATCTCACTCCTGCTAGTACCATTCTCTGTAGTACCCTCCAAAAAAGCGGGGGAATCAAGGCCAGTTGTGTCGGGCTGCCACATGAGACATGTGGATGGAGGTACTTGCCAACCACCTCTGGCCTCTCCCGCGCCCTGCCTCGACTGCCTCGAGCCCGTTTGGGGAGTTTCTGCGTCAGCAAGCTAGGATCCTGGTCTGCAATCTCCCACTCCAAAGACGTGCCACTCACTACTGCAGCCATGCTGAATCCCCGTTCTCCTCCTCCAATGGACCAGGTTGGCTCCCACATGGTGTCTGCATCTCCCGCTTATCAGCACTCGTGAGATTCTTTAGCTAACCCCACAGCAAACTTACTGTGTTGTTTCTGGGCTAAAGACCTTCCAGTCTCGGTGGGTGAAACGGCATCGACCTGCAGCTGACTTGCCGGTTTGAGCTTCTTGCTGCTGAATCCTGTGCTGCCAGCATCTCCATTCTCCAGGATGGGATGGAAGACACGTACCACTCTTTTGGAGCCCTTATGATTCTTCTTACTGTCATGCCTTCGCCTCATACTACAGCATGTCATGAAACGTCTCTCCTAGCGATCTGAAATCCGTAACTTTAAGCCCTCTCAAAGCCCATTTTCACTTCGTCTTCTTCTCCATCCCTACCATGTCTTCCACCGCTCCCATTTCCGAAGTAGAAAGGGACAGTCCTCGTCAGCTTGAGAGTCAGAACCAGCATGAGCCTCAACAGGAGAAGTCGCCTTCCCAGACCAAGTACTCGTTCATGAAGAATCTCCTCTCATCTCTGAGGGTAAAAGAGGGCGAGGTCTACGAGGCCAACTACGACAGGAAGCCAAGATGGTATCGAAGACTGGTGGACGCCGGGGTTGAAGAGAATGGCATCATGCCAATTCCTCTGGAGCAGCGGATCTCAACCCGGTACAGCAACCTCTTTACTGTCTTTTTCACCTGCCTTTTATGTCTGCTCCCGTAAGACCTCGCTCCCTACGGTCGAGAAGTCCAGTCGCTGGCCAGGCGGCTGACTGCATCTCTCGCCAACAGAATTCCGACCGGCATGCTGGCCACACTTGGCATGGGCCTGAGCCTGAGAGACGCGTCGCTCATCATCCTCTTCTTCGCACTGCTCACCTCTATCCCACCCGCTTTCATGGGCATTGGCGGCATGGAGACAGGTCTGCGCCAGCTCATACAGGCCCGATATTCGTTTGGGTGCGTACGACAGCGGCTTCGGTCCTTCTTATTGTTACTCCTGTTCCGCTACCTCTTCCATTCGGGCCCTCTTTTGTCCTCCTATAAACTTATGTGCTGACAGCTGGCCAAAGTCTCTACTTTGTCATGGTACCACTCCTCCTCAACGCCGCCACCCTGACGGGGTTCTCCCTCCTCTCGGCCGTTGTGGGCGGCCAGACTTTGAGCTCCTTGAACACGGACAAGGTCAACGTCGACGTTGGCATCGTCATCATCTGCCTCGTCGCCTTCGCCGTATCGCTGCTCGGGTTCAACGCCCTCCATCTCTGGGAGCGCTGGGCTTGGATCCCCAACCTGATATCGATAGTCATCGCTGTCGGCTGTGGCGGCAGTCATCTCCATCTCCAGGGCGAGGCGCGGCCTGCAACGCCGTCCCAGGTTCTGACGTTCGGCTGCCTGATCGCGGGCTACTGCATCACCTTTGGTGGCACCGTCTCGGATTACTCCATCTATCACAAACCTCACCGGGTATCCAGGTAGGCTTGAATTTCCTGCCCTCCACCTCCCCGAGCGGCCGTTCACAGCAGCCGAGCTAAGGGCAACCAGAATCAGAGTCTTTCTCTACATCTACTCCGGCCTCCTGTTTCCATCCGTCCCGCTTCTCATCCTCGGCGCCGCCATCGGCGGTGCAGTCCCCAACGTGCCCTCCTGGGAACAAGCGTATCATGCCACGGGAGTCGGCGGCGTCATGAGCGAGATGCTGGCCCCGGCGGGGGGTTTCGGCAGATTCGTTCTCGTCGTCCTGGCCCTCAGCGTGATCGGCAACATTGCCATCTCCATGTACAGCGTTGCGCTCAACCTGCAGATGCTGCTGCCCTTCTTTGCCAAAGTGCATCGATTTCTGTTCATCCTGGCAACCATGGCCATCATGATTCCCATGGCAATCCGCGCGGCCGAAGCTTGGGAGGAGAGTCTGACCAATTTCTTGGCAGTCATTGGTTACTGGGCGGGGTGCTTCGACGCGGTGCTGATCGTAGAGCTGCTGGTGTTCCGCCGAATGGACTACTCGACGTACGATCACGGTATTTGGAATGTCGGAGAGAAGCTACCGTCGGGGTTGGCCGCAATTGGGGCCTCGCTGGTGAGTCTGGCGCTGGTCGTTCCCGGCATGGCAGCGCCGTGGTATACGGGTCTCATTGCGAAAACGACGGGAGACATTGGGTTCGAAATGGCGTTTGTCGTGACGGCAATTAGCTATATGCCGTTTCGCTGGCTGGAAATTAGGTGGAGAGGGCATTTGTAAAGCCAGTCCTGCACCTCGCAGGGAAACAGAGATTTGCTCTTAGAGGAACGGAAGATGACACCTGCCGTTCATCTTGAAACCCTCCCGCACAACACCACATCCTCCCCCAACGGGCACCACGTCACGTCCGTCAGCCTCACCGGCGGCGCCGGCTTCCCGTTCTCACCAGCGGTCCTCGGGGGCGACACCACCACACCTCCTTGACCAAGCCATGTGGGCGCAATAGTCACAATCACCGAATCAACAAACCGATTCACGGGCGGCGCCAGCAGCGAGTTAATCACGTCCCCGCCACCCTCAATCATGACACTCCCCAACCCCTCCCTCTTCAACGCCCGCAGCACATCCTCCCACTCAAACCTTTCCCCCTCCCTCCTCGCCTCCAGTGGAATATACCTCCCCCCAACCGCCTCCAGAACCTTCCTCCTCCCCTCGTCCACCACCGTCCCAGAATTAACCAAAACCCACGGCCCCAACCCTCTCTGCTCTCTTGCCAGCACCACAACCTTACTCCCCTCATGCACCTCCCACCGCGCCCGCGGATCCAGCACCACCGGCCGCGGCTGTCTTGCGGCTAATGACACCTCCGTGTTGTCGTCCTCGAGAAAGACAAGCCGTGAATTCAGGCCCGGATCGTCGGCCACGGCCGTCCCGGCGCCGATGAGGATCCCGTCGTGGTGGGCGCGCAGGAAGTGCGTCATGGCTTTGGACTGAGATCCCGAGAGGGCCGTGCGGACGCCTGGCGCGAGGGACAAAGCCGCGTCGAGGGAGTGGGCGTAGGTGAGGGTTACGTGCGGGAATGGAGTGATTCCCGAGGAGGAGCCGGAGGAGGAAGAGGAAGCGACCGGGGGTAGGTAGGGTTGGATAAGGGCGGCATGGTGGGAGGGGAAGGTGAGCGGTTCTTGTTGTTGAGATTGAGGTTGGGTTTGGGTTGACATGGTGGGTAAAAACCTGGTGTCCGACAAAGAAGAAGGTGATGAGTGTAATATTGATGAATGATGGGCCGAGTTGCTCAAAGGCGCTGCCAAGACAGATGCGTTCTCTTGTATAACTGTTCGCCAGTTTGAGTCGTCGAGCGGCGTTTCAGAGGACCGCTGTGATACCTGCATCATGCTGCATGCTCCGCCACATCTTGCGCGAGAAGCTCGCAGTCAACCGGCGGATCCGGGGGCTGGCAACTTTCGATTTACACGCGCCTTTCGCAGTCAAAATTCTTAGTCAAGTTGAGATCAATTGATGAACGGAAAGTTACTGCACAGATGCTATGACGTAACAGAACAGTACGGCCCTTAGCTGAGCAGGCGTGCACTACCTTCCTCGGTAATAACGTTACCATGAGATAAGGTTAACGGCCGTCGTATAGAGTACTCTGTAAGCAACTTCGATCCATCAAATTGCGAAAAGAAGCTTTCCAAGGTGCTCAGAGTTAGATCTGTCTTGCAAGCGATCTGCAAAGTTGATAAGGCTTGGAGAAAAGTCAGAATCGGGACTAGCATTCGACAACAAAAACTATAAACGGGTCGGAACAAAGATGGTGGGCATTGGTTGTCGATCGCGATGAGCTCAAAGAGTGATGGCCGGATGGGATGGAGATTGCCCGTCTCCGGCAGATGCGGGAGCTTCTTGTCATGCCAAGCCCTGTGCTCAAACACTTTGTACCATCCGCATCAAACCCTCACGCGTCTCATATGAAGCAATGCCGAGCACCCGGCCTGGTAATATTCCCGCCAGAGTAGCAATCTTTCACTCAGTCAGCCCAGTGACACGTACTTTCGCCAACACAGCCACGCCTCGCCACGCAGGATCACCCGCATTTGTTCAAGCCGACATACTCTCCAACGGAGCGCTGCACCCTCCATTTCTTGCGACACAGTTCCTGCAACCTCTAACACCGTCTCAAACTCTTCCCCACCACTCTAACTGCGCTTGTTCGTCGCCCGCTCAGAGACCTCGTCGCCCATTTCCAAGCAACGCTCAACATACCTTACCAAGTACGACATCACTCAATTTCTAGCACAATGTCGCAAAAATACGACCAGCCGCCCGCCTACAGCGCTCCCCAGCAGCCACAGCCATCCTACTACCAGAACCAGGGCGGCGCCGCAGCGGGCTACTACCAGCAACAACCGCAGATGGGCTACGGCCAGCATCAACCGCAGATGGGCTACGGCCAGCCGGCGCCGCAGGGGGGTTACTACCTGCCGCAAGGGCAGCCGCAGCAGAAAAAGAGCGGACCGGTGAGTGTTTCTGTTTGAGATTATCGTGTGGTGGTCTCCTTTTCTCAGGTGTCAATCATGCTGACGTCACGTCGTTGGGCAGGGTGTGTTTGAGGCGTGTCTTGCTGGCATGGCCTGCTGTTGCTGCTTGGACATTTTGTTCTAGACAGCCAAATGGGAAATCAAATCGGTACCATGAGAGAGCGAGGTGGCCGTCGACAAAAACATATTCCGGATGATTCACCGCTCAACCGACGTCCGGCGCAGGCTGGTCCGGTCCAGCGCGGCTCGCAGGAAAATCTCGATGGAACACCGAATGTCCGACTAAAAGGGCCGACGGAAGAGGGAAGCTTTTTGCGCGGGATATGGATGGGTCGGCATTGGGCAGAAACAGCGCCAGGGGTGCAGTTTCGCAGCATAGGAAGGGATGGGCGTACAGCGGCGCGACGACTACGACAATTTTCTACGGATCTCCTATGTCGCGGTTTCGGAATTCTTTGTGTTTCGGTAGAACTTGTACTCAACCAGGTGTCTGCCTCTTTTAGGGTATGCGCCATAGGGGCCGCCAATAGGCGGTGGTATGCTGAATATCCAATACTTCCTTTAACACTCCCCGTCACCTCAGAGAGTGGCAAATAGCCGCTCGTAGTTGTCGTTGGCCTCCTTGATCCAATCGTGCGAGTAGATCATTTTTTGCACGTCCGGGCTGGCCCACTTGTCGGGCAGCGAGCCCGTCTTGCCGTTCTGGCGGAACTCGCGATCCCGCTCCTCCTTGGCCTTGCCCTCCCCGAGGTGCAGGATGCGCCCAGAGTGCGCGGCCAGGTCGACCAGCGCGGTGCAGTGCGGCTTGCGCAGCACCTCGTACACTTTCAGCGTCTTAGTCAGCGTCTCGGGGTCGTGCACCTTGTCCGCGGGTATCTTGCTGACGACCTCGGCCAGAACGGCGCCGTCCTCGATTGCCATGGCTGCTCCCTGACTAAGGTGAGGCAAGGTCGGGTGGCATGCATCGCCGAGCAGCGCCACCGATCCGTGCACCCACGTGGGCAGCGGTTTGTGCACGCGCAGCTTCCACTCGCACACCTCGCCGTCAGGCACTAGGTTGAGCATGCGCTGCACGAGCGGGCAAAAGTCCTCGTACACCTTGAGCATGTCCGTCTTGGAGCCGCGGGTCGTGTAGGTGGCGTTGGTCGCCGACGCAAAGTGGTCGTCGGGTTGCGCCGACGAAAGGTTGTAGATCTGCTTGTTGCTGACGGGGTAGGCGATGATGTGCCGCCGCTCGCCGACCCAGCGCACCACCGTGTCGCTCTCCAAGAGCTCCAGCATTTCCGGGTCGTGCTCCATCTCAGATCTCTTGAGCATGATGCGGTACGCGGCTTGGCCTGTGTCCTCCTCCTGCGACTCGGTGCCTAGCTCGGCAAGCATCTGCGTGCGCGTCCGCGACTTGATGCCGTCCGCCGCGAGTAACAGGTCGGCCTCGAGCGTGTACTCGTCGCCGTCGCGCGGCTTGAACGTGACGCTGGGTTGGGGGCCGAACGAGTTGATCCGGACCAGCGCCGTCGAGAAGTGAAACTTGATGGCGCTCTCCTTCTTGCAGCCGTTGAGCAGACCGCCCGCGAGCGACGACCGGTGTCCGGTGCAGTGTGGAAACCCATACTTCTCTTCGATGTCGGGCATCTCGACGTGTGAGAGCTCGATGTTAGTGCTCCCCTCTGCGACCCAATCAGTTACACCCCCGGGTCGATCAGGCACGACTATTGTTGAGGTTTTACTTACGCCTGATGCTGGTTCCCCTGACGTTGGTTGCCTCCGCGAAGATCTCTTGCCAGCATCCGAGACGGTCAAGTACACGGACGACGTTGGGAGGCATCTGGATGCCAGCGCCAACAAAGCCAAGGTTGGAAGCCGTCTCGAAGACATCAATGTGCTTGAATCCCTTCTTGGCGAAGGCTAGGGCTGTCCCCAACCCGCCCATGCCTGCAGAGCAGGTTAGCACCCGCTGTCGCTGCCTGAAGGGATCGGTGAGGGAACAATGTAAACATACCCGCACCGATGATGACGATGCGCATATCGCGGATGTCCGCCATGGCAGCGAATTGGCGATGCGGTCTAAGGTAGTGATTGTGTAGTCGGTATATGTTCAGAGAATTAGGCCGAGTGCTGCGTAGGTTGGTGAACAGGTCGAGCTTGGTAGTTTAAGAGTTGCTCGAAGAGGCAATTGGCTCGAGATATGTGAAATGCCAGGACATTGGAGAAATGGTTAAAGTAAAACCGTGCCTTCCTAGGTCCCTCACGTCCATATATACACCGGCCGCGATGTCCCTGGGTCTAGCTCTCGGCACCTGCTGTCGCAGACACACCCGCTACCCACGTACGCTTCAAGCCATCCCACATCGTGATTCGTGTAGCATGCGGCGCCGCATCGGGGAGCAAGTGGGCCGTGGCTGGCGTAGTGCCCTTTTGACCGGAGCCTTCCATCGTCAGTCACATTCTTCAAGAGTTATCCCAATCCTCGAAGGACATGTCTGCAGGAGCACTCTGGAAAAGGGGCCTTGCGGTGAGTGTGGGGTGTCAAACCCTGGAGCCTCGGTGGTGCGGGGAAGACCCAGTGCCGGGACAATCTTGGGACCGCCGCCAATCCCGTTGGTCGGGATTCACAAGCTGCTTAGGGAAATGGATTGGCCGATGCATACACCGGAGACCGCCCGGCCAGTCGATCTATAGGCCATGGACTCCATAAGTTGACGAGTTCCGGCCAAGCTCTCAGCCGACATTCCAGGTTCGTCGGCCTGGCCTGTTGTGTTTCTAACGTTCTTCCATGATGCTGCGTGTTCTCGGCCTTTCGTGGTAAAAAGCCATGGAATTTGAACTTTAACTCCTGGCATCGGTGTCGTTCCTCGGAGCTTGAAAAACTCCCGCCAGCAGAAGGTTGTTCCTGGATTCAGCCCTAGTTTGTTTGTTAGAGCATGCCCAATAGTTGGAATGAAAAAGAATAAAAAAAGACATATTGCGGTAGATGGGAATGCAAAAGCACGAATGTGGCATGAAAAAGAAGAGATAATAGAGAGAAAAGAAAACAGAATGCCACACATGATTTGTTTCTTGTTCTCAATTCAGACGCTACAGAACAAACCAGGGCTGGATTATAGTTGTTTGAAACTGTCCTTTCGGAGGTTGGCGAAAGAGTCTCATTTGAACATCGGTCAGAGTTAACTTTGTTTGTAAGCCGACAAGAGTTTGTCTTTGCATCAAAAAGCGTGGAAGCCTGGAATATAGCAGGTGACGGCAGCCGGCTTTCCGTTCCGGGTCGTCAAGCAGGCCAGGACTACGGATCGGTGAATTGGAGCTTTCTCCCCCGGATCCAGCATTAGACATCTTAACAGCGACTCAAAACTTTCTCGCTATGCATGCGAGGATATTTAGGCTTCGCCTTCTGCCATCCAAGCTGTTACGCTGAGTTGGATGACCTGCTCGCGTTATCTCAAAGTGGTCGCTGGATTGGGACGATCTGCTCCCCCCTGCGAGACATGTTTCGGCAGGTCGGCAACCAGGAACGCGGCCCACCCCGCACACACGTGCTTTGAATCGCACCTCGATCAAAGCTGAGGTTAACCAGAATTCCAGTGATAAAAGAGTAAATTTAGGCCCAACAAAGCGCGCGCTTATTATTAGCACGAATCGGAGGCATTGGAGTCTTTTCGGTAAAGTTTGTCGGATGTAACTACCTACCTGAACAAACACTACTCATTGAACCTGGAAACACGGTGGGGAACCTTCAAGAAGGCCGACTTGGCGGCAAAGCCAACCCTAAAGCTGGCCATTGAGGTTGCTGACCTGTGATAGAGGAAGCCGCACCGACGTCACTGGCAAGAGCTAATGAGCAACCAACCGCGGTTGCCAAAATGTTTCAGACGAACGTTCCCTCGTCCACTTGTCGACTTTAGCGACCTTTTTTGGCTTAGTTTCAGGCCCAATGCCCTGGACCAATGACCTAATGACGGGCCGCAACACCATGCCCCTGTCTTTGTGCCCTGGATCTTGTTTTTGTGGGAGGACGGGATGGGCATGCGCTCGCCGCTTTTCCGTTTCCTCCCATATGACGGGCTGGCCGTGTGGTATCGCCCAGACTCTGTTCTCATCACCATCTCGTGTCCCTCTTGTATTCCTCTTGTGTCGCCCTGCTCCCTCAAACTAAAACCTGACCCTTCTCGCTATACACCTTGTCGCCGCCGTCTCCTGGCCCTCAAAACAAGCGGGAACACGGCTGCTGATCCTACAGTTCGTCGTATCCCACAGTCTACTCCCGGCGCGCCAAATCGCATGGCTTGCCGCTACCGTAGACACCGAACTCGCGACAGCGTGGTTTGAGTCATATTGCCAGCAGTTTCAAGGAAGCATCGACCGATCAGTATCCCACGCGACATCGACCTCCATGAGTAGTACAACCCTGACGTCGGGGTCGACAACGACAACAGCCCCTGCGGCACAGTCGACGACTGCCATCCCCGATGGAGCAGGATCCGCCCAGCAGTCGACGGGCATTAGCCTCATCGCCTTCATCACTGCCTTGGCTGCCTCGTTGATAGTCTTCGGCGTCCAGATGGGATTCTTTTTGCTTCTGAGGAACAAGCTGGTCAGGATATTGTGTGTTGGCCTCTTGTTCCCCTACTTGTTGCCGGGAGCATGCTGCTGACAGACTCGATGACAGCAAACCAAAGACCTACTTAGTCCCCGAACGAGAAAGAACCGAATCCCCTCCCACCAACCACTTTGCCCTGGCGTTCAAGCTCATGAGCTTTGAGGACCGCGAGATCATCAAGAAGTGCGGCCTCGACGCCTACTTCTTCCTGCGCTACCTACAGACCCTCCTCATCATCTTCATACCCATCGCCGTCGTCGTTATCCCAGTTCTCGTTCCCCTCAACTATATCGGAGGGATGGGACGCGAAGTCGTTAACAACGCCACGGTCGACGGCTCCAACCGCACCGTCCCCACGGGCCTGGACACCCTGGCGTGGGGCAACGTCGCTCCCAGCAGGCAAGGTCGGCGCTGGGCCCATCTGGTTCTTGCCCTGCTCGTGATCCTCTGGGTTTGCGGCGTTTTTTTCAGCGAGCTCAGGGTCTACGTCAAGATCCGCCAGGATTACCTGACTAGTGCAGAGCACCGCTTGCGCGCCTCGGCCAACACGGTGCTCGTAAGCTCCATACCGGACAAATGGCTCACCGAGGAAGCCTTGAGAGGCTTGTTCGACGTGTTTCCCGGAGGCATTAGAAATGTCTGGCTTACCCGGGACTTCACGGCTCTCCTCTCCAAGATACACGAGCGTGCTAATGTCCACAAGAAGCTGGAGCAGGCAGAGAGCGAACTGATTCGCACCGCGAAGCGGAAGCAGCTCAAGCAAGCGAGAGAAGGCAGCTCAGTCCACCGACTGAAGGGCGAAAGCAGGGCCGACAGAGCGGTGCGTGTCAAAGCACAGGACCAAGAGGCCCAGAGACGTGCTGAGACCGCCATAGGCTTAAGCGCCAACACGCCGCACGTACCCCAGGCGGTGCAAGAGGCGGTGGCCGAAGCGGACGACAAAAGTGGCACCGATATGTCCGACATCCAGGAGTGGGACGAAGCAGGAGAGAAGCGCGAGGGGCACAAAAACCCGCTTGCTAAGATTGGGCAGGGTCTAAATAAGGGCGTCGCTGCCGTCAGCGGCGCAGGACTGGGCCTCATCGGAGGGGCGATAGCCATCCAAAGGACCATCGGTGATGAACTGGAAAAGACCGCCGGCTTTGACTTTGCGAATCGAGGTGGCCAACCTAGTCCTGTCTCAGCGACAATGAGCGATCCCGACTCTTCCAGACGGGACCAGGTGGCTGCGGATCAGGACGATCGGCCCAAGACGTCGTTTGCATCAGAAGCCCCCTTGACTGGGAACGTCCGCCATGCCCACACCTCGTCCAACGTCTCCCACGACTCGGATACCAAGAAGGACGCCGCTGGCCCCAAGATCTTTGGCAACACGACCCGCCGTGCTACTAATATGGACGAGATGATTGTTACCGAGCAGACACGGTGGTATCAGTTTTGGAAGCCGCCGACGGGAAGCTATGCGTCTCCGATCCCCCAGGGCTGCGAGGACGGCGAATACCCGTGGAAGAAGAACCAGAAAAAGACATTCTGGCGGATTGTGAAGGACTCGCTCCCCTTCCTAAGTGGCCACGAGCCGCCCGTCGAGTACCCAGCTGCGTATTCTCGCGACTACTCGAGCCAACCCGAGGACGATGCCGAGTGGAGGAAGTGGCTAAAGCCGGAGGAACGTCCTCATCACCGGGTTGCCAACTTCCACTGGACACCCTCATGGCTGCCCGCACTACCCTTGGTCAACAGGAAAGTAGACACCATCTACTGGTGCCGCGCCGAGTTGGCTCGGCTGAACATGGAGATCGAAGAGGATCAACGGCATCCAGAGCGCTACCCGATCATGAACTCGGCCTTCATTCAATTTAACCACCAGGTCGCAGCCCACATGGCCTGCCAGTCCGTCACTCACCACATCCCAAAACACATGGCGCCTCGCATGGTCGAGATCTCACCTGACGACGTCATTTGGGACAACATGGCCATGTCGTGGTGGGGCGAGTGGGCGAGGCGTGCGATTGTCTTCGTTATCGTCTCCGGCATGGTCATTCTCTGGGCTTTCCCAGTCGCCTGGACGGCTTCGCTCGCCCAGATTGATGCTCTGGTTGAAAACTACAGCTGGCTGAGATTCCTAGTGGAAAACAAGATCGTTGAGAACGCCATCAAGGCAATTGCTGGTGTTTTGCCAGCCCTTGTTCTGACCCTTATTCTGGCGCTCGTGCCCGTCTTGTTCGGCTTCTTGGCCGTGTTCCAAGGATGCAAAACGGGCTCGCAAAAGTCGGAGACGGTCCAGGTCTACTACTTCACGTTCCTTTTTGTTCAGGTTTTTCTGGTCGTTTCCATCGCCTCGGGTACCTTCCAAACGCTCGCCAGCCTTTCAAAGGACGTTACGTCGACGCCCAACGTTTTGGCTGAGAATCTCCCCAAGGCGGCTAATTACTTCTTCGCCTATATGATTTTACAAGCGCTCTCGACAAGCTCGGGCACTCTGCTGCAGATCGGCACGCTCTTTGTCTGGTACGTGTGGGCAAGGATGGTGGATAACACGGCGCGGGCGAAATGGACACGCAACACTCAGCTACCCACCGTGTCTTGGGGTTCGTTCTTCCCGGTGTACACCAACTTCGCGTGCATCGCCCTCATCTACTCGATCGTTGCGCCGCTCATCTCCATTTTCGCCATCATCACTTTCAGCCTGCTCTGGGTGGCCCACCGCTACAACATGCTCTACGTCACGCGCTTCAGGACTGACACAGGCGGCGTCCTGTATCCGCGAGCCATCAATCAGACCTTCACGGGGCTCTACGTCATGGAACTTTGTCTCGTCGGCCTCTTCTTCCTGGCCGAGGACGAAACAGGCACGAACGTGTGCTTCCCGCAGGGCATTATCATGGTCATTACCATCATCCTGACGGCCCTGTACCAATACCTCCTAAACTCGTCCTTCGGGCCGCTCCTCCGCTACCTCCCAATCACGTTCGAAGACGAGGCCGTTCTTCGCGACGAAGCCTTCCAGCGCGCTCAGGCCCGCCGCCTCGGCCTGGTCGGAGATGACGAAGACGACGAGGCCTCAGCGCTCAACCGCACCGGACCCGCCGTCACCGGCGACGCAGGAGCAGCAGCAGCCGACGATATCGAGCTTGAGAAGCTGCGGGGGCGCCGCGCCCACAATCGGACCGGCTCGGTACTGGGGCGGTTTAGGCCGGTCAAGGGCATTGCGCAGGCGGGCACGTGGGCGGCGCGCGGCGGCAAGCAGATCCGGGCGGCCACGTTTGGCCGCGCCGAGGAGTCGCTCCGCACGGCGGCGCAGTACCGCAAGCAGCGCCGGCAAAAGGACCTTGAAGCGCAGCGCGCCATGGGTGACGCCCTCTACGGCGGCTACTGCGACGTCATTGAGGATCTCACGCCCGAGGAGCGCGACGTGCTGGTCAGGAAGGCGTTTCAGCACTCGGCGCTGCGAGCGAGGAGGCCCGTCGTGTGGATTCCGCGCGACGATATCGGGGTCAGCGATGACGAGATTCGGAGGACCAACGAGTTTAGCGAGTACATCTCGATCACCAACGAGGGCACGGCGCTGGATAGCAGGGTGAGGGTGTTGTACGGGAAGAATCCGCCTGACTTTTCTGAGGTGGATCTCATTAATCTTTGAGTGCGGGGTCGGAAACAGACCGAAAGGGTTTGGTTGTACGTTGGTATGCTATATATCTCATGATGATGAAGGGGGGGAAGGCCTTCGGTGAGGGGGTCGAGGAACAGTGGGAAAAGGGGGGCCGTCAAGTGCATACAAGTGAGAAGGAAATACCCCGGCGTTTATTTCAGATTTCAGGTTTTAGCAACAGCATCGCATTCATCAGGCAAATCTTCTGGTAACATCGCATTTGGGGCCTGGGTGGATGTATGCAAGGTAGGCGGCATACGGCTCAGGAATAGCATTGCATTTGCTGATTAGAGCATCATCTACCTACGATACCCGACGCCAGTGTCGGCACTTGAGTCTTCTAGTCCTCTGAGAGACTGGATATCGAAGCTCCAGGGTTGGTATTCTCATATGTTACATGCACACTTGTACTCCGTTTCTGCGTTTACTGTGAATTTTGGGCCTAGAGTGACGGCAAAATCCCATGCATAAGATGGGTAGTGATTATGAGGCCTTAGGAGGAGTCAAAAGCCACTACAAGCCAGAGCAGAGGTCCGGGCATTTTCTCCCAGAGAGGAATACCCCAGTGCCACCAAGCCTTACTGACCGACTCAGTCTTCATCCTACAGAGCACATCAACGCCCTGTGCCTAATCTGGTCACCTAGCTGCCCTTCCAATCGGTAATTAATATTGCTTCTGCTTCGCATTTCCAGCCCTGGCCGGCCAGATAGCCTTCATAAACGGGCCCAACAGAATGGCTCCAACCAGGCACGTGAGTGTGGAAAACAGCTGCAGGAGGCCGGCCATGGCGGCGCCGGGCCCCAGCAACACGAACTTGAGGAACTCGTTCACCTGGTACAGGTCCTCCTGCTTCTTGATGAGGTAGCGTGTCGCCCGGCGCCTGGCTTCTTCTTGCTGCTCTTGGTGGTGCTGCTCCGCTTGTTCGGCCGAGGCACCGCCCGACGCGACGGCCGCGTAGCTCGGCTCGGCGCCCTCCTGAACGGCGTGGAGCTTCTCCTTGGCGGCGTCGTACGGCGGCGGAGGGGTGCCGGCGTCTGACGGGATGGTGGGCGCCAGGTGAAGCACCGAGACTAGGCGAACGGGGGCGCGGTGGAAGGGGATGCACCAGATGGAGAAGATCTGGAAGACCCTGAGGTAGATGATGTTGGTCTTTTCGTCCAGGACTGAACACGAGCAAGGCTTGTTAGTAGCTTGGCTTCATGTGTAGGCTCCTTTGTCGGCTGCTGAATATCATACCGCATGACTCGATTTCGAGGTTGATTCTGGGGCTGAGAATCTTGTCTGGTGATAGGAAGCGATGGTTAAATGTCTGTTCGGCCAGATGGCTCTGCAGTTGGATGGCACTTACACCTGGGCGAATGTCAGTACCCGACCCTATCACTTGTCTACTGCAAAATCTTACCATCGGTAAACGGCCGTGATGAGTGCGCGGGAGTCAAAGTGGCCTACGCCAGGCACATTCAGATTCGTGAACGACGGGACCCGACAGAAGGGATGCTCAAATGTGGCACCGGGAGTGTAGTAGCGATAAATGGCATCATGCTGCTCCTCCGGAGTCCCCTGAGTAAGAGTCTGGATGACATGCTTAATTTCCTCAGCTGCAAAGGCACAACTGTTAGCTGATTCAATCCACGGATACAGCCCAGGCCCAATGACAGCCACAAGGGACTCTCGATCATACCTGGATTCTCCATGATGGTCGGGATCAGGGCAGTTGAGTGTTTAGTTGTGATGAATTGGAACTGAAGGAGATCGAAGCGGGCTTTGACGTATAGAAAAATGTGTTCTTGCTGATTTGGCAATGTCAGTTGTTGCGAGTTTGTCGCAAGGTGTCGCAAGCACCTATTGTTATCTAGGTGTGCTTGGCTCGGTGATGTCATTGCTGCGTCTACTGTGTGGTAAGGTACTCCGTACTGATAGTCAACACAGGCAGCTCCACAGCATGTGAAAGCCCTCGGACCGACTTGGCAACTGTTCGGCACCGGCACTGTCTGCCAAACCGGAGAGTTGGTCCGAACGAGACCCACAGACCGGTCAACACCGTCATGGTGCCAGCTTAGACTTGACGCGTGTCTCACCCAACTTCCGTTACAAGACACTGCATTCTGGAAGAGCGATTTTTAAAATACTGAAACACCTATCCTCCTCTTGCATCTCCTGCTCAAGACAACAGACAGCGTTCAAGACACCAGATCCACCAGATGTCAAATGTCAGAACGGATGAATAATCTACGATGCGAAGCTATCTCCGCTAGCAAGCCATTGCACATCAGGTATCCAGAAACCAAGCATTCCACCCAGATCATTAATCTAAACACATACGCTGCAATCGCCACGAGTACTGTGTGCCTTAACCGGGCATCTCCGCAGCTTCCAACGCCACAAAACAGACAATGCGCTCCACCAACACCTCACCTAGACTCCCTAGTACCCCCCAGATATCGAAACATAGGCAATGAATCACCTTCCCCCTCACCGCCGGTGACTCCCCGACCGCCTAACCTCGATAAACGTCGCGTCCCCTCCCGCAAACCGATCCGGGTCTACTTCCCTATACCCGCTCGACCTTCTCTCGACGCTCCTCACCCGACTCCTGTGCCTCCTCGGCGGGCTATGCTCCTCAATCACCACCACCTCATCGTCGTCATCTCTCGGCGGCGGCGGCGGCCTGCTCATCCTCGGCCGACTGACGCTCCTTCTCCGCTCCTCAACAATCACCCGCGCATCCAACTCCGACGACGACGGCGGCGGCGGCCCGGCAGAAGAAAGAACAGACTCCTCGACAATGATCCTCCCGCCGCCTCCTCCTCGCGAACGCCGTATCTCCACCATCTCCTCGCGCCCACGCCTACTGGCGCGGCGGTCGCGGCGGCTCCGGCGCGTGTAGACCGAGGCCGTGCCTTCGGTGACGACGGTCGATGTCTCGTTGGTGGCGCCGCTGCTGGGGTTGCCGAGGTTGATGCACGTGTAGAGCAGCCAAAGCAGGAGGATGAAGCCCGCCACGGACCCCAGCGTGATGCCCGCTACCGTGCCCGGGTCCGGGCCCGAGTAAAGGGAGCCGTAGTGCGCCGGGATGGTGGTGGTGCTTTGCTGCTGCTGCTGCCGAGGGAGGAGTCTGTGGAGCGCGACGACGGCGGACGGGGAGGTGGAGGTGGCAGGGTTGTTGTCGTCCGGGTCGGGTGAAGGTGCGGGTGCTGGTGCGGGCATGTGCGCTGCCGCGCGCAGCTGCCTTCTCGCTGTGGGCGCCATTGCGCCAACGGTTTGAAGATCAAGTCGAGACAGAGTGTTGCCTCAGAAGACTATAAGACGGCTGCTGCTTGTTGCCGCGATACAGTAAATCCCAGGCATGTAGCGGACTGCGGTTCGGGTCGCAAACCTGGTCGTGATGACAGGCCTCGTGCGTTTTTCGGCTGCTTCTGGGACTTCTTTGCGAAGTCGGTTCCGTCTCAGGTGAGACAGATTCGGGACTTTCCCTATCTTTGGGTCGACGTCGACGTTGGACGTGGATTTAAACCGTTGCCGTGCTGCTGTGGGTATTTGCTGCGAATATGTGAGCAGGCAGCAGCAGATGGAGGCGACAGCTATTTCCGCAAAAGTTGCGACTTTGCGACACCGGGTTGGTCAGTCTGTTGCAGGTTCACTTGATTCTTAAGGTTAGATGACCTTAACGGGGCCAAACTCGCAGGCCAACCAACCTGATTGTATCAGTATCCCGGAACTGAACGTTAATGAAGCAACAAGAAAAAGGACAGCAGAAATCCTCTTCTCTGAGGAGTCGGTTCATAAGAGAATACTCATCAGCGAGCGCAATCCGAACGGTGCGCGGCACGGCTCCGAGGGGGAGGCTGGGGAGGCACTGACTCCACTCAGAATAAACGCGCGAGGATCCGCCAGGGCTTGGCGCGGGATCGGAACAGCACCCCTGCAGCTGCCAAGCACACAAGGTTTGGACTAACCGGGGCTTGTTGGAGACTGGCTGGAGGTTCCAACTCATAACCTCGCGAGGGACCGCGCCATCAACAACATTGTTGTCTTCGTCAGGATGGAATACAGAGGGGTGTGAAAGCGATACCGAGTATCCTGGCCTTAGGTCAAATCGTCCATACTGCCTCGATTTTGCCATGAGATCACTGAAAGAATGACCTCCAATCCCCGAAACAGCAAGCTTAGAACTTCGGATAATCATACAAAGCCCCGGATTGCCCTCATTCCCATCGATTTCTTGTCCTTTTTATCGCTTTTCTCTTCCTTCTTATCTTTGCGCTCTTTCCGAGCCGTATTCTGAACTCCTCCTTGACACGCTGTCAGCAGCCGTTCTGGACCCAAGTGTGGCGCAACGAGTACCAACTAACCTCGGCCATGATATCTCTCTGCAGTGGGGCTTGCCTTTCCTGATCCAGCGCCGTCACTGACCTCGACCTGCCCTGTCGGGCTTAACGGAGCCTGGAGCCCGGACCCGGACGAATTCGGCAAAGGCACTGTGCCTTGCGGCAGACCCTCGACCGCTTCCGGGTCCGAGAACCCTCGCGACCGGCTCGGAATACCCGGTGGGCTTCTGGCCACCGTCAATGATTCGTCGTCCACGCCGGCCGATGAGCCCTGCTCAGACCTCCCTCCCGTTTGCCCAATGCGGCATTGCATATCCAAGAGAGTGGACTCGAGGGCCGTGTATTTCTTCATTAGGGTATCGTATCGCCGCTGGAGTGCCGTGTTCTTCGTTCGGAGAGGTGAGAGGACGCTCTCGTATGTTGCTGCCACGTCTGCAGATAGTTTCCTGGGCTTTTCCTGGAGTGCCCTGGCAAGCTGCGCTTTCAGGTCCTCGATTTGTGACTCGTAAAGCCGTTCTGTCTCGTGCAGCTGTTCCTCTCGGGCAGTAATCTCTGCGACCATTTGTTGGGCCCTGGCCTGGGCCATCTCTGCCTCTTGCATCGCAGCCTCCATTTTCATCTCCTTGCCCTGGAACTCCCTTTCTGAGGCGGATAGACGCGCGATCTCAGCCTTGAGCCTCTCAATCATAGCGGTGCTGATATCAACCGCTTCCAGATTCTGCTCCGACTTAAGCCTTTTGTCCTCGGCCTCTGCAACAATCCGGCGCAAGTGCTCGCATTCCGCCCGCGCCTTTTGCAGCTGCTGATTCAAGACGGTGCTTTCCAGATCCCACTTCTTTTGTTCCTCACGGAGTGCTCGCAGCTTGTTTGACAGGTCGCTCTCCCACTTCTTGGCCATGTTCCGGCGGTGGTCGAACTCTTTCTTGATCTGCGCCTCGCCTCTCTTGGCCTCGTCGAGTCGCTGCTTCAGACTTCGGTTCGCCATCACCAAGTTCTGCGTTTCGGCTTCCGTGGCCGATACTCTAATCTGTCGCCGCCGGAGTTCTCCCATGTGTACCATATGTTGCTCCTTTATGAACCTCTCATATTGCAAGTCGTTGATCAGGCGGAGTCTCTGGTGCTGAAGAAAAGTCACATGATCGTCCATGGAGCTAGAACCTGCTTTGCATCCCGGCCCATGGACGACAAATTGTTGCTGCGGCCCCCTTTGCACTTCTTGCTCCTGAGAGCTGAGAAGCAAAGATGGCACACTGTCGTTGGTAAACGACTGGTGCAGTCCACTTTTGCTTAGGCTGCTCCAGTGCACAGGGTCTCGCGTCTGACCCTGAGACATCGTTTGACCAGGGTTCTGCGGCAGCGTCGGGCTGTCATCACCCGATCCGCGTTTTTTGGTTTCAGCCACGTCATTGGTTGATGGCTGACTCGATTGGGAGGCCCGGCGTATTGACGGGCTATGAGCTCGGCCGATGGACATGGAGCTTGTAGACAATGCTGGGTGGGAAGGGTCGATATGGGCCGGATCACGCAGGAGCGCATAGTCAAAGCCGTCTGGCTCAGGGCCGTCACCCAAGGCTGAGCTAGGTGTCCCAGGGAGAGGTGTAACCGGGCGAGTATGCACCAAGCCAGGCGTTTGGTCCACGACCAAAGCCATGCAGTCCGCAAGGACCTCATCCGCCTCGCTCTTTATCCAGCGGCTCATGTCTTCCTTTTCGGACTGGATAGTCAAGTTGTAGAAATTGGGGTGCAAAAGGTGCTGCTTTCTGAATCGTTCCGATCGGTCCCGTATCTCCATGGCCTGAACGTCGATGTCCTCGGCGTTATTCGCATGACGTAGGTATCTCTGCGGTTTTCGAATGTAATCGAGGAAGTTGATGGGGTAGAGTCCGTATAGAATGGTGAAGTACTCGGGCAGATATGAGAGGGAGTGCCCATCATAATCGGGATCCAACAGAGACTTATCCCAAGGGATACCACCCCCACCTTCCCCGTTCTCTGTCCCCATCTCGGTATGCCGCTGGGCGAAATATGAATCCCGGTCCCAGAAGAGCAAGCGGGCGTAAATATTGAACAAGGTTGGGAGATAGTCGCCCAGCGAGCTCGGTATAAACGGAAGAATCATGACCAAAGCTATGAGGGCCAGATTGACCGTCGCCGTCGACTCATCTTTCTGAAGCGAGTGCAAGATATTCTTGAACAGGTCTGTCTGCAAAATGAGATGTAGATGCGGTGGACCACTGGAAACGAAGGCGCAGAGGAGGCTTAGAGCCGAGTTCCTATGCTCCCGTTTGACCACAAAGTCGTTTAGGGCCGCCATGAATCCTTTGGGGTCCCTCTTGCCGAACGCCATAAGCGCATCCTTGATCATCTGCTCCTTGAGGTCGGTCGAAGGACGGAGATCCGGTTGGGTCTCGCGCAACTCCATCCACCTCGTGAGGAGCCGGTTCACGAGCGGCACAAGACCCTGTTCGCTCCAGGCTGCGGGATCATCGTACTCATCGGCCGAGAGCAGATCCAAAGTGTGGTCCATGACCTCCCTCGCCAGGCCCTTCTCCCGGCCGACATGGTCCATAACCGGATCGAGAAGCTTATCCCACCATTTGAAGACCCTTGCGGGTGTCCGGAGTCCTGGACGAAGTTGGCGCAGGATAGCGAGAAAGGCGGCGTATCTTTCAGGGTGATCCTGCACGACTTTTTCCCAAATGGCGAGGAGCTCATCGCCTAACCGCTCGCCGGACGCTTCATCGTACTTTTCGTGCTTCTCGAGATACAGTGCTATGATACTGTTGATCTCGGCGGGAAGTGGAAGTGTCGGCGCGTTGAGGAAGGCATTGAGGGCCTTGGCGAGATCCTTCGAAGACCTTAGTCAAGCATAAGCAGTTAGGTCCAAAGCCAGGGACCGTTGCACCGGTGGCAAGGGGGTACATGTGCGATACTTAAGAGGATTGAGGAATAGAACTTACCCGGATGAAGTCATTCTGATTGACACAGGGCGTGGCTCATTGGTGATGGGAGTTTGGCGATCCGGAGATTGAATCAGTCGACGCGGCGAAAGATTGTTTCCGCCGAGCCTTGTTGGCGAACAAACAAAAGGCAGAAGAAACGGGATACTGATCCCTGGTGATTTTTGTTCCGGTACGAAAGCTGAGCATACGGCCAGAGTCTTGAGGACTGAAGAAGTTGCTGTTGAAGCACAGTTCCTGGCTTTGTGAGGGTGTCAGCGGCACTAAACTGAAGCAGGGCGGTTGTCCAATCTCCACAGAAGCAAGCATTGGACGGCCTGATTAACGCTACCTAAAAAAGAGGTGTAGACTACACATGTGACATGACTGCTTCGAGCCCCGCACTGCAGAGGCAGTGGGGCTCTTACCCCAGATGTCGATGTGGGGCCGGGATCGTCTGATGCATGATCCGAGAGAGCTGGAAGCGGACAGCCATTGAGTGGCATGAATGCAGTTGCCCCTCATCACTTTCCCTGGGTCTGCGTTGGGAGCTCTCTCGTGACCAAGCTGATCGAAGCCCCTCCTCCAGTGAGCGACGAGACACAAAACAGTCGTGTATCCCGTCCCGCACCAGCATTGGGCACACTCCTCCTCTTCTCTTCAAGTTCCCGGTCTTCCATCTTCTCTCGATTCCCAAGAGTCTTTCCATCTCTCCTCGGTGATCAATCCCCGAGACAATTTACACCTCACGGCAACAACTCGAAGACAAAATTTTGGTCAGACCACCTTCTTCCCATCACACCATCATAAACGTCGCCAAAGATGGCAAGCAAGACGTCCGCAGTGGCAGACGAGCCAATTGAGGTGCTCATTGCCCTGCATGACAAGTTCGACCTCATGGACTTTGCTGGGCCGCTCGAAGTCTTGACGACGGCCCTGCACGATGCGAAGGATCCCAGTGAGTGGCCACGCTCGCTCGTCATTGTTGCCAACCCCGCACCGTTCCCTTCGGCCGCAGCAAGGCTCAACCATTGAGTCCCGGTACCCTTTTCGCTGCACAATGGACGCCCCAGAACGATTTAAAGCCTCGGGATGCACACTGTTAAAAGAATAGAGCTGACTCGACCTCTGCTGAGCAGGTTCCAAGGCCTTCGATGTTACCATCGCGGCAGGCGAGCCTAAGGTTCTTTCGGAGCAGGGTGTCATCATTGGCTCCCAGTGCTCTTGGAAGGAGGCCCACGAACGTCTCAACGACTTTGACGTCCTCATCGTCATTGGAGGCAACAGCGCAGCGATTCTGGAAAAGAAGGCTGAGCCGCTTAACCTCATCACAGCCTATGCAGAGCTGCAGAAGAACGACCCCAGCCGCGAGCGCACCCTGCTCTCCGTCTGCACAGGCTCCTTGTTCCTGGCAAAGGCGGGCATTCTCTCTGGCCTTTCTGCCACGACCCATCCCGACTTTATTACCACGCTCGAAATCTTATGCAGCAGGGTGGTCATCGAGGGCAAGGGCGACCACACCGATGTCATTGAAGACGCCCGCTATGTCGTGAACAATCTGCGCTTTGAGCTCGGAGATGAGGACGAGAATCCCTACGTTCGGCGCAAGTCGGATGCTGGCCGGCGCCCATCCAACGCCCGGTAGGTGCCCGCGAAGTGCCCGATCGCTCATGCAACCCAACTGACAACTATCTCAGGAAGGGTTCGATGTCGTTCAAGGGTGCCTCGCGTCGCGAGTCGATTGCCCGCCGCGCCGCGATGCGCCTCGGTGGCCTCCGTGTTATCACAGCTGGCGGTGTGTCATCTGGCGTGGATGCAGCTCTCTACCTGGTCAGCATCCTGGTGGATGAGGAGTCGGCAAATGAAGTCGCCCGCTTCATGCAGTGGACATGGACCAAGGGTGTCGTGGTGGATGGTCTTGACGTGTAGAAATAAACTGGTATGGCGTTAGACTCCCAGGACAGCACCGCGCAGCAACTGGGAACTGCCGGCATTTGCTTATGTTTGGAACTGAAGAACAGTGATTGTAGAGGGCCAGCTACAATTGCGAAGCGAAATTCGTATCCGTACTTTTACGACATGAGCTGCTTCCGAGTTCAAAATGCTACTGTTTGAAAAGGACCGTATTCCCCCCCTTGATGGAGTGACACTGGAGTGAGTGAGAAGCTTGTCACCTGACAACGGCCCGACAAGGCGCGCCAATCGCGGAAAATCTGTCAGGAATCTCGACGACATCCGACTAGCTGCACTTAGGCCGTACTCGGAAACCAACTTCACAGGTACCCGAGCGACCACCATAGAGACAAACAGGCATGGCGACACCAGTAGCGGCAGCAACAGAGGCAGTGGCCAAACAATTTCCGCGCAGATTCGGCAACAAGCAAATCTTCCTGTACGAGCATACCCTCCCTGCATCCAGTGATGGAGATGCTGATCGTGGTCTCTGCATGCAGACCGAACCACGTCATAGCCTTCATTCGCCCCAAGCCGAGGCAGCCGCCAAACCTGGCGACGTTTGTCGTGCCGCTGCAGTTCAACAAGCTCGATCTGCGCGACTACCTTTTCCACGCCTATAATGTCGAGGTAACGTCGGTGCGCTCCTTCATCAACCAGCCAACACCTCGGCGAAAGTATGGAAACACTGGCAAGTGGTTCCGGCCGCGCTCGCAAAAGATGATGATTGCCGAGCTCGTCAAGCCCTTCGTCTGGCCCGAACCGCCCGCCGAGAAGGACCGGGAGCCTTTCGATCACGCCACCTTCACCAAGATGGAGAAAATGAGGGAGGACCAGATCAAGAAGGAGACGGACCCGGCCAACATCCCGCTGCGCACACAAATCAAGATACCCCCAAGCAGGAGGACTCTCAAGGAGCAGGCGGAGGAGTTCATGGAGAGCGGGGAATGGAGCAATGGGAAGATAGGGGACGGCAAATGGACAGAGGTGGAGAAGGACGTCCCGGTATGACCTTGAGGAATGAAGGACCGATTGCGAGTCGGGACCGGTTGGCTGGCTACCTTACTGGGACAAGCAACTCAGTGTTGCGGATATAGAGGGCCTCAAGTCACCTACAAGACTCAGCTCGACGAAACTGTATTATATCATGCTAGGCTCGGGTTATATTGTATTATTCGATCACGATCTCGAAGCCTCGCCGCTGTTTCCCGTTTCCTCTTCCTCAACCTCATCCCCATCAACCCAGCACTCCCTCCTCTGAAACAACAGCACCTCATCACCCCAAGCCCACCATCCCGCCGTCAGATTCCTCGCGAAAACCTCGAGCGCCTCATATTGCTTCGGCAACAATTCCTCAAAAAGCCTTCTGAGATTTGGCTTCCGCGAGTGCACATCCGGCACAGAAACAATCACTTTCCCGGGCACCAGCCCTCCTCCCTGCATCGCCCTGCCTCCCCTCTTCCGCGCGATAAGCAGCCTCTCCCAAGGCTTCCTCCACCCAGACCCGACCCCAACCACCGGCTCCCCCTGCGTCGTGACCTTCAGCCACGTCCACTCGCCGACCAGCTCGACGTTCCACTCAGCCGCGAACAAGCCGCCGCGCGGCCGCGTCAACAGGTCGGCGAAGCGCGCTGCGTTGGTCACCCACACGGCGACAAGCCCGCCGGGCGCGAGTCGCGATGCCACAGGGATCTGGCGCAGGAGCGTGTGCATCGAGGACAGGTCCGGTGCCGGGCTGTAGGCGCCGGCGCCGGACCGTTTGCGTTTGGCAGAGCGGTTTGGCCAGGGCGGGTCCAGAATTATGAGGTCGAAGTGGTCGGGCGGCGTGCAGGAGAGGAGGGTTGAGCGGCGGGAGGAGATAGTTCCCAAGAGGGGATGGGAGTTGAGCGGGAGGTGGTAAAGGGATGGATCGCGGACTGCGGTAGGAGCGGGTTCTGGAAGGGATGAAGTGGGAGGATGGCCGGGGGACTCCGCTTCTGGAGCTGGTGAAGAGGCACGTGAGCCTGATTTCAGGCTTGGCTTGGGTTTTGAGTGAATCCGTGGGAGACACCAGGGCCCGTTATATGACACTCTGATCTCCTCCAAGGCTGATTCCACCGCTGCCTGGGTCATGAGCTCAGCCACTTGCGCCGAGGGCGACGCCGCCGGCGGTCCGGGTCCGCCCGTCTTGGGCTCCGGCGTCGGGAACGGAGCCGCCGGGGGGTCCGCCGAGATCAACCTGCGGAGCTTGCGAGGGTCCCCGTTTGCGGCTGTCAACTCCTTGGAGGAAACCTGTGCCTCCTCAACTGAACGCGGCAAATCCAGCAGGATCACGCTTTTGTTCTCGCTCTGCCAGACGATGCAAGATGATGAGGTCATTTTCTCATCAGCAGCCCCTCTGCTCTTCCATCAGAAAACGTTAACCTGCAACAGACTGGCACAGAATCTGGGGAAGAAAGACAAGCAATTGGATGCCCAGGACACTGGTTGGGTCGAAGGGTCCCGTGACTGCTGGTTGGCCCGCTTTGTCAGGCACTGCCAGGGGTTGTTGCGGGAGTAAGCTGGGGTGTCGGTAATCCTCGGCTTGGTGGCGGCGCCCGGCCGAACGCTAAAATGCCGTTCAGGAATGACGTTCTCGGTGTTGCATTTCCGGATTTTGGACTTTGTGTGTCTGTCAGCACCTCACGATCGCAAGTTCACGTCATCGAAGCCAACAGTGACTTTGAGTCACGAACCATACACACAAAGCTTTGCTGTTCCACAACGGAATATCTTCCTCCAGAAACGAGGTCTCTGCGCGATGCGCCTTTAGCGCGCCGGTCCGACCCCTCCGAAATCCCCGACCGTCCTGCGTCGCAAACGGCGGAGCGCGCGCCCTCCCGAGGGGATCCCCCGGCCCTCATGAGCGCTCATGACTCCATGCCGGGGGTCTTGCCGTCGCGCCGAACGCGAGAGGCCTCCGACGTGCCACGGACACCGGTAGCCCCTAGGGAAGAGCCTGCTATTTGTCCGACACACGACGAAGCTCAAGTCTCCCTGAAGGCACCTAAGGACAAGCGCAGTTTCGACTATGTCTGGAGATCTGGCGTTGCAGGAGGCTTGGCGGGCTGCGCGGTATGTGATCTGTTCTTCACCCATAGTACTCCATATCAACATGCTGACATGGTGCGCAGGCCAAAACGATTGTCGCGCCGCTAGACCGGGTCAAGATTCTCTTCCAATCCCACAATCCCCACTTTGTCAAATACACAGGGTCGTGGTCCGGCGTGGTCCTGGCCGTCAAAGATATCTATCGCCAAGACGGATCCGTGGGGCTGTTCAAAGGTCACTCGGCCACCCTGCTGAGGATATTTCCCTATGCAGCCATCAAATTCCTCGCCTACGAGCAAATCCGCGCCATTGTCATCCCGCAAAAGGACAAGGAGACACCTTTCCGGCGGCTTATCAGCGGTTCTTTGGCCGGTGTGACGTCTGTCTTCTTTACCTACCCCCTAGAACTTATCAGGGTGCGGCTTGCTTTTGAGACGAAGAAGGAGGGCCGGTCATCACTCCGATCAATATGCAAACAAATCTATCAAGAACGGCACTATACGAAACTGACGCTCCCTGGAACGGATGCGGCTGTGGCATCAGCTTCAGGTATCCGAGGGGCGGTGGCAGCGGCCGCGCCGCCGCTGGCACCACCAAGCTTCGGGTTGGCCAACTTCTACCGTGGCTTTACCCCAACACTCCTCGGGATGCTGCCTTACGCCGGCATGTCCTTCCTCACTCACGATACCGTGGGCGACTTGCTTCGTCACCCGGCAATCGCCCAATACACGACGCTGCGGAAGCCGGAGAATTCTCCGCCGGGCAAGCCGGCACCCCTCCGTTCATGGGCTGAACTGTCCGCAGGCGGTATTGCCGGGGTGGTCTCTCAGACGGCGTCGTACCCCCTCGAGGTGATCAGACGGCGTATGCAGGTGGCCGGTGCGGTCGGTGACGGCCACCGGATGCGGGTTGGCGAAACGGCCAAGTTGATCATGAGGGAGCGTGGCTTCCGGGGTTTTTTTGTGGGGCTGACCATCGGCTACGCCAAGGTGATGCCAATGGCGGCGGCCGCCTTTTACACATACGAGCGGTTGAAGATGCGGTTTGGCATTTAGATTACTGGGTTGTGGCTGTTTGGATCATAGCACATGAACGGCGTTTTTGGGTGGTCTCTTGTGTTTCCGGACCCGATTCATGGTTCTCGAGCAGTGTCTGCGTCGATAGAATTCCTGCATGTGAGGGAGAGGGGTCTTGGTCGGTGTCCGGTTGAGAATAATGGCGTTTCAAACCCCAAGTGACAGCCTCTGGAACCCCATTGCTGGCGGCCAAGTCCGGTTGTCTTGTCGAGAACATGACGCTTCCCGATCACCCGCTCTTGTTGAATTGAATATTCCGAGAAAGTTGCGATCTCGGTCTCTGACCAAACACCATGACTTTCCTTGCACAGAAGGCAAGAAGCAGCATGCCCAGAAGGGGCGATGGACGGAGAATACGATCATTGAAAGCGCCAACATTCTAGACAGTTCTTTCCGGTTGCCTTCAGCGCAACACCTTCCATATGTGAGCGAGTTGACCCGACCTGAATCTCCCACAACGCAACTCAGGGGCTACTATTCTCTCGGGACGACAAACTCGACGCCCAATAACCACACCCCTAGACTCTGAAGAATATCTACGTTCAAAGGCAGCGCATTCGTAACCCCGGCGAAGATGGGACCGCTCCGCAAGCCAACGGCTCAACAACCCCAGCCTTGTCCCCAACATGAGAGCGAGCAGATTGTCAAGCGGCCGAACCACTCGGGCCCCGAGGACCACAACCAGTACAACCCCGACCCCCTAGGGCACTTTCTCACCATCCCCTGGGCAGCAACAATGCTGACGGACCCGGCCGCGTTTGACATCATCGTCTCGGATCGCCGCCTCGTGCTCTCTCGCGAACATCAATTTGTTCGTTCCGTCATGAGCAGCGAGACGACGGTGCGTGCGTGCGTCACCTTTTGCCTCAAGTTGCCGCCGAACGAAGAGGCTGGTCAAAAGGGCGTGCGGCCGTCGCCGCCGTTTGACGGACAAGGCCACGGCAACAGTGATGGTGACCATAGACCCATATCCAAGAGCAAGAAGCTTCTGTCCGGCGGTGGACCCGAGAACGGCGAGGATCCGGAGAGGCCCTTTTTGATTTACAACGTGCTCATAGATCTGGGAGTGGGCCTGAGCAGTTTCAGAGGGATGCTGCATGGCGGAGCGATGGCCGCCTTGCTGGATGAGGCCATGTGCGCTGCTGTGAATAATCAGAGCAGTGAGTTTTCGCGTCGCATCCCACCCTCAACACAGCGGGGCTAACGACGCCGTGCGGCGACAGAGTATGTGTTCACAGCGACAATGACAATCAGCTTCTTGAAACCGGCCAGGTTGCCCGGCGCGTTTATTGTCAGGGCAAGGGTAGTCAAGAAGCAAGGGCGTAAGCTCTGGGTCAGGGGTACACTTGAGGATGGCGACGGTGAGCCCTTTTCCCCCTTGGAGACTAGCCTACCTGACATACTACATCTTTGGGTGAGATGACACAACTAACTGACACTACCTAGGCGAAGTTAAGGCAGAGAGTGAGGCATTGTTGATGGATCAAACGCCTGGGAGGCGGAGCAAGCTGTAGCGGCGGGGGAATGATTGAAAATGGATAATCTTAAGACATCGAGTCACGATTGTGCGAATAGGGACCATTAGAGAGTTAGCAATAGGTAACCACCTTGATGGCTGATGTTCCCGACCAGGAGACGAAGCCCAGCGAGATGGGAATCGCTTGAGTTGACTTTGAGTTGTAACGATACCACAAGAGGCTGTGTGAGGTGATTGGTCAAAGCGGCAGTAGACCCACAAAAGGCAGTTCCACTTATCGGTGCCTGCCCTGACGCACCACCGGAAGCGCGCTTGCTCACTTAAGGCGCGTCTTGCAGCAAGTAAACTCCATCCCGGACAGAATTACTCGGCCATGTCAAACACGCTGCCACTTGGAATTTTCACCACTTACCAGTAGTACTAAGGATGGTCGGCCGTAACAGCAGCGCTGCAACCAGGAAACGAGCGAAGTCACAGAACGAGGACGAGCCTTCATCAACGGCCAAGAAACGTCGGACTCGTCTATCAGAGGCTTCGCCAACTGATCGTGGTGGTGTTGGGGAGGTTCAGGAACCCAAACCAGCGCCAGTCGCAAAAGGGACCTTGAAACGCGGCCGTCGCGCGGCATTCTCGCAACCGGCAAAGGATACCCCCGCTGGCCCATGGAAAGTTCCAAGCTCTGAAGAGGAGCCTGCAGCACTGCCCAAGCAGCCTGCCCAGCATAACAAGGATAGGAGTCAGCGGCAGAAGTCCCAGGCATCAACCGTCAGCCAAAGGAGCAGTGTCTATGACGTGCCGGACTCCGACGAGGATGAGCTCAGCGCTGCCGCCGTGGTGCCATGCCCAGAGCGTCACAAGCCGAACGGTGCAACAGCCGCCAATGGGGAGGCCGATTCCGCTGTTGGAAAAGTAGGGGACGAGGCCGGAAAGAAGAAACGCGGCCGGCCCAGTAAGCAGGATCGGGAAGCTCAAGCGAAGGCCCGGAACGACGAGGTCCCAGCAAGCCCAAGGCCGTCTGTGCGCGCGGGCCGGTCAGCAACCCGTGGTTTCCCATCTCGTGAACAATCCCGAGATGGGGACCAGGCTCCCGATGATGGTTCCCCCGTGGGGAACTCGCCAGTCCAGAAGGCGGTCCAACGCGGGGCTGGTGCAAATGGAAAGCTAGCAAAGGGGGTTGAGTTACCGAAGGGGATCTTGACACCTCGGAAAGGAAGGACCCGGGAAGACTGTCTGCGAAAGAGTGTGGCCTTTGATAAGTCGCTCGATGTGGGACTCGATGAGGAAGCCCTGGACAGCTTGGCCGCTGAGTCGCCTTCGAAATCGACCAAGAAGCGCCGTCAAGCAGCCGAGATGGTTGATGAGATGCAGATCAATGGGACGACCACAGACGATGATGGGGCCTCGGGCGGCGAATCCGGCAGCGAGGAGGAAGACGACGAAGTCTGCGCCATCTGCTCCAAACCAGACTCTGAACCGCCCAATGAGATCGTATTTTGCGACAATTGCAACATGCCGGTGCATCAGGAGTGCTATGGGCTCCCAGAGCTGCCTGAAGGAGACTGGATCTGCCGAAACTGCTCGCAGGACGACGCAACCGCGGTCAGTCACGGCGCGGCAAACCAGGCGAAGTCATCTGTGGTAGCGCGGGAAGACCAGACGCCGAATATCCCGAACTTTGACCAACACCTCCGCTCGGCGCAGCGCGTGCTGGTCGACCGTTGTGTGGGCAGGCGTCGCATAAAGCCTCGCGGGCAGGACGAGGCCTACGAAAAGATATTCCAGCTGGTGGAGCAGACAGTTGTTGCAGGTGAGGGCAACTCGATGATGGTAATAGGCGCCCGCGGTTGCGGCAAGACTACGGTAAGCCATTCTTTCTCCCTCCCAGAAGCTGCGGAACTAAGTGCGTCTTTGGTAGCTTGTCGAATCCGTCGTAAACGAGCTGTCAGAGCGACACCAGGACCAGTTTCACGTTGTCCGGCTGAGCGGATTTATCCATACCGACGATAAGTTGGCTCTAAGGGAGATCTGGCGGCAGCTTGGCAGGGAGATGGAGGTCGAAGATGACCTTGTCAACAAGGTGAGCTTTTTTCGGAATGATAATATCGTGCCCTTTTCGCTGACCGAATAGACCACTAACTACGCCGACACCATGGCTTCTCTGCTTGCTCTGCTCTCACATCCTTCTGAAATCGCTGAGACGCAGGACGGAGTAACATCCAAGTCCATCATCTTCGTTATAGACGAGTTTGACCTCTTTGCGACGCATGCCCGACAAACACTTCTCTACAACCTTTTCGACATTGCGCAGGCCCGAAAAGCGCCGATTGCTGTTCTCGGCCTGACCACAAGAATCGACGTTGTCGAGAGCCTGGAGAAGCGAGTCAAGAGTCGGTTCAGCCACCGATATGTCTATCTGTCGCTGCCAAAAAGCCTACCGGCGTACTGGGACGTATGTAGACAGGGGCTCACCATCGACGACGAGGACATGGTTCTGGAGAGTATCGATCCGAAGGTCAAGGGCCACCGTGAATTCCGGGACTGGTGGAACGGCAAAATAGAGGTACGTGCATCGCGCGATCCCAACGCTGCTGCTTTTTCTCACCGTGTCAACCAATCGGCAGTCTCTGTACAAAACGCAGGGCTTCCTGGATCATCTGGAGTCGCACTTTTACAGTACGAAATCGGTGTCTGCATTTTTAACGACGTGCATTCTGCCCCTCGCAGCGCTTTCCCCTTCTTCGCCATCGTTGAAGATGCCTGCAGGCACGGAACTCGCCGTCTCGCTGGAACCGCCAGACTCGAAACTGCACCTCCTCGGCTCCCTCTCGGACCTGGACCTGTCCATGCTGATTGCGGCCGCGCGGCTGGACATCGTGGCGCACACCGACACGGTCAACTTCGCGATGGCCTACGACGAGTACGCGTCGCTTATGAGCAAGCAGCGGGTGCAGTCAGCCGGCGCCGGGATGCTGACCCTGGGAGGCGGAGCGCGGGTGTGGGGCCGCGGGACTGCAGGCATCGCGTGGGAGCGCCTGGCGTCTCTCGGCTTGCTGGTCCCAGCGGCGGCCGGCGGCAGGGGCACCGCCGGTTTGGGCGGGTTGGACGCCAAGATGTGGAAAGTGGACGTCGCGCTCGAGGAGATTCCGGCGGCGGTGAAACTGAATGCAGTGCTCTCGCGGTGGTGTAGGGAGATATAACCTAGGAGAGAGCAGCCCACGCCTTTATTATTACAGCCAGCATGCGCAGGTACCGCTCCATCCAGGTTGTTATGAGTGCAGCCCAACATAATGTACGTACCAAAACATCCTCTCGACTACCCCTCTTGACAGATTGGTCAGTCGATGAACCTCGACTGCAGCACGCAGTTGCCCGGCCTCTGCAGTTCAATCGAAATCTTTAGAAAAGTTTCGGCGTCGACAAACATGGCTGGATTGATCAATCAGGCCCAAACCGACACCGGCCTTTTCCGTCCCAACGCAGCCTTAAGTGCTGGATGCGAGATCTGATGCACCTCGGATGCCAGGGCACTGCATGATAGCGGGCGCCAGCAAGCAGGGGGCTAATTTCGGATGCACCGCCGCCATGCTTTGCCCGCTGTGCCATCCGGCCCACGTGGCTGGGTAACATTCCAATAGCCAACGAGACCCCCCGGCGGAGTGCGCCACACCTAACAATAATAACCTGGGGTCCAGCGAAGCTGACCGGATGCGATTCAGCCGCCGGGCACTGCTCATCATGTCTTACGATCACCCGAGACAATCAGATTATGTCTGTTTATTATTCATGGATGACCTCCCCGGGACAGTATGCACTTGTTTCCGAGTTGGTTTGGTCTTTGCTTGCATTCCAGAGCAGTCATTGCAACCTACGCTCACAGTTAGAACAAAATTGCTGATCTGTCACTTACACGGCCCGAGTCATGTCGAAACGTAATCAGTTTACTACGGTCACGCCGCTCCCGGCAGGAGTCACACGGCAGATCGTTCTTGATCTCCTTCACGACCACGAGGAAATGATCGACCTGAACCCCTTAGTCAAGGAGCGGCATCCAATCTCCACGCCGCCCCATGCTCAGGCAGACGAGCTACACTGTCAATGGTACTCTTTGACGGACAAGATCGCATACTTGCCCGGTGTGGCTGGGGATGTGAGCTACACATGCGCCTTCAACGACCTGCCAACCGGCCTTCAAACGCACTGCTATGCGCCGGCTGGGTTGAGTAGGTTATGAGCCACCAAGCGGAGTGTTCCAAGCACCATCTAACACTCTCTTGCAGCCATCCGCGACAAATGGACCGTTGGCGGCTCTCTTTCGGGTGAGCCCACAGAACCGATAGAGCTGGGACTCCGGGTGCCGCCGTCAGTACTTTACCTCCGCGAAGACGTCGACATGCGCTGCAATGTGATCATGGCAGGCTTCGTCAAGAAGACGCTCAAGAAATCGCACGCGGCACTCGTCGATAGGCTAAAAGTAAAGGCCCAGATTGCGACTTCTGCCAGCAGTTTCAAGGCGAACAGAAACAGTAGCAGCAGTGCCGAGTCGTCCGAGCCGACCAAGCCGATAGGCGGCGGGACCGCGCGGCGAATTAGCATCAGCAGCCTTCCCTACCATCTCCTATCTGCATCTGTCCCGACCAGTCGCCCCTCTTCCGTGGCTTCCTCCGTCGTCAGCACCGCGTCATCACCCTCAATCTACAGCACACCAAGCAGTCCGACGTTGTCGTCGCCAGCTAGTAGTCTCGGAGCGGGCCCGGCGAGTTCAGCGTTGAGTCCGCCGACAGCTCACAGCAGCGGGCCCCAACGCCAATCTAAACAACGACCGGATGAATCCGTCGCGTGGCTATCTCTAGCTCTGCGGACAGCGAACAGGACCGAACAGAAACCCGAAATTGCGTCCGTGAGCGTTCGGATCTCGGAGCCAGAAACACCTTTCCTCCTCCAGCAACAGCCCGACTGGCCGCTAACGACACAAAGAGCTGTCCCGGCGCCGCGCCGTCAGGGCCAGCTATTATTACATGCGTATGGGCTTCCGGCCAGTCACTCTTTCTCGGCCGGTGCTGCGTCCAGCAACATGGAATCACCAAACAACTCCATATCCGCCGGGAGGGATGACGTCCTCTCACCTGACGCTCTCTGGCACGCTCTGGGCGGTGGACGCTTGGCCGCAACGAACGCGGCGAACTACAAGGCCAACAGCAGCCAACAACCTCACCCTGGCAACCACAATCGCGGCCACCCGGATTATCCCCAGATGGGCCCGTACGACGACGAGAGCAATGGAGCTGTTGTCGAGCTGGGTGTGGCGGGCTTACGACCGCTTCCGTTGCGTGCGAAGCCTTAAGCTGATGCCGGTTAGGACAGCGATGAACGGGCCTTTTGCTGCCGAATTGATTGAACGTTAACGGGAGGTCTGTTTGTGTCGAAAGCTGTTATATATCAAGGTGTTTGGCGCACATTTTCTGTTTGTCGAGCATTGTTGTAGGGAAAGGGATGGTTCCAAGTCGGTAGCTTGCATGCAATACCCCGGATACTAAATGAGTAACGATGGTCTTTTCCTGCTGATTGTGTAGCGTTAGGCCGAGGGTCATATAGAAGGAGTGTTGTACATTCCTCAGCCCTAACAGGACTTTGAATCTCAAGTGAATTAGTGTTCTTCGCCTTTATACGGCTAGACTGTGCCCCGAAATCAGACAACACGCACACCGCAGGCCTAAACAGAAGGGATACCAGCCAGCCTTCGAGATAGGCAAGAAACAAAAGCAACCCAAGAACTCCAAGGTTCCCACTCCCTTCTATATCCCGAACCCCTAGTGAAACATCCGGCAATTGCAACAAAGCCCAAACCGCGCCAACCGCACCCGTCACCACAACCGGCACTTTAACCCCAGTCCGACCAGTCCCGGCCAAGTAAACAAACGGAGTCGGTCCAATCCCGCCCGTCGACAGCGGCGCCCCGCCGGTGCCGGTAGGCTGCGGCGGCATGACCACGCCCGCCTCGGGAGGAGGATCAACGACCGTCTCAGGAGGAGGAGGAGGAATAATTGCCTCAGGAGGGGGAGGCGGAACAGCCGACTTAGTGGGAGGAGGAGGAGGAGGAGGAACAAGTAACTCGGGGGGGGGAGGAGGAAGAACCGATGCGGGAGGAGGGGGAGCAACAACCGTCTCGGTAGGAGGAACGACGGGGATAACAAGATCACGCCCTCCGCCCCGGGCCCGTCGCAGTCATGATGGTGTGCACGTCCGAAGCTGGAATCGTGGTTATTCTGTTTACATTTCGACGTAAAATGGGTTGGTTTGTCGAGTCAGTTATGTGCGGGAAGGTTGGGGGTGAGCTGAAATACATATATTGGGCATACACTTGAGACGCTGAGGTTCAAGTCTGCATGGGCACCCGTCTCGTTGGCGTCGACGACGGCATGGTTGCGATACAGGTGCAGATGGCTCGGTTGCCAAGCTTGGTTGTAGTTTTTTGTGCTGGTTCGTCGAGGCCGTGACGGCCGCCAGGGAGGCGTCGAGGAGCAAGAGGGGTTTGGCAGTGGACGGCATCTTCGCGAGGACCGACGTAAGGCTTGTCTGCTCTGTGGTGAGTGGTGCTTGCTTGAGCAAGGAGGGCGCCGGAGAACTTGCACTTGATCAGATAGTAGTGCACTGCTCCCTCGTCAGCGGGCGAAGAGGTTGACTGCGAAACCAAGCGGTGAGTGAATCCGTAGTAAGTAAACAGAGTCGAAGCAGGAAAGTCGATGTGAGGGACGGGACCTTGGGCTGCCGCGTTTTATGCTCTGATACAATTCATCACTGGCATTCCAGGGATGCCAGAAGCGTGATGCCGCCAGCTCATCAATTCCAAAGTGCCAGTGTCCCATCCCAGCCTCTCAAAATAAACACAGGCACCAAAAATGCGAACTTCGCGGGAATTCCAAGCAGTCCGCATCCAGCAACGACCCCAAGCACGAGTCTCCTTCTCACTCTCCAAGGCAACGCCGAGCAGCCACGGTCTTTCACGCGCCACAGGGCATCCATCGTTGGCAACTGTCCAAGAATCCAAAGCAGTAGGATTCTTGGCATCTTGTTTCATTTGTGTAGATGCAGATCTCTCACGAGGTCATCACCAGCCGGCACCTGCAAACACGCCCTCATTTTTCCATCCCTCTGCTCAGGCATCCCATTCAAACAACTCTCCGGCAAACGCCCAATCCTCGCCCCTGAAGCTAGCGAGCGGCCCCAGCGCTTATTGGGCTCTTTGGTCGCCAATCTCACCAATGACACAAAACGCCCCATCCACATGGCATCAAATCGTCCACACCACCGACGTGACAGAGAGATGGAAATGATTGTTGTGTGTATGCCAAATGATCTGCTCTCCCATCTATGCCACCACCATCCCGATAACGCCTGTATATCGACCTCTCGACAAAAGGATTAGAGAAGAAACAAAATAGCAATGGGGATATAACGCGAGGAGGAAAGCAACAAGTGCTGCCTCATGCAACCAACTCAACACCATGCTCGCCGATCCTGATGACGGTAAAACAAGACAGCAAAAAAGACTGACGGATTCCCGTAAAAGGGTCATGGCCGAGGCATCAGATAAGACTGTGCCTCGTCCTGGTAGACCCAACCTCTTGGTAAGACCGGCTGGAGCGCAGCCGTCTCAACGAGGGCATCCTAGCCAGTCAGCCGCGATTTGACCTGCTCTGGCTGCGCTCAGGGACGCGGGGCTGCGCATGCGTCGCCGTGATGGCGTCAAAATCGTAGTTCTTGAGCGTTTGCTCATACTTTGGGCTGCGCAGGAACTTGGGAACAGAGTCCTACTCCAGTGTTAGCTGTCGATCCCCAACCACGAGCATCTCAAGGGCGCAACTTACACTAGCCATCAGCTTGAAGACGGCATTCTGAGCATCCTCAAAGAGAGAGGTAACCTCGTGCAGCGTGTCGATCATGGCAACATCCTGTCCCACCGCCTTCGTCATGCGCGTCGCCAGGTTATTCCGAAGCTGGTGGTCAATGTTCAACTCGCAAGGGGAGCCGGGTGCCAAGAAAGCGTTGTAGATGCCGTACGCTTGAGCCATGATTTCCTTGATGCCGTCGAGCGACGCGGCGTTGTTGGGGCTCTTTTGCGCAAGACGAATCGCTTGTCTGCACTGCCGAACGAACTCGTCCACGTCAAGATAGAACGACAAATTCTCCTCGCAGTGAGTCTCGCGGAGGTTCTCGCGGAACAGTAACCGTAGGGCGGGATCGTTGAGAATCTTGTCAAGCCGCTGCGTGTTGGAGTCGCGGGCGATTCCGCCAGGCCGCGAACCCGGCAGCCCCTCGCTCTCAGACGCACGCCCTCTGGCCAGGGCACCGTTGACAAGGTCTCGCCCCTTGGCTGTGACCTGGTATATGGCCTGCTTGGTCGGCTGGAAGAGGTTATGCGCTGGGTACTGAGCCATGTGACTGCGATCCTGGTGCACAGCTTCTATCAGATCATACTCCACGAAAAGAGAGGCGATCTCGATCGTTTCCCTCCTGTCGACCGTGGTCGAGCAGTCCATCAGCCAATCCGTCGCGGCTTTTCCGGTGAAGGTATCCTTGAACGTCTTGCCTCCTACTTTGCGCTCCGCGGCCATCTTGACGCCGGTAAGACCGTCCCTGTAGTCGCTCAGAGAATCCGAGTCTGCCGAGTTCACGGTCGACTTGATGTTGAAGCCATTGGCGCCGATAAACCGCCGGAAGATGACCTCGATCGTCCCGCGATCCGTCAAGAGCTTGTCCGACTGCCCGTCCCGCTCCAAAATCACGAGCTGGGGCAGAGACGACCCGACAAGTTCGGCAACCTGCTTCTGCTGAATGCCATTCCGGGAGCAGAAGCGGTCCAAGATGGAGATACCTTTGGGGGTCAACTGCCAGACGATGCCCTTCATCGCGTAAACCGACTGATATTTCCCGTCCGCCGATTCGATGAACCTCGCCTCGAGAAACCGCTGGCATATGGAGCGCGCCATGTCCTTGGCCATCGAGAACGTTGTGGTCGTGGTGGTCGTCACGATTCTTGAGGGGTCCTTCGGATCCGGCATCCGGTTGGACTGAGAGAATTTGAGCGAACCCAGGTTGTTGATGGCATCTTCAGAGAGAAACGTGTGTTCCACCTTGGAAAGTCGCACGCGATGTGCCGAGAGCGGCAGAAGGCTGACGATCAGGGTAGCGAAGAGGTCATTGAAATCCTATTCGCCAATTTTTGGGTTAGCTTCGTAGGCTTCTTTTGGGGGAACCGGACGATGTTCGATTCTGCGTTCTGGGGCCCAGTGACAACCTCCCGTCACTTACTTTTGTGAACGGACGATCATCGTCCGTCATGCGCAATAGCCGCGACGATGTTTGGTGCATTTTGGCGTCGGGACGGGGGATGAGGGTTGGCTCCGGCAGCGAGGGATTCGTCTGGCTGTACGGCTGCGAGGGTGGGTCACCGAGCACGATTGTCGGACTCGGGTGGCTGCCGTCGACGAACAATGGCCCCACGGGAGCGGCGTAGTTGGATGTTGGCCTAGCACTGCGAAGTCCCTTCTCCGGGCTGGACTGGCTGCTACCTAGTGATTCGGGACCGGTCGAGATGCGACTGAGCGACTGACGTGGTCGAACCCTGGGCTCCGCGATTCCCGCAAGCGTCCTGTCGAAAAATGCGAGGATGCCGTTCGACCGCTGCGAGCTGATGGACGAATGGCTCAGATGGTGGCCCCGATGAGCACTGCTGGCGCCAACCGAGGCGGAGGTTTCGCGGCGAGTGGCACTTGAGGATGACGGACCCGAGAGGGATGTGGTGTGGAAAGTCGTCGTGCGGTCGCGGACGGTCGGCGGGTCGGTTTGTTCTTCAGGCGGTGGCGATGAGCGAGATAACTTTGACGTCGCGGCCATCTAACATGGAGAGAGAAAATGGAGAGCCCACCGGAGACATTAATAAGAGAGGAGGGGTTGATTGTGGGTGCGTGGGCGTAGCGGGACTGGGCAGGCTTCGGTTCAAATAAAAGAGGGACGCCGGCAGAGAGCGAGCGAAAACGTGGAGCGGGCCCGCAACTGACTGCACAAAGAACGGCCCTGCAGGCCAGGGGCTAGCGTATGTGTGGGAGCAAGGGCCCGGGTGGGTACAGGTACAGGTACCTGTACCTCAGCGCCGCTTATTATGGGCCGGGCTGTGGACCTGTGGTGGGGCTTGTCCACTGCCGCTTGCCGTCTGGCCACGCTCGTGCACCTTCTGAGGTTGATCCGTTCGGCTGGACGCACACAAAGAATTCAATTTGTCTTCTTTTGCTGACAGTCTCAAACATGACGACTCAAAAATTTCAGGTTTCTGGAATTCTCTTTTTTGGGTAGAAACCGAATCTGAAGATTGAAACGGTGACACAGTAGTTGTTCCTGCCCCTCATTCTTCTGCCAGACCGCCGCAGCTGGTTCATGCCCCCTCCGCATCCCAGTAGCGCCAGTGGTGGTTCCACATGTTCCACATGTCGCGCTCCCATTCTCCATTCTCCTTGCTTCGTTTTTAAAGAATAACGAGCAACGGACATAAGAACATAGCAGCGGCTCCATCAACAAGGCCCTGTTGCCCGATAGAAATCTGAGGCAGGCGGACAGCCTCTCGGCACGTGGGTCGTCAACAATTTCATCAGATCCGGCAGAGCCAACCTTGGAAGCGCTTCTTGAAACTTCAGCAACTGGTGTTCACTGCGGACCTTGACCCACTCCGGTCCATGTCATGAGGCATATAGGGTACCTATGCACTATGGTATGATTAACATACCGTGTACGCACGCTCGCTGGCATTGATCGTACGCCAGGTTGAGGCCAGGAGACGGCGTTGCAGTCTTCACCAAGTCGCGAGGCTGCGACCGCGTGGAACAGTCAAATATGCCCCAGCGCTGAGCAAGGCAAGCCAGCTGCCTTGCGAAGTAGCTCGTGGAACCAATGGCGGCTTTTCACATTAAGCAGCAAAATGTCAGGATAACTAAGGTACGAAGCCTGGGCCGAAACAGGGTCGTCGGGATTGAGCCCACAAGCCTGGCTACAGTGAAAAGGAGGGGGTCAGCTCGTGATAACCTGGAAAGTTGAGAGCCGCCTTCACAGGAGGCACCTAATCCACACCTGAGGTAAGTTTACAGCCAGATGTAATCCGTACGGAGTACCTCCGGATACCATGACCAAGAGACTTATCAGAAGACACTGATTGGATAGACTAGCGACTGAGGGACTGGTCCAACGATAGCAGAGAGCAGAAACGAACGCGCCATCACAGGTCCTACGACCTCACGGCCTCACACGGTTAGATCTGGTGCGCGTGGCATCAGGGATCTTTTCCACGAGGCCTATCCGTAGTCCGTTTTCAGTGGATGCCCTGCAGCCATGCTGTTGGCTTGCAGACCAGTGTCTGTGAAAAGAGGCGGGGCTCACAGTCGGCAGTCACCAATCGAAGGCCTTGAAGACCTTTCGTAACGCTCCGAGCTGTGGACCCACACGGCGGAAACACGGAGAGCACGGGTCATGATGCTGCTCATTCATGAGCAGGCTTGACTCTTCGGCAGTGGAGTGGGCCGGCTCACCGCTTGAGCCCGATCTACCCAACAACAGGACCGTTTCTTGAAGCACTCTTCGACAGTCAATGCCGGAGGGGAAAATAGCAGGACGATCTGGAGTCGGAAAGACGGACTGCCGTGGTTTGCTGGGACTGGCGGATTTAAACCAAGAAGTCGGTGAGCCAACTTGACTTCATTATGCCCGAAAGCCAAGAACCAGGTCGCCATTGAGAGGTTATAAAAATGTTAAGGTCTCCACCACTGAACACGTGTAGGCATCCACCAAACTAAGTCCGATCATCGGCTAGCCGTGATGCCACCGCCCATCCGCTCACAACACTCGGAGGTGATCGGGGTAATGGGTTAGTGATTTTGTGCCTAAACATTCGGCGGGGCCAGATTGCGCAGTGTACACATCATGCCGGGACCATCACGGCACTTGCTGTCCTCGATAATTCCAAAGGACAAGAGGCAAGCTTGCCCGATCGAGGTTGACCAACATATATGATTCCCCTCGAGGATAGCAATGGCTTGATGATTTGTCATGCACTTGGATGTACGACAATCAACATGTCGACTGTATGCATAATGTGCTTTGGTTTTGAAGCAACGCCGCCCGTCTATGCCTGATCCCAGACCAATGGTAGAGTTTTGGGCTTTCCTCATATCCGGGTTGCTCGACGTTTGGCGTTTCACCACCTGCGAGCCTGCGTCAAATGAAACATGAAATGAACTTATGTCAATCCCACAGACAGAGTATCCGCAAACTGTCGAGGGCCTAGTCTCCGCCATGTTGCGTAATAAGCTCTGAAAATCAAGCTCATTAGCAGCCTTGGCCCAAACGGGTTGAAATAGCTTTGGGCTGGGGACCGAAGCTCTCGTCCGAACGGTGAAAGCCGGTTATAGGTATTATAAAAAGCATTCATACCAGCCTGAGTGAGGTGAATTGGGTGGGGGTCCAAGAAAGCCAAATCCTACCTGCAACCCACTCGATGGTTACCTGGGCAAGGGCATGGTGCCGAGAAGCGAGTGATCGAAGAGATATGATGATCCCCCGCGATAGGCAGAGGGACGCGCCCCTCCACAGGCTTGATGTGCTGATAATGCTCAAATATTCACCATCGTCTGGATATTACCCGGCGGGACATCAGGACGTGCAGCGGCGGACGACACGACACATCTGCATGCAGGTCAACATGGCTGTTCCCTCCGTGATAACCGTAAGATCTTCCACTCCCCACGTTCTCCACCTAAAGTAGAATACCCTATCGTATCTGAGTCAGCAGGTTTGCGCTGAACGAGGCATTTGATAAAGTCAAAACGCTGCTGTTGAATGTCCATCCGCCAATGAAGTCAATGTCTCGATGAAGAAGAGGATATGCCGAGGGCTGGGGAAAGACACGGGCATTGCCGTTGCCCTACACGGCGGGAATAACGTCGAAATTGAGCGTGCCGGCGTCTGGTTGATGGCGTTAACTATAGGGCTAGCCAGGTGAGATGGCTGGCCGGCTGGCTCGGAGTTTGTCTTAGGTGGGCAGCAGCAGAGCCGAATTGATAGGGGACTATATATCCCAGAAACGCTGCTGAGAGCGTTTGATCGTTTTGGGCAGCTATGTACCTATACCTCCGAAGCGGGATTGCCGCCACGTGAGCCAGCCTGCAGCCTCTGAAGGAGGGAAAGCGAGGGCAGGGTGGGGAAAGGCCACGTGGTAAGGCCAGCCACACGTCGCACAAAAAACCTCCCCCGGAATGGAACCAGACAAAGGGGTTGCGCAAGAATTGCCCGGCTTTCTGCGTTGCATACACTACACAGTAGATGCCGCTGATATGATTCTGGCTGAAACATCAAGACTGGTCGGATCTGCGCATTGCTTTCATATAGCTCCGTACCTTACATATTAATAGCAATCCTCTACTTCGTATTCCATTTGTGTTGAACCCGCGGGAGATGTCACAAGGTTTCAAGCTTTGCCTGGCCTTTACCTTAGACATTCTTTGTCGGACGGCGGCGAAGGCCAGCAGGGCCACTAATGTGACCAGAAGAGCCAGCGCTCCACTCAGCAGCCAGAATACACAGTAAGTGTAGGCGACAAGGCTTTGTTTCCCGGTGAAGGGCACAGTCTCGCCCAATCGTCCCGAGGATGTTCATTTCGCGGCAGGCATGCTGCGCGGTTGTTGGGAAAGCCACATGCAGAACGACCGGGAGCTCTCCCCTGCCACATGCCTCAACCCGACCAACCAGCCAGTCAGGTTTCTCCAAGGCCCTGCGGCATGTCCGAAACGGAAGGGATTAAGTTAAGCAACAATGACCCAACGACGCGGAGTTCAACAATGTATCTGGCTCATGGCAGGGTCGACACTGTACACTACCGTCGGGAGTCCCCTGCGAAAGAAATATATATCGGGACAGGGCGAGGTCATTCGTTGGCTGTCGGATCGTGAAGACTCTGCTCATCAGCACTAAACGCTAGCTTCAACGTTTTCAGCCTCATGCTCGCCAGGGGTGCGCGAGATCTGGTCCACAACTCGCGCTTCAAGGTTCTTCTCCCGCGAGCTTCGGGCCTTCTGGAAGATTTCTCTCGCTATCGAACTCGCCCACTCCCTGGTAGTTACTTGTATATACATGGCCGTTAACGTTCTCTGGCCGCCAAAGACCCTTCGGCCGTTTGCTGTATGACGGTGGCCGCTGACCTTACGGTTGGAAGTACAGATACTACAAGGCGGTAGGTTCCTTAGGTAGGCAAGGGTCCGGACCCCGGAGAAAGTTGGAGGGCCAGCACCTAGGGCACCTAACATGAGCTACTTTTCTCTGATTGCCTTGATGAAGGGTTGCCGTGCCTCTAAACATTGAGTTCTCCGGAGTCACCATTCCGGGGCAGTCGCCGCTGTGGGGCTAAAGTCGAATTTGGTGTCACTCGATGAACCAAGCGGCAGGATCCTCAATGCAGCGGCTTGAGCATGATGAATTTTCCGTGAGCCTCCGAGGATGGCCATCTGTATAGGTAATATATACCGCAAAAGGCTAGTAGTCACTGATCGATGGTGCCACAGTTGTGTCTGCCTCAGGCCTTTGCAAGGTCGATGTCTAAAGACCCGTGTGGCCGGAACAGAGGAACATTAGCTCCGCGGATCACGGACCAGCGGGGACGCCGAGACACAACTTCGGCTCCAAGTGAGCGGGTGCCCACGACCGGAGCCAGCATATGAGACGAAGCTCGTTGAGATGGGACGACGCCTTCTCATTGATGGTCAGATTGCCACCTCAGATATGTACAATGTTATATTTATAATAATGGAGATATTTGCTTTACACTTCGGGGGCTGGTCGAACACAGCAAAAGTTGTCTGTTCTTCGGCTGCGGCGTTTTACTCGGTATCTGTGTTCTTTGCAGCAACGAGCTGCCGTTGGGGGTATATGCATGTCAACTTAGCACTCATGGGTAGCTCCTATCAGCAAATGTGGCGGGGCAGCCGTCTTTGCAACGGGTCCAAGTTGGTTTCATGCTCTGCAGCTCGTCCAACCGTAAAGCATCTCAAGTGACATCAGCGGCTCGCCGCAACCGCCGACGTCCGTCTGGTGGTGGCGAGAGGCTGTTCTGATTACCGAAATCGTGAGACAACCATCTTCGCTCCTCTTCGATCGAACCCGCACTAATGCAAGCTCGGCTCGAGCTCGGCAAGTACCAGAGCAGAGAGTCGCAGCTAAGTGTCGCCACGCTACCTTAACCATCGCCGCGGCCCGACCTCTGAAGCAGCTTGGATCCTGCACACCCAAGCAAACCTAAACCTCTCTAGGCCGACCTGAGGGAGTAAAATTACTGTATGCCCATTGAGTATATCCCACCTGCAAGTCCGCAGTTCGAGAACCATGCCCGAATCAGTCTACTCCACCAGCCGCCTCGATCATGACTACGATCGCCGGCGCCCAGACAGCAACATGACGGCCCGACCAGGGCCCCGCTCGTCGACGTCCCCGCGCGGGGACGACTACATATACGAGCGGGTCCACGGAGCCCGCCGGCACCCGGGCCGACCCCGCCAGTCTCGGCCCCGGCGCCGGTCCTCGTCCCGCTGCTCTTCCTGCAGCTCGTGTTCCTCATGCTCCTCGAGTCACGACAACACGGGTAGAAGCAACATCAACGACAGGTACAGGGACGCACTCATATCGCACCCGTCACTGACCAGCCGCGCAAAGCGGGGTTTCTCACCGTCGTCGGATGACAGTGTGCCGGAGGAGTACACCGTGTACCCCGACGGGCGAATCCATGAGCATCGGCGTGGCGGGGAGAAAGTGGACAATCCGTATCATCGAAGGCAGGACGGGCATCACCGGGGTTGGGATGGGGCGCGAGAAGGAAGAAATCGAGAGAGGGATCGGCGAAGGCGGTCCAAGGAGGAGGCCAAAGGATTGCTGATTGCTGCTGTGGCGTTTGTCGCGAGTGTAATCCTGTGTTGGGATTAGGGAGAAGGCCAGCAACTATAGAAATGGGGCTCATCGGTCAGTTTCCGGCTTGTAGAAACGCTGCACCTTCATCAGAGAGTAGGTTTCCATTGACCAGCCTCTGATTCATTTGATCTGATTTCTCCCCAGGCTCATAGCTAATACGTAAAGATGTCGCTTTCCTTGCAGCTCACGTAACATCTTTCCACCAGGGGCCTCGCCAGGCAGGCAATAGACTTACCCGCTTAGCCACCAATCTGTCATCTGTCACTCATGTGTAAGGCCAAGAAGGCGGCCGGAAAGCTCGGGGGAAGGTACGGAGTATATGTCCACTCGAGCATAGACGATATTAATGCCGCCAGGACAAACACATCGATGGCTTGAAGATGCATCAACTCATCCAAACCACACAAGAAAGCCTTGTATATCATCTTGGCTCCCGTCCGCCTCGTTTTAGTAAAACCCGAGTCGCAAACCCGCCAGTATGTAGCAAACCCGGCCATAACCTGCCCATAAAGGGAAACGCCCACCCGAACGCCCAGCTAATGCCACTAAATAATAGAATCTGAACCGATCTATCATCTGCCCAAAAGGCCCCCCCCCTTAAATCGAGCTAGGCGCGGCGTCCTTGCGCCAGCCTTTGGCCCTCATATTCGCCTCGATGGCCTTCCAGATGGCCTCGACGACCTCGCGGTCCCGCCACCGGCTCGTCTCGGCCCCCGGCTGCCCCGGGTCGCGCCATTTTTCGACCGAGCACGCGAGCACTTTGTGGCCGAACGCGCGCACCGACTCGGGCGGCTCCTCGCCGCGCCACCCCAGGTACACGCCCAGCACGTGCTTGAACAGCTCGGCCGGGTTGCTCCAGCGGTAGTTCTTGAACTGCCACGCCTGGCCCGTCGTGAACACGGCCACCACGCGGTTCCAGTACTCGGGCTTGAACTGCTCGGGGCCCTCAACTAGGATGAAGCGCATTGGCCGCGACGGGTCGATGTCCTTGATGATGCGCGAGATGTGGAGCATGGTCGATGTCGAGTTATGGTCTGGGGGCGTGTACCGGCCGCCTTCGAGGAAGGTTTTGGCGTTGGACATGCGCAGGAGGGCTGAGGCGGACGGGGAGAGGAGGATGATGGGGTCGGGGCGGCGTGCGGGCTTCTGGTTGAGCGGGAGGGAGGGGTTGGCGCCGACGCCGGCGGCGAGGGGTGGCCCGCCCGGCTTGCGCGTCATGAAGGGTGAGGCGAGCTTGCGCACGTGGGAGAAGTCCTATGACAGTGCGTTCAGTTTATTGGGAGTCAAAGTTGTGGGAAGGGCGGCACATTGGCGACTCACAGTCGGCTTGATGCCCCTGAGGATGGTATTCCGATCGCCCATGCGGCGCTCCCCATTGTAGATCTGGGCCAGCCGCGGGTCCAGCGTGCCGCGTCCTGAGCGGCCCAACGCAGCCGGAGCCGCCTTCAGCGTTACCCCGGCGGCCGCAGCACCGACCCCTGTCGCGACGTCCTTATCGCCGGGTAAAGGCTTGATGAACTCGCTCTCTTCCTGGGCGCCCTCAAGAAAGGTAAACAGCACGAGACGCTCGACAAAGGCAAACATGTGCACGGCAGTGGCACCGGCCATTTCTTCGTTGAGCTTGGTGGCAACGGCATTATACTCGGGGATGGCAAAGTCGCGGTTCAGCCAGGCGAAGTAGATGGAGCGCACATCGACGGCCTTGCCCTCGGTCGATGTGAAGCGCGTTGGGGCATCAATGGGGACGGCGATGCGAGTCGGATGTGTGAATACGAGATGCGTCGCCTTGGAGAGGGGCGCTTCCTCGGACGAGTCGGGCGATGTGGTTGGGATGATCTTGCCATCAGCCGCAATTGACTGCCGCAGCAGCAGCAGCGGATCTTCTGTTGAGGCCATGTTGATTGCGCTGCCGAGATTCTCGGTTCAGGCGTTTCGGATTAGCACTCTTTTGACGGTGGAAGAGCGGGTGGTGCTTTTAGCTGCGCCGCCGATAAAGCAGGATTCTCGATTTACGGAGCCGTTCTTGTTGCGATGTTCGAGACGAGGCTGCGGCAGCCGGGAGCCCCTGTTTGAAGGGAGCTTTCGGGTCCCGCTTTTTGCCCCAGAAGGCTGAAGACAGGTAGAGCTCGGACCACGTTTTTACCCCTTTTGTTGACATCAACCCCTGAATCGACCCAGGCGGGCTGGAAGAAAACCCCCCAAAGAATGAGTAGAGAAAAGAAACAGAAATAGATTGAAAAAGTGAATCCCATGATGTGGAGACCAGGTGGTAATAGATATGCTAGACTTTCTGTCTCACTCCTCTCTACCTCCCTTGACTGATTCACAAGTCCTTACGCATTTAATGGAGGTTGTCGCCTAAGGTAGGCATTATTCAGGAGACGGTAAGCTATGTACAGAGATTGCTTCCTAGCTCGACACGCATAAGTAGTAAACAGTCCTTCTGCAAGGAATCAGGCAGGAAAGAGAGACAATATGGATGCTGTAACCCGCTTGATCGCGAGGAAGCCGGGAGCTGCCTGAGTGCACCACTCAAGGGCAGCATAGTTGAGGGCTTGCAGCACTTCTTCCTTGTTTTTCTTTTCTTGCTCTTACCAACGAGAAGGCAGGCATTTGTTGACAAAGACGAACTATCGTTGATTAGGGAAGGAACATGTTATCGCCAGAAATCCTGACAATGGAAAGCACGAAATCCGATAAACCGCCCACCTTTCCCCTCCCCGCCCCCCACCCCCCGTTCCCGTTCAGGTCTTTTACCCTTTTTCCACCGTTCAGAAAATCCGGACTGCAGAACTCACATAAGGGGACTATTTCAATGCTGGTAGCCCTGTCTGTGATCTTGGAATCGCTGGAACTTCGAGATTTCCGCAGAGCGTTGAGTCGCAAAAGCTCCCCAGGAGTGCTTGTTAGCGGGTGTGGTTTGCTCAGGCGTACTTCATGGAATGGGCCGTCTGCTGGCCGGAGGTGTCCTGAACCGGACATGGCGTTGCTAATTGTAACCTCGGCCAGACTTGGCTCGTGGTTCTCGTTTTATGCTCAGTTCTGGTGACGTGACCCGTCGATTCCAACCACCCGCATATATTAATCCAGTCTTTTGATAAAAGTTGTGCTTCAGTGTCGCATTTCAATTTCCCAGCACGGTGAACGACAGCAAAAGTCAAAAAGCTCAGCGCCAAGTCCCTCGTCGAGGTGGTATCTCTGAAAGCCCTCGGTAGTGACTTGCTTCGACGTGTGAGTATTTGAATCGGTGACCTCTTTAGGGAGGCCAGCCAACTCGCGGGGACAGTTTTGGCATCAGCAGCATCATTCCAATCGGCATGGTGACATTCTAAGACGGGTGGGTGAGAGGGAAATCGTAGATCTAATCCATATAGGCAGCAGCAATCTCCCAGGAAAACGCTACGGCACCACCGCCTGCGCTCCTAGCTGGGTGGTCGTTGTTTGTTTATCTGAAGAATCGTGACTGTTGGCCAACCCGATGTTGCTTTGCCTCTCCTGGCCGTAGCTGGTGATTGACTCCAAGGTCGGCGGCTGGATCATCGCGACTCATGTGCCACACAGTCCTCGAGATAGAATGGGTTAAAGACTGGGAGCCGCAATTGGATGGGCCAACGGACCTAGTAAAGGTTGAAGATGACTGTCGAAACCATATACGAAATTAATTTATTCTAGCGTTTGACGCAGTCGAGATGCCCTTCTGGGAGCGAGAGGCAGGATAGCGACGAGGCGGGCTGAAGTTTGAGGACGACAATGCGAGAGAGCAAACTGTGTAGGAACTTCTACAGCACCAACAGTCGACTGCTACCAGTTCCACTATGCTAGCCATTTTCGCTGCTCACGATTCATCGATGGCGCATCGCAAAGCTCCATTCACTGATCATCACATCATGCAAATCAATTGTCATCGGAGGCACGCCGACGTGACTAAATGGTATCATCTAAACTCGTCATACTCGTGAGCAGGAAGCCCGTTATGGCGGTCCTGACCACACCCGACACCCAACCTTGGTCTCGAGGCAGCCGTGACTCGCGTGCCAAACCTGGACTTGCAGAAGGAAACGATTTAGAAACCTCTTCCAAGTCGACCGTAGGGTTAGAACCCTCGTCGTTGAGTAGCCCACATCTAGAATCAAGCGACCTCAGGCGAACCTTCGCTCCGTCATTGCGTAATCAGACGTGGGCCACAACATCCCATGGAGGAAGGGCATGTAGCTGGACACGCGGGTCGCCTTCGTGTTCCGCAACAGGAAAAGCGAAGGCGAATAGGGACGAATATTGGTGGTTTGCTCTCATGAGTCCACCAGCATTGTGTCATCGCCATCGAATGCAGGACCGGGTTTCTCGATAGGAACACCTCTCCCCCGCCCAGCCAAAAGCTCCCTTCTGATCTCGGGAGCAATCTTGTCGTGACCATGGTTCAGGAGGAGGTCTAAGAGGGCTTCGCGTTGGTCTTCGGTAACTAGGCACGGAGCGTCAACATTAGGAGGCCAACCCTGCAAATTGCGCAATTGACTTACTATCGTTGCGATATCTTTGAGCGAACACAAGCATGCATTGGTGGAAAATAACGGGCAATGCCTTGGGAGCAGCATCGCCCTCCCTGGCAGCTGCGGCATACCGGAGGAAGTGGAATACGAGAGAGTCCACGCATTGCCAAGCTGTCGAGCCTTGTGTTAGTTGACAAAGGCTTTGAAGACAAACCAGATGGAGGACGTAAACGTACGCAACGCATATCGCTTTTCCAGGAGAACCTTGAGCATGTAGTTGGTCGCGCTGACACACTCGGAATGCTGCGAGGCCTGCTCTGCGGCAATATCGCACAGCGTCTTGATTGCTGCCGCTGAATGGAGTACAGGAATGGAGACCCGAGCCAAAACTGCAGAGACGATTTGCGCCTCACGCAACGTACAGGTGCCTCGAGTGGATGTTAGTATGAACCCACTTCTCCAAACACGAGAGACCAGGTGTCTCACCAGATGCTGCCAACGGAAACAGGAATCCTACGCTTGATAGTTAGCATCGAATTACGTGCTTTCCGTTCAGACAGACCAACCCTTGAAGAAGCCAGCAGGTTTGTAGAGAGCCCTCTTGAGGCAGTTGAACAGATGGACGTTGAGTTTCTTGTTCTCATAGATGTCCTCGCGGACACGCTCCAAAATGACCATTTCCATGAAGCGCTGCACTACCAGAGGCTTAGCTGAAACGAAGATCCTCGTCGCAGCGTAACACGCATTCGGAGTCCTGCGCGGGGCCTTGTCAGCTCGTCTTCTCTGATATCCGGCAATTCGGGCATACCATGAATCCGGGCGTGTGAGCTGGAGGATGTCCTCCCAGTGGGGAATCTGGGGCAGAATCTTGAAAGGTTTCGGCAGCGGGCCCGATTTGTACCGAGCAAGAATGAGCCCAATCCTAGCGGCACGTCAGCAGTCTCATACATGGTACCGGTTGACGCAACCCATCCCAGACGTACTTTGTGAACACCTCTACCACCTTTGGCGGCAACTCGTAGTCCTCCTCAACTGGGTTGCGGTCTTCTTGCCGCCCACTCTGCATGGCTTCTTTCTCAGCGATCTTGGCCATGATTAGGTCGGCCAGGTTTGTACCCGGCGCTTGCCCCTCGGAACCATCGCCTGGCTTCCCGTCCCAGCCGTGTGTCAGAAGGGGGTCGTCGTTCATTGTGGGCGTTATGAATCGGTTGAACGTTTCGAGATCGGCCGCGTCGACTTCAATCTCCTCGACAACATCCTCCTCATCGCCCCAAACCTCCTCGTTGGCAAACTCTTCCTCGTCTGGCTCGCTGCCTTCCCCCGACCGAGACGGGTCAAAGTCGAAAGCTGAAGTTGTCGGCACAGCCGTGTCCCTAGCCCCAGATTGAAGCTCCTCTTCGTCTATGAGTTCGCGGCTCATGGCCAGAATCTTGCGCGACGATTTGGCATCGACGTAGGCTTGCTCCTCGGCCTGCTTCCTGTCGGCCCGCTTCGAGGGCCGCCCCTCCCGGTTTTTGAGCACTCCCGTCGCGAGAAGGTCATCTTCGAGAGGGTTGTGTCGCCTTTTATTGGACAATGATGGTGTAGTTGCTTTCGGCATCTTTGCGGTATGTCAGTTCCTGGTACGATATGTCGGGTCCGTAAGATGTGTCTAGAGAGAGCCCCTCAATCCGTACAGACTGCCAGCAGCACACAGGCGTCAACTTGCCCTGGTAATTTTTCTTGCAACTCTCCAAAAAAGTTCCCGCTGTGGGGTATCTTGGCGGTTTGCGCTGCGACACCAATTGGCTGAGATGCCAGCTGTGCGGAAATACGATCCGCCGAGGGTCCTGGTTGATTTGATAAGATTAGGAATGTATCGATAACTGCTGGTGCCCCACGGTGCCCCACGTCTACAGCTCGGCATTCGCAAATTTGTACAACGAGGGTGAAAGCGAAGCATCACGTCCTCATCCTGTATAGCGCCTCCTGGTCGTTCGCTTTCTTGTCACCACTTCAAATATGCCAACAGAACTCGAGGAGGTGAATATCGTAGCATGATCTACAGCTGGGTGAAGTGACGGAGCTAACACTATACGCGCAGCTCGTGGGGTTCATAGCCCACCCGAACCCCCAGATCCGCAAGCTGGCGGCTGAAAACCTGGTGCCGTACTCGACGGAGCAGCCCTCGATTTTTAAGACGAAGGAGCTGCTGCCTGTCAAGCACCTCAAGTTCTTGATCCGAGATCATTCAGTGAGGGATTTGCCGCTGCTTGTTGTAGATGGTTCTTCCTGCTGAGTGGTAACGCAGGAAATTGCAGAGCATGCAATCACCATGCTGGTCAACTTGACGGCCGACCGAAGCATTCTTGAACATGTAGCAGCCGACGAGAGGTTCCTCGGCATTCTTCTGGGCAATCTGATTGTATGTATGCCGGCCATACTGCCGCCAATTCGACCCTCACCTAGCGCATCGGTGTGCAGGGCTGACCAAAAGGGAACGTATCTCGCAATAGGATCCAGCAGAGCCCAATGCCGATCTGCTAGCGATGCTTCTTGCCAACTTGGCAAAGTGGGATGGTTTGAAGAGCATCGTGACACGCAAACAAGACCCGCCTGCGGCCCTGAAGTCCAACGAGCTCGTACTGAATCAACTGCTTGACCTGTTCGTCAAGGGAGCGGACGGCACGTACAACAAGGATGCCGACTTCGACTATCTCGCCTACGTTCTCGCCGACCTCTCCAAACACCCTGAAATACGGCAGTTCTTCGTCACCACGCAGGACTACGACGAGGTCATCCCCATCAACAAGATTAAGGTCTTTACGGAGCACAAGTCAGATATCAGGCGGAAAGGCGTGGCGAGCACCATCAAGAACGTGGCCTTTGACGTGCCGGCCCACCCTGCCTTCTTGGACGAGGACCAGATCAACATCCTACCATATCTCTTGCTTCCCATTACGGGTAACGAGCAATATGACGAGGAGGAGATGATAGGCATGCTGCCGGATCTACAGCTGCTGCCTCCCGACAAGCAAAGAGATCCGGACCACAGCATTGTCCAAACCCATGTGGAGACATTGACTCTATTGACCACTACTAGGGAAGGGCGCGACCTGATGAGGAGTGTCAACGTGTACCCAATTATTCGGGAAACACACCTTCGTGTCGATGATGAGGGCGTCCGCGAGGCGTGCGAACGGCTGGTCCAAGTGCTGATGAGGGACGAAGCAGAGCCAGGTAAAGAAGGGGAAGCTGAGGGAGACGGTGACGACGACAAGATCGTCGAAGTTTAGGACATTCGCAAGAGGAAAGCCATTAGTTTACAAACCGTGGTTTGCACCAGCGAGTCGGGCAGACAACGAGATTACACCCCTGCGACACCGCCGGCACGGTTCCAGCAAGAGGTCGCGTGCTCTCTTTCCGATCCTGACAGCCAAGACACCAAGAGAGCCCACCAAGACCGCCACGCCGGCACCCAGGCGCAGCCAAGCAAGCCAAGCACCCCAAGCAAAGCAAGCGACGGGAACAAGACTGGCTAGAAAGCTTAACACAGACTGTGCAACATCGATGACGTTATCTTTGACATGGCAAGGAACGACACCTCTTGGACGACCACCCAAATTATCTGCGATGCATTCAAGCAAGGAGATGGAGGGAATGAGGTCAAGGGACTCATTCTCGTTCCCAACAAGATACGAGGCTCTGTTGACGTCTCATTTGGCCGTGGGACGGGTGACCATGGCTTTAAGGGTGAACATCTCAGACCTAGCTCGTGCCTCACTCGCTGGTGTCGATTGGTTGAACCGCTACAGATTCAGTCACTCTGCTATGATGACAGACTGCATAGGCAACCATGGATAGACATGTCACTTGCGTAGACTACGTCAAGAACATGTCGACATTGCCATCTGATTCTTCCATGAAATCACCCTGGTTCTGGAATTGATGTTGATATATGCCAAGATTGGCCTGGGAACTGAGAAGTTTCAACTTCACAACAGTGAAAGAGACTGTCGGCCCAGGTTTCCGAAATCTCCGTGTTTGTTGCGTCCAACGCAGCCGCCGATCAGACCTTTTGAAGGGGCATGCAAAATTGAAATGGTAATCTGGTCCGGATCCTCTCTTGCTTGCGGAGTGTCGTCAACTCGGGCGCTGTGCGTGCATCAGGACGCATTGAAAGTCTGACGAACCAGAGGTCGACAATCCACAACGTGGTGATCCCCAACTTGTTATTCGCGGGGAAGACCCCCATGCTTCGGGAGAAAGCCCGGCTGCGGGTAGCGATCCCTGCCAAGGACAGTGGGGTCTTGACCGGTACGACTTGCCATTTTTGGAGCCCCATTAGCGGACGATTGGCTCTCAATGCTGCCTTTGCTGCCGAGTCTCTGGCGACTCTCCCAACAACCCGACAACGCCACTGTTTGTACACTATTGCTTTGACTTTGTTGCAAGTTCCGAGGGCTGTGACCGAACGACCAATTTGGAAATCCCACGCCGGGTGGCAAAGGATGGAAAGGGCCAGGGGTCGCTGCGTCAGCGACAAACCGCCAAGTCGTGGCGCCGAGATCTTTGCCGATTGCCAAGATGTTCAAGAGATGCAGAGACGCCGAGAAAGACGCCTAGAATGCCCAGACTTCGGATGGACGGCCATTCAAGCAACGCTCGTCATCGAAGCACTGAGCCGCATTTGAATTTCGAAACCAGTAGTATTGAAACAAGGTTTGCGCTCCAGTAGTTGTTGCCGTGAGTTCCGTCTGCTTACGCGCTGATACGTCTCTGAGGAGTGCAGCTGGTTGCCACGTGCGATGGCTTCGCAACTTGAAGGGTTCAGAAAAACAGGACGGCCACGGGTGGGTGGGTGGATCAGGTTTACAATGTATGTACATAGTGACGACGGGCAAGGGTATGGCCAGGACCAAGAGGCGAACGAGCGCAGCTAGCATTGCCTGCATCCCACCTTCGCCCACTGGCACATGCAGTCAAGTGTTATGCCAGCCCAAGCGTTTTCTGGGATCCGTTCACTAACTCAGCGACAGGCACGCGAGCACTCCAAACCGACTCCACCAGGCTGTCTCTCCCCCTCGCCTCGACATTTAATACTTCTGCCCCTTCTGTTTCCCTGATTCCATCTCGCGTTTGTCGTGCATCGTCCTCTCAGTCCCCTACTCTCCTCGCCCTGCAAGGCCCTGATTTTCGAAAAGACGTGGGCAGACCTGGGCATCACTTGAGCCCTGCCCTTTCCCGCTCCCTCTTCCCTCCTTCTTTCACCACCTCAACAAACTCCCAGCACCTTGCTCAGCTATGGCAGAAATTCAAAAGACATCCGGCGGCAATAACGCCTATCACAACTTTGGTACGTTCGGACTGCAAAGCTCCCTCGATGTGACCTCAGAGTCAAGGCTAACTGTTTGAACAGTACGTCTGCGTCAACCCCGGCTCGTTTTATTCCACGGCGGGACATGGCTAACATTCCTTGGCAGCACAATGATTTTGCTCACATCAAGGACGTCAATGAGCGGCGGCGTCTTGCACTCGCCGAGGTCGACAAAGCTCCTTTCGGCTGGTACCATGTTCGCGCTGTCGTCGTCGCCGGTGTCGGCTTCTTCACTGATTCCTACGACATCTTCACCGTCTCGCTCCTGACCCTCATGCTTGGCGTCGTCTACTACCCCGGCGTTGGCTCGATGCCCACCACATCCGACACGGCCATCAAGCTGGCTACGTCGGCCGGCACCGTCATCGGCCAGCTCGGCTTCGGCGCCCTGGCCGATATCGTCGGCCGGAAGCGCATGTACGGCCTCGAGCTGATCATGATTATTTTCGCTACTCTCGGCCAGGCCCTGACATCTTCGTCTCCCTCCATGGACATTATCGGTGTCATCATCTTCTGGCGTGTCTTGATGGGCGTCGGCATCGGTGGTGATTACCCCTTATCCAGTATCATCACGTCTGAGTTCGCCACGACGAAGTGGAGGGGTGCCATGATGGGCGCTGTCTTTGCTATGCAGGGTCTTGGCCAACTCTGCGCCGCCTTCGTCATGCTATTCCTCACCCTTGGCTTCAAGTCGTCCTTGGAGCCCTCCACCAAGCTCGCCAACTGCACTGACGGCTGCGCCCAGGCCGTCGACAAGATGTGGCGAGTGCTGATCGGCTTCGGCGCCGTTCCGGGCTGCATCGCCCTCTACTACCGTCTGACCATCCCCGAGACACCTCGCTACACCTTCGATGTCGAGCTGGATGTCGAGAAGGCCGAAGGCGACGCCGAGGCCTACCTGAAGGGCAAACCGGGTGCCGCGCCCGATGAGATTGCCCGTGCTACTGCTAAGAAGCAGGCCCTTGAGCAAATGAAGGGCCAAAACAAGGCCAGCTGGTCCGACTTCTTCGGCCATTATTCCAAGCTCAAGAACTTCAAGCTCTTGGCTGGGTAAGTAGTCAGACGCTTCACAGTACCACCTCGAGATTGGCCAACTGACACTTCCTCAGTACTGCCCTGTCCTGGTGCTTCCTCGACATCGCCTACTATGGCGTCTCCTTGAACAACGCTACCATCCTCGAAGCTATCGGCTACTCCACCAAAGGTGCCCACAACACGTACGAGATTCTCTACAACACGGCCGTCGGCAACCTGATCATCGTCCTCGCCGGTGCCGTGCCAGGCTATTGGGTGACGGTCTTCACTGTCGACACCCTCGGCCGCAAGCCCATCCAGTTCATGGGCTTCACCATCCTGACCATCCTCTTCATCGTCATGGGCTTCGCCTACTTCCACATCTCGGTCAACGGCCTGCTGGCCATTTTCGTCCTGGCCCAGTTCTTCTTCAACTTTGGCCCCAACGCCACCACCTTTATTGTGCCTGGCGAGTGTTTCCCGACCCGGTATCGGTCCACCTCGCACGGCATCTCGGCTGCCATGGGCAAGATCGGCTCCATCATCGGCCAGGGTGCCATCGCGCCCCTGCGCACGCGCGGCGCAACGCCGGGCAACCCCAACCCATGGATGGACCACGTGCTCGAGATCTATGCGCTGTTCATGTTGCTCGGTATCGGTTCCACGGCCTTGATCAAGGAGACGAAGCGCAAGACGCTCGAGGAGCTGGCCGGCGATGATGAGGACGTGCCTGTCAGTGAGGTGTCGCGGGCTCCTCGTGAGGTTGTTAATGGGAGTCCGAGCGGGGTTGATATCGAGGCGAGAACGTAATATGCGACGTCGGACTTGTTGACTGTTTTGTTTATCTACGTAAAAATGGGATATTTGCGCTTCACCTAGCCGTGAAGGCTGTGTTGGTGGATGTGGCGGAGATAGTTCACCATGTTAGATTTATACCCCGTTCGCGAGTTGACGAGATACTCTCTCCTGTTATATATTCCGGAAATAGATGCACATTCCTTCAGTTCTGGAGATTGGTATAACCGGAATCTACATTAGCTTATGCAAGCTGTCTAGCGTCTCGTATATTGTTACTTCAACGTCCCGTCTCGTGTCATTGTTTCTTTCGCTTCTTCCCATTTCGTTCATGGTCCTTTCCCTTTCCCCACTTCGTACATTCCTTGTCCCGCCTTGGTCCTCCTTCTCTCATTCTTCTCTTACTACTCTAGCTTCAAAGTATCTACTGCCACCAACCGGCCCACCATCCTCCTTCCTTCTTCCCCTTCCCCCTTCTGGCTTTCACACTACCCCCACCAGTCTGTCCGGCCACGCCGGCAGCCAGCTCCCTGGCCTGGCCATCGCCATCCAACCTCACATTCACCACCACCGGAGTAAGCGAAGTGAGCGCTGCTTCGGCCCCTTCAGACCATCTGCCCCTGAACCCCCGCTGCTTCTCCGTCTCAGCCCCGGCCGCTGCGAGGGAAGGACAACAACTCTGGGCATCAGCTCCCGGCCTGTCTTTGCTGCTGCCCCTCCGCATTGGCTTCAAAGTTGGCAGCGGCGGCGATGACGACGACGACGACGACGGCGGCGGCCCGCTTGGGGACGAGGATGCCTGCTGGAAGAAGGAGGCGGCCCTCCTGATACTGCGGTAGCGCTTTCGCCGGACGGTCGTCCCCTGCAAAGTTGAAAGGGCATCGTTCTCTTCCGACTGGCGCTGGCCAGCCGCTAGTGGAGCCGCCACGCACCGCAAGCTGGCTTGACGTCGAGGGATAGACGGCGCCGGGCGTGCATGCGGTGACGGGGTTTTTGATTTGTATTCCTGTCCTGTCTCCAAGGGACGCATGTGCGCCTCCCTCGCGAGCACGTCGTCGTCTTTTGCTTGCTGTTTAGAGCCAGCCAGGAATGACAGGAAGTCGAGGACTGGAGGATGCCTGATAAGACTGAGAGAAGAAGGCGCTGCGTCCGTCTCGGATGCGACGGATTGGGAGCGGATGGCACGCTGCATCACGGCATGCGCGTTCTCAGATCCCCAGTGGGAGGCGATGACCTGGAAGAGAGGGTTTGGGCGTTGGATAATGGGAGGCGGCGACCATGGCGAGGCAGCGTTGCGTCGTTTGATGGTTGCGACGGCGGTGGTTTGGAGGACGGTATGAAAACTTGACAGGCCATCAGGCGCCGTGGTCTGTGCTGCCACTGGGGTCTGCAGGTGACTCTGCGGGAATCCAGAGTGACGGTATGTAAGGCGAACCTGGACATATTCCGTTACCGTACCGCCGAGTTGGTGTTCTAGGTCCTCGATCAACTTGTCTGAATTCTGACGGACATGGCTGTGCCCCAGACGACGAGCGGCTGGCTGAAGGCGGATGTGGGTGACAAAGAGGAGTCGGGTTCCTGGATGGAGGGTCCTTCGGATTTAACGCAAGAGTTAGGGATTCAGCGAAGTCAGTCAGTAGGATTGGACCTACTTGGTGTATGCCTTGCCGTCTAAGACTTCTACAATGGTGCTCTTGCTGGTCGGTAATATCTCAATCGAGACGTCGTATAGATATCCATACTGCAGTACATCTTGGAGCCGCTGTTAGATACTGCCGTGAAGTTGTGGTGAGTGAACTCCCATGGTCCGCTCACCTGGAGAGGGCTGACCGTCCGTGGCCGCGCCGTGATACCACCCATCAGAGTCGACCAGGCACACCTGGGTAGAGAGTTCTACAGCAGCCCAAACGGTGGCAACACCCTCATCAACAACTCTATACTCGGGTGTCACGACAATACTGGGAGCGAGCACGCACTGTCCCGGGAGAGACAGGGAGCGTGTGCCGGGAAGACTGGCGTCTGTCAGCACCGATGCATGCAAGGTTCTCGGGCCATCCCCTGAATCGTACGATTGCGATAGGTTAAACATGCTTTGCGCGTTCTTTCGGAAGGACGAGTCTTGGTCCCGGTCGTCCTCTGGAGTAGCTCGGCGTGCTGGGTTCGCCCACCCGTGTGTGCTGTCATGATCGACAACCCCAGCCAAGACTTGCCTCGGCCCCGATCGGACTGGATTGGACTTTCGATGTGGTGGCGAACCATACGGGATACGGCTGTTCGACTGATGTGAGCTCATGCATGATTCGGATCGGGGGCGCTCGAGAGCGGCAGGATCAGCCAACGGTGTAACTGCTCTCTCTGACCGGCGTAAGCAGATTGCACCCCACATGCAGCACGATAGAAGTAGGATGCCAACCGTCTGCGGTTCCGTCCCAGGCACAGCCAACAGGGTGACACATGGTCCACCCGCCCCGACCTCCCCTCCTCTTCGGAAGCGTCAGGGGTCGGCAGCCACCGGGTGGTCCCGGGGGGCTGTCCATAGTGGCGTCCGACTGATCGCTTGCAGGGCTGCAGCCACGAGCATGCCGGGCAATCCGGTCGCCGCCTTCTAGAGCTGAGCGTTTTGTGACATGCAACGGTCTCGGCACATCGCCGTTGTCGGATTGAGCGCAAGCTGCCACCGTCCGGGATGCCCCATAGCCCGCCACTGCCATTGCCATTGAAGATTGTTTCCTGCGCCTGGCGCTTGTCGTGCGAGTTGGGAATCACGGTACAGAAGGGGTTTTTGAAACTATTCATGAAACCGGTTCGTGATAGGGTAAGCGGGGTCGAAATCAAACACTCTGTACTGCCGAAGGAGTCTGTGCGAAGGTGAAGTAGTCGGTATTCAAAAGGGTATCTCCTGCTAAGCATGCCGGCAAGCCATGTAGTCTGCAAAGCCTTGGGTGCGTGGCACGAGATAAATGGCGGCATGCTCCATTGCGTGCCGGCTGCGACATCCCCTTGCCCAGGGAAAGCGGCACCTCGCGCAATACCTTACCTTAATAGGCACGTGTCGAAAATGATCGGGGAAAGAGCCTTTCAGAGGTTGTGATCCGCGTACAAGGCGGCTGCGCCAAGCGTCTGGAGTAGCCTAGATTTGACACCTTCAACTTCCGCGTCTTGCATGCTAAGGAAGTTGATCTGCGTTTTCATCGTTAGCTCTGGCATCTAGCAAAGAAGAGGTCAACGACATACCACATCATCAGCAGTCCCGAAATTCCCAAACAACACGCCCTCCGACTGGCTCGCCGCGATCCCTCTCTTTACTCGTTCCTCCCAGACACCTTCCCAGTTCCACTCCTCGGGGCGTCTCGTCGTAACACCGGCAGCGGCGTCAGCCTCCGGCCGAGTCTTCCCCTCCGCCGCGGCATCACTGCCTCCACTGGGAAATGGCTTTCCTGCAATCTGCCTCCGGTGCGTCCGCCAAGCGTGCCACGCGCCCGGATTCCCCGCCGCCTCAAGCGGCACCGAGTCCAACACGTCCTCATCGTCAAACGTGCTCCGGATATAGCGCAGCACCTCGTACGTCGACACCTCTCTCGCGCCCGTCCGCGCATACCCCGGCACCGAAGCAGAAGATGACGCAGCCAATGCCGCCGAGCCAGGCGCAGTGCCCGTCGCGGTAGCCACAGCCCTCGTCGGCGTTGTCACCTCCCCAACACTGCCACCACTACCGCCACCATGACCACCGCGATTCCCGCCCCTCGTCGCCGCGCTCCTCTGCTCCCACGCTCTGCTCCGACGCCCAAACCAGCCCGCGAAACCATGCCGCAAACTGAACCCGCCGGGCGGCAGCCTCTCCTCGTCATTCGCGCTGGCCGTGCCGCCGTCCTGCACATCGGTCGAATACATGTAGGTGGTCAGCGGCGTGATGAGCGGATGGAACATGTCCGTGGAGAAGGTCACGAGCGGCGGCAGGGTCGGGTACGTGTCCGGGAACGAGATGTTGAAGCGCAGGATTGCCGAGGCGTAGGGGCCTGGGGAAAACAATTTCAGCTCAACTTTTCTTCAAATATGCGAACCAACAGCGCCTGGATGCAAATAAGACAAAAGGATGCGAGACGAACCTTTCCGCACGAAGATGATGCCCGACCAGAGGGCTGGGTCGCCTGGTGTGAGGCTGACATAGATGCCATGAGGACAGGCTTGTTTGAGACCGGCACTTTGGGGCCGAAGACAGATTTGTTAGCTTTGAAAGACTTTGGGCTGGCTCGGATAGGAGAGACACATACAACTCAGCGAGCAGATGTTGGCGTTTGACTGCAGGCAGATTGCACATTTCCCTTGTCTTGGGGCAGAGAAATGTCTGTTCCGTTTGGGAGTTGATTGTTATTTTTGAAAGAAACTTGATTTGTTCAGATGCGTAGATCGTTTGAGGAGAGAGAGTCTATACATAAGCGAAATCCCAAGTTCGACAGGCACTTCCAAAACTATGATGCTTCTAAAATCCGTGAACCACGCGCATTGGTATTGCGAAACCGCGACGTTTAGGTTCATGCAACTGGCGCCAAGAGGCAGAGGAGAGCGCGTAGACCATCAAGGGTTAGGGTCGTGGGCATGCCAATCAGTTCCACCAGCTCCTGACAACTGAAAATGCAATGTAAGATGCATGGTGTATCTGTACATAGTAGAGACCTAGGGGCGTTGCCAATGCTTCCACGGGCAGTTTGTTTACCCAGGTCGCATGTGTCTGCAAGCAACAGATCTGGGCCCAATTTTGCAGACGCGATGCCAAGTCGCTGCTCCGGCGTCTGACCAGCTTCCGTCACGGTGCAAAAATGCCCTGTCTGAGACACGCGTCACACCGGGTTCGTTTACAGCTACCTATTGAGCGCTCGACCTTTCACGCCATCACCTACCTACCAAGCTCAAGCCTGCACCTATATACGGCGCAATAAGACTGTCGGCTGACGCCCGCCCATGCACGTCGCCCAAAACCGGTGGACCTTTACCACTTCGAAACCGAACCATGCTGCCCCGGTTCGGAGAGGCCACCATTGGACAACCACCTCGGTTGTGACGCCTTCGCCAATCCTATCCCTTCTCTTCCGGGTCCCGCGCATGATACCCCAGCCTTGGCCAGCTTGGTAGTTCCCCTCTCTTTCCCCGGACTCTTGCTCCGCACAGAAGAGTCCCCTGCTTTCAGGACTTAGACGTGAGCCGGGCCTCGATCTTGCTCTTTTCCTTCTCGCGAAGCTCTGCCAGCTCTTCCTTGGAAGCGTCGTAGCGTGCCGTAAGCTGATTGAACGGGTTTTCGGGGCTGCGCTCAAACTCCTTCTTGATCTTCTCCTTCTTCTGGTTGAGCCGAAGACCTGCCCCGCTGCCATCTGACTCCATCTCCTTAAGTCGTCGCTCCTCAAACTGGGCATACGCTGCCTTGAACCGTCTCTCGGGGTGTTTGTCGATCTTCGTGTCCGACTTAGATGTCAGGGACAAGGCGTCCAGGGCGTTGTCAATTCCTGATGCACTCAACGCCGGCAAGCCTCCGTTGCCTACGTCGTCAAGTTGCGACAGGTCCAGCCCCCTAGTCTTCTTGGTTGCCGTCTTGGAGTTCTTGGGCGCCGATCGTCCTGCTGTGTTCTTCTCTTCCTCGGCGAGCAGGGCTTCTTTCTCAGCCTTCTTCCGGGCTTGCTCCGCTCTCTTGGCTTCTTCGGCTTCCCTGTTGGGTGGTGGAGAGAGGTCAGAATTCATCGCCCAGACCACGCCCGGGGGCGGACCAAGTCTTGGACAAGTCCATGGAACAGCTGGGTAGGCAGCGGCTCGGCACGTAGGGTCCATGCCAGCGCATGCATGGGCCTGTTGTCGGCGGACTCCGTGATCTGCTATGCAGTGCCATGGAAGACATGCAGCAGCCCAAATGCCCCGTCACGACAACACAGCAGCCAGACCCCTCGCCACCTGTCGAATCGCTGACCGGGCGATACGGCCCGGTGGCAGCCCGCAGCAAACACCGTCCAAAAGGCCTCATCGAAGAAGACCCGGCAACGGAAGAAAACGAAGTAAAGGCGAGACTCACTTTTTGGCGTTGCTCTTGGCTCCTTTGTCCCATTTAGCGGCCTCGGCGGCCGCTCGTTCGGCATCAGCAGCCGCTGCCTTCGCGGCGGCGGCCTCGGCCTTGCGGGCCTGGCCGGCAGCTTTCTTGCTGTTGCCCTCGGCCCCGCCTTTTTTCCCACCACCCATGTCTTTCAGTGTCGTTCCTGTCGATTCGCCTGCTTACCGACGATCTTCTCGTCAGTCGCGCCCGTATGTGTGCGAAGAATGTCTGAGTGTGGCGTAGATGCTACTCCTCGCAAAGTCAAGAGTGGATGAGCAACTTCAAAGGATAGTGGGGACGGGAGAGAAAGTGACACAGCAGTGACGGGACCACCAACCTTGGCGGGGCTGGCCCGCTGTGAAGCCCAGACTGGAAGTGGGGCATATCCACACTGGCAACCCGCTTTGGAAGCATTGATTTCGCTCCCTAATCTGAAATTGGTGGTTTCCTTCTGTTTGACTTCCATTGCTGTGTAACCAACTCTTTCCTTTCCGACTCGTCGATGCAGTCCTGAGTCACTTGCCCGGGTGGCTCCTTTTTGCTCCGGCTTTCACTTTCGACTTCCATTCATGCTGCACTCCCTTACTTTTTGGGCGCCGAGGAGGAATCAATCTCACATCCGGATGATGGGAGTCGTGTACGGAGTAAGGATCACCAAGCTATCTTGACGCTTCCACTCCTTATCCCGGCTGCGATTTTGAACACAGGCTTCCTCGATACTGATGACTCATTTATTGGCGGGCGTCGCCATCCATGGATGGTTTGAGCCGCTGGGGTTCGTTCCCAGGCGAATTCCACCGTTCACTTGGGTCGGTCTTTTGCGGTAACCTCCTGTGCCGTACAGGCTCCCTCTGCGGTACTCGGCGCGTTGTGCCACGCGAGCCCAAGACTGTACATCCAAGAGGACCCTGGAATGTCGATGGACCTCCTGGCGCGGCGATGCTGGCGAGGGAAGGGCAAACCTTGTGACCAAAGTCACACATGCAATCTGGTGCCAGCTTAGAAACCCAGCGTCCAGAGTGGTTGATGTCCGGTGGAACGGGTGCCGACAATAATCGGCAATCGGGTAGCTGACGATCGTTCGGGACCACATCACACTGACGGCCCTGCGGCTTGAGAGGTCGCCGGCTGCGGCTCAAAGAACGATTTCGTCGATATTGTATGTACCTTGTTGCAACCCATGAGTCGAAGCGAGATTGGAAACGACAGGTCATTGACGCCTATGCGATACCTTGGCCGAATTAGTACGTAGCAAGCTGTAACAGGCAATCACAGTCATCGTCCGAAGCCACCGTATCTGGCTGGGGTGCCGCTGCTGCTGTGTCACACAACTGCATGCTGTGTCGTTTCTGGAAGTGCCTCTGCCCAGGGTCGCAGACCGGTCAGAGAGCGCGAGACAGCTCAGCGCAGAGGCTCAGATCCAATGTCAACCGACCATTTTGCCGGAGGATTGGCCCCGAGCAGGTCCGTCGCCCTATTCAGGTTGGTGTTGTTCACTCGTTGTTACCGACAAACCGCGCTTCGGTTCTGGTAGAACCGGGGTCGAGCTGTACGTGCCCCTTTCCTGCATGCTTAGCTAGGGCGTTGATAGGGGAGATGGGACACGAAACTTGAGAGGCGGCGCACCAAGATTCCCAGCTGATCCTTCACGAACGCTGCGCAGGATATGTCTGAATATAATGCCGCCGTGAACATCACCTCGCACAAGCGAGCCGCCGTAGTCAGAAGGGAAGAGTGACCTAGCGCAGGAGAAGCAGCGCTACAGCTGGCCCCGCTCTGGTAAAAGGTCGCGACGACCGGATTCCAGATGGCAGCGTCGACCCTCGAGTCTTACCGGCCGACAATTGGCTTCGGGAACGAGGCTGCAGCGGGGGCCGAGGCTCGGACCTAGTCCCTGTTGATATGCCGCGTTGTTGGGGAGGGGAGCGACTTGCAGGACATTAAACAACCGCACTCGCAAGGGAGTTGAAACCTCACCAACTAGGTAGACGGCGTGTAAAACATGCTCGGGCTGGATGTCCGCTGCGACTCGGAATTTGAAGACGAGGAAAGAGGAGCGGAATCCTCGCGACACTGACGGCTTCAGCTGAGGATTCGAAAGAGGGAACCCGGCTCGGATGTGCGTGAAGTGCATCATCCTGACGGAGGAACGAGGCAACCCGCATCTATCAAAGCCGAAGGAACACATCTGACGTTGGTAGAGGCGCCGATTCTTTGCTGCGGTTGCCTTGGAAAACCGCAGCAAACAGGCTCGTCCGGCATACCTCATTTGTACGGGATTGCAGTGGGCAGGTCGCTGCAGGCGCCCTCCGACTGTCACCCAAACATGGCATCCCTTTCCGCTCCTCGTGCCCCAGGTCCCGGCGGCACACAAACGGCACGTCGCGATCCGTCCTGCTGTTTGTTCCGATTCCTGCCTTTGAGCAATTCGACAAGCGTGCAGAACTCGCCGAGTATGCGGTTGCGATCTTGTCGTCAGCGCATTGCCATCGCCCCATGGGCCATGGGTAGGGCGAGTTTGGAGTATACACAGTAAGCGGCAGAACCCTGGCTTGTAGGAACCAAGGTTACAGTGCCACAGGCGTGGCCCAGTTCCCCGGAACCGAGAACACTACTGTATGTACTCCGTTTGCGGGGGGTTTCATTGAGACCGCCAAGCCCCGTCGCATCACTCTGCGGTCTGGCGTCGTGAGCTGATAGACTCGGATGTATGGATGACAGGCTGACGGACACCGGACCTTCTGCGTCTTTGGGAACCGCTGTTAGGTGCCGGAGACGGGTCGTAATAAGGCAGGCAGCATGAAACTGGACAAGCAGGAGGTCGAATTTGGGAGCTCGGTTTCGGCTGGGAATCCGCCCGAGACCTGGACGCATCTCAGCTCCCCCACGCGTTGGCCCATAGTTAATGTTAACAGCGGAGGGAGATCGCACACCGCCACAAGCCCACTCATCCTTCCAAAAATGGCATCCCGAAAAACAAATTCGAAACATGCGAATGAGGCTCAATGTTGCTGTCAGAAAGACTCATCATCCGAGATCCTGCTTGAAATTGCAGGCGCACAAGTCCCCTCTTGAGGCTTTTTGTCTGCCTTGGCACCTGACAGTCGTCGGTCAAGGACGCTGCCCTTGTGGTGAGGCTTCCGTCCTTCGCCTGGCGCTGACCCACCACGGATCTTCCTCGGCCGGTTGCCCCGCTGTCGGGCGAGACGAGAGATCCCGGCTTGTGGACGGGCCCGTGCTTCGTGGGGAGAAAAGAGAGCCATGCCAGAGCTCTCCACTGCCAGGGAACACCCACAACCGGCGAGACCGGCAGTATGGATCCGGCAGTTGAAGATCATCTGCTCCCTTCGAACAAGAAGGCAGCCAGTCGCCAATGCCTTGTATGAGAAGTTTCAGGCTCGATGCCAACATCATGTGTATCTGTGCGCCTTGGATGGTAAAAGTATCCGGTCGGGAGTTCCTGGCAGCCAACCTCGGGATGCTCCCCCGTGTATGTAGTTGAAGCTGGTGGAGAAAAATGTCTGATGGAACGCCCGCAGATCGTTTCCTGTTGGACAGCAGAAGCACATGATCTCCAAGGGATGCGTGCTGGGTGAAGCGAGGTGGAATCTGTTGGCCAATCATCTTCGAGGACCATTGAATGGAACAGATTCCGATCCAAGTTTCTTCTTTCTTATTCTTCGGGACAGGAAGACGGGACAGAACTACGAGTTTGTATCAGTACTGGGGACTGTGCGGCAACTCGATCTATTGCTGTGGCAGTCGCTCTCTGGTGGTTTTTCGCACTCTTGCGTCCCGTGCTACGACTGGTGCAGGATCTCATACAGGGACCTGGCAGAGAGGCACTGTGTTCTGCCAAACTGTCCTGCCGGCAGTGAGCAGGTACAGAGATCGAATTGAACGAGGCAGGTCATGTGCTGATTGGTGCAGGACAGCTATCCATACGGTACCCAACTGTAACGTCCACATTACGTGGTCACAGATCAGCTTCGATGGCCCTCGGCCCGGAAATCTGGTTGGTAACCGCTTGGGGAAAACATGTTTCTGGAACCGAGTTGGCTTACAAGGATGGCTTGTTGATGGGGGCCATCGGCCATCATCTCAGGGGCAGACGTACGTGAGTGCTTGGAACCGGCCATCGGCCAAAAAGAAAAAAAGCAAAAAGAAAGAGGATGGGAAACAGGTAAGTGAGGACCATAGTCTCCGCCTCATAATCTACTGTGTATACTCCCTACGTACATCTGATTTCAATGTGTGAGCTGTATTTGGAGGCAGTCCGAAATACTTACCTCTAATGTACATATGGCTAAGGTACCTTGCTGATATAGGCTGAGCTGTACGAGTAACCACACGGTACCTTCAAGAATAAGGTACCTTTTGCTACGGTAGACATGCGGCATCCGGCACTGTCCCCGTTTGATCAGGGGTGATGAAATTCTTCTTGCGAAACCCGGCCTGCGGGTGGGTGTCCGATGTGAGCGGGTCCGCCACATGGCTCCCCGTAACCGTGGATTGGTTCCGGTTGGTTTGCCACCACCTCGGCCTGCCACACAGAAGGGATGATCGGTCCATGTCCAGCTCGCCGGGCCAAGCTCCACATTGATGCCAGACTAGCAAATTTATCAGGGGCATTGCTGCTAAGTTTTTCCAGTCCCACACACATCTTTTCTGGGTTTCTTTTCTATTAATGCCATTGATGGCGAATCCGGTACTTAGTGTATCGCTTTCCAACCGGCAGGGCCTCAGGAAGTGTTTCTGTACTCCGTAGATAATCAATCACCTGTGAGCTACGTTAAGCAGGGTACCTTGTATGTAAACCGGGTGCTGTGGCATTGCATGTGACTAACGTTTAACGTTATGCGCGGCATGGAAGCACTCACGGGATCTACTGTAGGTTCGTGCATGCCTAGGACAATAACTACCTGCCGGCAGCTTCTGGAACATTGCAGCTCATTCCTAGGTCGAGATTCTCTGGATGACGGTGATACCTAGGGTAGCGCTCCTCGAAAATGATGAGTACACAACATGGCCAACTAAACCACTGGTTTACCGGTGCGACACGGAGTACATAGTCTGGGAATCCGGAACCTATCCGTCCTGACGCATCTTCACAGAGGCAAACATGCTGGTACAGTAGTTGGCGTTGTGGGTCACAGAGTATTAATGTGAACCTAGGAAGCGATTCCGGGCTCCGCGATTTGCTCAAATCGCTGATCACAAAGCTACCCACCACTCGGAAGCACCAGCGTTTACCGCAGTTGTCGACATGAGATTGCCAGCGTCTCTTTGCTCGAGAAAGCTTCCAACACATCGTCATGTCGCGCGACATGACCGAATGGCAGCCGGGACGCCTTGCCAGATCAAAAGTATGTTTTCCAAACGCAAACCACTCTCAGTACCTGCCTGCTCTTGCGGGTTTAGTCCATATCAAGAGACAAAACGCAAACTGAGCGTTGGGCCCGGCGTCAATCGCTCCACTCCCCTGATCTTGGACATTGACCGACCACGATAGGTACGGAGGTATGCGTGCAACAAAGATCGGTGGCTTGCCATCGGTGTCGTCGATTCAGCCAAGTTGTGTGCCAGGCTGCTGTGATGACTCGGCATTCAAGCACCTGACACGGAGATAACGATAAAGCCTCGGTCTTTAGTTGCCCTGAATCACGTACAGCACTGAGGTCTGTATTCCGTCGAGGTGGGTTGTACCGACTGCCGTCTGGCCCTTCATGTCTTCTGAGGTTGCATACGACCCGGCCGGCGACATGGCCCCGGCATCGCGACTTCCGATAGCCTCATTGTTCTTAAATTGGCTGATGAGGCGGTCGGATGTTGGGTTTGTCACACCTGACTTCATCCCGGCCCGCTCCAGCCTGCATGCGATGATGGTCCGTGTTGGGGAAAGTACGAGGAGGATCGGATTTCAGAGCCCATCACGCATGCCACTTTCTGGTTCCTTTTGGGCCACCCCCAGGCACCCCCGGTCGGCGCTCCACACCCGACTACTCAGGTGTCCCGCAATTCTCCGGGTTCCGGCATTGGTAGCGATTCACCGCCTCTCGATGAGCGTCACAATCAGCCAACTCGCGCCAACAGCTTCCCACAGCCCGCCCCCATTCGATATCATCCGCGGCCCGCACGGAGTACCCTGTGGTGTGCTGTCTATGCCCAGTCGCTCGTGTCTTACTGCGTAGACGAACGACGCGTGACGACATGTATCAACCAGGAGCCAGCGCCTCGCGCACTGCCCTGTTGGCCACGACCAATCACTCCCAGGACAGAGACAGGATGCGGCATGCGTGTATTCATGCAGCCGTCCCGCCTTGGTGTTGAGCTCACTTCATATCCAGCGAAGAAGGGCGGCTCAATCCGGCACTGGGAAAATGGCGCCGCCTCATTTTCTCCTCCTGGAGCAGTCGACCGAACAGACCGAAGCCTGCAATCAAGCACCGAGGTGGCAGCCTCATGAGTGGGGAGTCTGGGGTGTTAGCCGCGAATTGCGACGGTGATGTGTTGGTTGGTAGTATCATCCGGACAAGGTGCCGACCAGCCATCGTCCGTTCGCCCTCCCAACCAATTTTCCGCCAACACCCCTCCGAAGCACTCGCCAGCAGCTCCATTCACTCTGCCCATCAGTCCGAAGCTGATGCGCCCGGATTTCCCGAGTCGCTTGCTGTTGTGCGATGGCTTCCTAAGACATAGGACATGGCCGTCCTCTACAGGTAAGCCGGGCATGCATTGAGCCTTACGCGGACCCGAACACAAGAGATCAACATGTTTTCTGTCGTGCAGCCAACCGTCCGCCATTTTCCTCTCAAAGCTGCTCGCGTCCTTGCCGCCACCGACGACGACACCACACCAGGGACACCCGCTGTTCTCTCACAAGGGTTGACCAAACAACCTCTCATCACGGAGACTTCGGGTACGGGAAGGCCCTTTTGTCAAGGGGCCGGCCCCATCACGTCCCAGCGAAACGGTGACGAGCCCGGTTGACCCATCGGAATACCCCTGCAAGTGTAGAGCAAGGGGTGAAACGAGAGACTTCCGGCCTTGCGTAGGTAGTGTACGTACCCCGCGAGACAAGGAAAAGAAAAAGGCAGCCATCGTTCGTTTGCGCCAAGCCCCGACCCCTGTCAAGATCCCAGGATCAGTATGGCAGTTGACGCTGTCCGCAGCACTGACTTCGTACCATTGGGAATGTACCACGGATACATCTGAGCTTACCTTACCTCCTGCGGAGTAGTCCAGCCCCAGGATCATCTGGTTTCCTTCCTTGGAGCCAGAAAGTCGAAGCTTGTCACCGCTGTTTCATCGTTTCCCTCGAGGAAAAAGTTAATTTTATTCTGGGATTTTGCCCACATCCCACGCAAAGGGTCCCCACACAGTCAGATGGATGATCCGGTGACCTCTGTTCTCAGCCCTTCCCGCAGCCTTGGTCGGCTTCCCTGGGATGTAGTTCCATGTAGCAGCTCATGGTGTGGATCAGATTGTTTCTCTCCAGGGGAATATATACATCCTCTCTCAGTCCTCCTACTCCCACTCTTGTTCACGCACCTTGCTCCTCGGTTCTCACTTCTTGTCAAACCCTGCTCTCACCTCTGCCATACTAGGTTTCGTATCATCAACAACTCGAGTGGGAGCCAGTTGCCGGGATCGGGGGGGCTTCATACCCCATCTGAAGTTCAGGTACACACACAGACCTGCCCACGAGCTCACCTCCCCGCGGAACTACCTTGGTACACACCGATCCTCAACTCCAACAAACAAAATTCAACTCGAACCCGTCTCTGACCTGCGATTGGGTGGGTCTGGACTTACATCGCTCTGCGACGGTAACCTTCGGGCGGCAAAGGGGTTCACTCAACAGCCGGGACCAAGTCTCACATCAACAATGCGCGCTCGAAGGAACCGTGTCATGGCCGGCCCGGAGCGGCCCCCATATCCCGGAAAGCAGTTGCTCATCCTAGGTAAGTTAGCACAGGAATGGTTTGCATACACGACTTCTAACATGATGCAGCACTCTGCCGGATATGCGAGCCCATCGCATTCATGTCCATCTTCCCATACATCTATCACATGGTCAAGGACTTCAACCTGACGGATGACGAGAGCCAGATCTCGTTTTATGCTGGCATGGTGACCTCAGCCTTTACCTTTGCCGAGTTCTCGACCAGTGTTTTCTGGGGAAGACTCAGCGACAAAATCGGCCGGAAACCCGTGTTACTAATGGGAATGGGCGGTACGGGCTTGAGCGTTCTCATCTTTGGCTTCGCGCCAAACCTCCCAGTCGCCCTGCTCGCTCGCGCTCTGGGCGGATTCTTGAACGGGTAAGACTCGAGAAAACAGGCTGGCGTCTTCCGGCAGGGGAACCTTTGGGCTAACAGGAGAAGCAATATTGGAGTGTTACAGACAACCGTAGGCGAGATGGTGACGGTCAAAGAACATCAGCGTGAGTTTACCGCGAGCATCGATGGTGGGGGCGAAACAATGAACTAACATGGGCCGCTAGCACGCGCCTACGCGGTTATGCCGTTAGTCTGGTGCATAGGGTATGTCGGAAGTGTGAGGACAGTAAATGTGGAAGGGTCAGGATCGCTAACGGCACCGCCAGCTCGATTGTTGGGCCCATGATTGGGGGCGCACTTGCGAAACCGGTCGAGAACTTGCCGTCGGTTTTTGCACCGGGCAGTCTGTGGGACCGCTTCCCGTACCTACTGCCCAACCTCTTCAGCGCCATCTGCGTCTCGCTCGGAGTGATTACTGGCCTCTTGTTTCTGGAAGAAACGCATGCCGAGAAGAGGCACCACCGCGATCGCGGTCGGGAGCTTGGTGACTACCTGCTATCCCATTTGCGCGGAAGCAGCGAGCTGGCCGAGGACAGATCTCTAGCCAAGGACGCCGAGAACCAACCTCTCCTGTTTGAGACCGAGGAGTCACTGCCTGGGTATCTTACGAACGGTGACTCGGCTCGCCAGTCATCGGCAATCGGTATATCCGGACAAGAAGCAAGGGACCTTGAAGAGGGATGCGGCAGTCAGGGTTCGAAGAAGGCGACAACCATTTTCACTAAGCCGGTCGTTACCATCATTTCCTCGTACGGCATCCTCGCGTTGTAAGTCAACCCAAACGGATCGGCCGGCAATTGTCATGACTGACACGTTCTAGCCACACCATGGTCTTCGATTCGTTGCTTCCCGTGTTTCTCAGCACGAACGCACCAGAGAATCATCTACCAGTCTCGCTCCCCTTCAAGTTCGCCGGCGGCTTCGGCCTGGACACGCGGACGATCGGCGTCATCTTGTCGGTTCAGGGGCTTTACTCGATGGTATCGACGCACTTCCTGTTCCCCTTGATTACCGAAAAGCTGGGTCCGCTCCGACTTTTCAAGCTCATGTCGATGCTGTACCCGCTGCTTTACTTTTTCACGCCATACATCGTCCTCCTTCCCGAGAGCCTACGCATGGCCAGCGTGTACATGATCGTCATCTGGAAGTGCACCTTCTCGACACTGGCTTACCCAAGCAACGCCATCCTTATCACCAACTCGGCCCCGACCACATTGACGCTGGGCACCATCAACGGGGCGGCTGCCTCGACAGCCAGTTTATGCCGCGCGCTGGGGCCCATCGTCTCGGGGCTCCTGTACACGATGGGCATGGAAAGCGGGTACTCGGGCCTATCTTGGTGGGTCACTGGATTGGTGACCATCGGCGGCGCTTTGGTCGGCATGAAGATCACGGAACCCCGGGGAAGGATGGACGAGAAGGACGACATCGAGGCCGTCACTGAATCGCAGGCTACTCGGGACAGCGCAGGAACTAGCGAGAGGCATGCTGAGCAGGAGTGAAGTTTCCCTTCACCAAATGACGTCTTTTCTTTTACTACTCATACCTGGTTCACACGAGTCGCCATGGCCAGATGCCCTCGGGGGCCCTCCTGCGCCGCCCAATTTTAGATGGGCGGCGTTTGCCTGTGCTGGCGCTCGCGGCGTTTTTTTCAGCATGTTTCTTGTTGTTTTTACGGGCAAGTACAACATTCCACGGGTCATCAACACTGGGATAGATCGGGATTCCTTCAGTGAGCGGGTTTCTGGGGACACACAACAAGCGGAGCATGCAGCTTTCTGATTTGGGCGACGGGTGTCTTGGGCCAATGGCGTTTTCCCCTTGTTTCGGCTTTTCGGCTTGGTTGCAGCGGGTTACTTGATCTTTCTTAGAGACACAGGCGAAGAGGACTTGGAGGTACAGGACTGGAGGATGTCGTTGGAATACAATTCATCTGCTGAGACCCGGTCCTAGTTCCTTGAGACAGACACCAGTGAATTGGTCACGGCAGTGGATGGGTTATTCCCGGGTCTCCCCATACCACACCGTACATGCACATATAACCCCTCCCTCTATCCTAAACAGTTAAGGCGTCTTTCTGCCTTGTCTCTCCAAAGTGAAGGCGGGCGCTGCACTTGGCGGTCTCATTTTTGGAGACAGTTTCGGCATCAACAGCTACCTCTACGGAGTATGGGTCGCATAATTAGGCAATCCTGTCTCCTTTCTACCTCTGCTCCTAACTACGATACGGGTAATGGTAGGGACTTCAGCATAGCAGTTTAACGGTAAGTTGATAGAGTACATGGGTGTATGTACATTGCAAGTGGACACAAATACATACTATAATATAATATCCACACCTGCCAGTTACACATCACACATTTGGCGTTATCTGCCCGCTCTTATCAGCACAATTTGGGGGTTGCCCTCGCGGCGCAGCAACATCCACCATCTTCCACAAAAAACGCGCCGGCGATCAAGAACCAAACTCTCGGCAACCGGGCGTTGGCGTCTTGCTGCCCGCCCTCCCATTCTCCCCCTCGAGATTGGGATGAGTACCTCCGAGACACCGGCCACACTCCCTGGCCATCCGACTCCCTAGTTGCTCGACGCCAGCTCAACACGCAGTCCGTTCCCTCCATATGAGCTTCCGGATTGTCTCGGCCGCCAGTCGCAGCAACACAAAAATCCATATATCACAAGCAGGAGAGACAGTGCAAACACGCCCATGATTCGCACAGGCCGCCGATCCTCCCGACGCGATAGAATCTGAGCATGGGCCGGCGCATTGCATCCACGAAGTGGTAGAATAGGGCAAACCGAAAGACAGAAGACGACGACGGCGAAGACGGAGCTGAAGTCGATTCTGCCGAGGCCCTCGCGCTTTTTGGCGCTACGTGCGGGAATAGACGCCGGAACCTCTGGGCCCCAGAGCCTGCGGCGGTACTGCACTGAGCCGGCTGCTGCCGAGACTGAGGAGGTTACTGACGTGTCTGTACTTGGTTCGCATCGGGCCGCACCGCATCGCCGAATCAAGGAGCCGCAACTCGACCCGTGTGTCTCAGAAGCATTGCAGGAAGAGCCATGCCGGCACCCGATCGTGACCATCCGTCCCCGGACTCGCATCCCTCCAAACGCCCCCGCCAATCATCGCCCGATAAGGAGTCACCGGCCTCGCTGCCCTCTGCGGGGGCGACTTCCCCGGCGGGCGACCGCGTTCACGACGGGCTGCTGGGCCATGGTGGTGGTGGTGGCGGCGGCGGCGCTGCTGCTGGAATCAACAGTGGAGGTGGAAGCAAGATCGGGCAGAGTAGCAGCTTTCGCAATGTCAGCGCCTGCAACCGTTGCCGCCTGCGCAAGAACCGCTGCGACCAGAAGCTACCGAGCTGCGCGAGCTGCGAGAAGGCTAACGTGCCCTGTGTAGGGTATGACCCCATCTCCAAGAGAGAGCTGCCGCGGAGCTACACCTTCTACTTGGAAAAGCGAGTCGAGCAGCTCGAGGCCCTCCTGGCCGCCAACGACATCGCCTTCCCGCCCGCCGAGGACCTGGACTATTGCTCCAAGGTGCGCGCCGAGTCGAACAGCATCCGGTCGCCTACCGAAGCTGGGCAGTCTTCCTATTCGGAGTGTACGGATGCCGCAAGTAGCGGCAGACCGGAAAGCAATGGTGACGGGCTCGGAGGCAGGCCGCAGAGGCTTGCCTCGAAACCGGGCTCGTCGGCCGGTCCCGCCGTGACCAGCAATCGCTATCTCGGGTCGACAGCCGGCATATCCTTTGCTCGAGTCGTGTTTGCCGCCGTGCAGTCATCGGTCTCAGACCAGAAGTCAAACTCGGACAAGGGGGGCGTGCGGCCATCCGGACCTGCCCCTGGCGGCAACGGCGCCACAGAACCGGGCCAGACCACCTCGATGCGCGATTCCTTCTTTGGCCTACACGCCAAGCCTACCTTGCATCCGGCGCCGTTCCCAGACAAGGAGCTCGGCTTGAGGCTGATCAGTCTGTACTTTGAGCACGCTAACCCGCAGATTCCCGTCCTGCATAAGGGCGAGTTTATGGAAATGTTCGAACGCACATATGCCGGGGACGGCCGGAGACGGGGCCCGCGGGAGCTGTACGTGCTGAACATGGTTTTCGCGATAGGCGCCGGGGTCATAGTGGGCGACTCCAAAGGACACGTTCCCCCAGCCGGCCTGGAGGACTCCTCGAGTTCGAGGCAGTGCCGCCCCGAGGAGTACCATGCAAGTGCCATGATCCACCTTGAGGCATGCATTGGAAGCGGCGCTGGTCTAGAAGACTTGCAGGCGGTGCTGCTGCTGGCCAACTTTGCACTGCTGAGACCCGTGCCCCCTGGCCTTTGGTACATCATCGGCGAGGCGGTTAGGCGAGCAGTCGATCTGGGGCTGCACTATGAGGACGGCAAGGACCTTGAGGCTGGCTTCGTCGACGCCTCAAACTCACGAAGAGACAGCGTGGCGAAAGAGAAAGGGAGACGAGAGTATGTACGTGATATGAGGCGGCGCCTCTGGTGGTGCACGTACTCGCTTGACCGCCTGGTCAGCCTCTGCGTTGGTCGGCCCTTTGGCATCCCTGACCACGTAATCACGACCGAGTTCCCTTCGCTGCTGGAAGACCGCTACATCACCGCCGGCGGTTTGATCCAGCCGCCCCCGGAGATGCTACGGCCCACCTACAAGCTGGTTGCCCACCACTACTTTCGACTCCGGCTTCTGCAATCCGAGATCCTGCAGGTCTTGCAGTTCCGGCAAGCCCAGAGTGCCCGTGCCAGCGGGCAGAATTCCCAAAATCCCTACATGCACACAGACCTGCCATCGCCGTTTCTGGCAAAGTTTGACTCGTTCCGGTCATGGCGGATCGATATCGACAGGCGTCTATGGGAATGGAAGAACTCGGCGCCAATGAAGGAAGACACAGGCGTGGCCTTCTCGATCGACTTCTTTGGTCTCAACTATTGGCAGACGATTATCGTGTTGTACAGGCAGAGCCTCAGCGTTCCGACAGTCTTTGAGGGCGAGTATGACACGGCCAAGGAAGTGGACAGCCCTGCCGTCTACAATGCAGAGCTTCGCGAGGACGAAGACCGCGTGTACCTTAAGGTTGCCGAGGCGGGCCAGAAGATCATGCGGCTGTATCGTCAGTTGCATCTGCTTGGCGTAGTCAACTACACGTATTTGACGACGCACCATCTGTTTGTGGCAGGCATATCGTATCTCTACGCCATCTGGCATTCTCCTATTGTCAGGAGCCGATTGGTATGAGGACACCCGTTCTTCCCGCTGTCCATCGTCGGTTGTCGTTAACCTAGTTTACAGACTATGGACGAGGTGGATTTCACCATTCTTGCGGCGACGTCCGTCTTCACAGATTTCATGGACAAATGCCCCCCTGCCGAAGCGTGCCGAGACGCATTCAACCGGACAGTTAAGGCGACCCTCAAAATGGTCAATCAAACTGGCGGTTTCGGTCAACAATACCAGCCCACGCCGGCCAGCGCAGCCTCTAGCTCGAGAAACAACCTCGACCACAGACGATTCGACTGGAGTACCAGGAGCGGTGTCACATCGCTGTCGAGCAAGCCTCCGTACAAGAGGCATCGCCAACACCCTTCATCAGCGGGCCAAACTTCAGCCGCCACATCAGACGTGTATTCCACCGCCCCTTGGCTCGCATCTGCCTTCCCCAAAGGCGCGTCATACCGGATCCACGGCAACCCCACGGTCAAGACAGAAGCAGATGGCTTCCCCCTCATGCGCAACACTCCCGTCCCACCACGCAGCGACGCCAGTTCCACCGACGATATAAAAAAGCCCGTCACCCCAGAAGCGACCGCGCCCATCGATCAACCAATGCTGCGGTCCCCGTCGGCACTGCAGCAGCAAAAACAACAACAACTGCACCACCGCCAACAACACCCCACCTCGCTCAGCTCACCCATCGGCGAGATGATGAGCCAACCCCTTGCAACCGGCGCAGCAGCGGGTGGCTTCCTCTCGCCTCGGCATCAACAACAACAACCACAACAACCACCACCATCACGACAGCAGCAGCAATTCAGCCCGGGAACAATCCAGGCGTTTAACGACATGCAAGGCCTGGACTTTCTCCAGAGTTTGGACTCGCCACCCAACCCCAGCGGCAGCGGCAGCGGCAGTACTATGCAGGGAGGAGGAGGAGGAGGGCTGGACAACGAATTCGCGGACTACAGCCGTTTTGCCGACGCAGACGTGCAGATGGATATACCCGGGTTCAACGTCGGGTACGAAGGCGGCGGGTCGAGACACGATTTGCTCGGGGATGGGCAGCACCTGCAACTGGGACTGTTTGATGACTTTTTCTTTGGAGGAGGGGTGCAGGCTGCGACGCAGACGCAGACGCATTCGCCGACGACGACGCAAACGCAACAGGGCCAGCAGGGGCAGGGGCAGTAAGGGGGCGAGGGCACCGGATTAGGGATCTGAGATTGATGTGATCTGGATTGCTGGGTTGGTGTTTTTCCGGAACTTGGAGGCTTGGTTTGAGCTGGGTGTTGAGGGTGTCTCTTGTTTCCCCCGCTGTGTGGTTATGTGGTGTTATGTGGTGTGTGATGTGTAAAACAGCGGTCACTGGATCCGCCGGATGCGGGCGATGCACTCCTGCTTTATGCCTTGCCGGGAACGATCTCTGGGATGTGCTGATGACATGCTTTCTGCGTAGATGATGGGCGGTGTGATGGTGCCGGATTATTGCTGCACCTGGCTCATCATCCCTTGATTGTGGAGATCCCACGGTTCCGAGGAGCGACTCTGTATGGCAGACGGCGAGTTTCAGAGCTTTCTTCACATGTACATGTATATTTGTCTTTATCTGTAAAGATACCCGGTTGGACGGCTCAGTCATACATAGCCATTGTCGTCGTCGAGTTAACAACACAGTCTGCCTAGTGGTTGGCGTTGATGCCTGGAAAGTAACTTCAGGGAGCGATCCCAGACGGCTTTTCCGATGTGAAGTGTGGGCTTGGGAAGGACCCCCTGCGCCTGCTTGCATGGACTCCTTTTATTATTCGTGGTATATGTAGAGGACCCGGGCTCATCAACTTCAATGACCGCCGCCATGTGGCCTAATACTCTCTCTCCCCTTGCTGCTCCATCACTTGTTGCTTTAGACCATCCTGCCTTGGCCCCGAGGGATTCCCATCCTCATCAAACTCGGCCCATCGAAAGAAGTCGCAGCCTTCCTTGCCCGGTACGTTCCCCGCATGGCACATCCAAAAATACCGACCCCAGTTCTCCTTCTTCTTGTTTACGACTCGCAGCACGGCCGGCACGCCGCACGGGCAGCGCGGCGTGTTGCGCGGGTGGAACCCTTCGCGATAGTGGCGGTACGTGATGTTGATTCGCCGATTGCCCGCCACGGGGTGCGGATCGATAGCATGGGCAGGGCTCACGCTGTGTTTCCACTCCTCTTGCATGTCGGCGTGCATCACGAGGAGGGAGTTGTGTGGCAGGTGGATGGCGATCTGGCCTGCTAGGTCCTGATTGCTGTTGGTTGTTGTGGTGGAGGTGTCATCGTCCTGGGGGACGATGCGCCGGACCCGGAATTCGCGGGTTACGCCTAGCGAGAGGGAGCCGATTACCGGACGGGGGCCAAGGTATGTTAGTTGGTCGCTGTGCTGGGGTGCATGGTTAGCTCCGTGAGTAGGGAAGAGGACTGGTGCCTCAGCGGGGGGATTTACCCAACCGACACTCTCCTGCGGCCCGTTGTAGCAGTTTACAAAAGCCGCATTGGGTGTCCATGGCCCGGGAGATTGGTACTTCAGCTTCTTTCCGCCGTAGTGGGTGCGAACGCGTGCTTGTATCTCCCTGTTGACGGCCTCCTGGACCCGAGCCTTGACCCGCTCCAGCTGCGGGGTCAGGGTTCTGACGTCCTGCCTTCTTGTTAGTGCTGGAGTAGGCGCAAAAAGGGGTTGACAAAGCCTCACTGTCATCCTTGCGCCATTGTACACATAGTCGTGCTTTTGCTCCTGCAGCTCCTTGTAGGTGCCGACATAGAAGCCCGAGGTGTGGGGACTCGAGACCACGTTCTCAAACAGCTTGAAGGTTATCTTCTCAAATGACTTGGCCTCCTCGAGCAGCTCTTGCAGGAGCGAGTCTGCCTCATCGGCGGGTAAAAAGTTATGGACGATAGTGCAGGGGGTGTGCTCGCTGATGTCGACGGGATCGTACAGATGGAGTGTTGCGCCCTTTCGGGAGAGCAGCCTGGCCCGTTTCGATGGAGCAGAGGATCCGGAAGCACCTGAGCTAACAGCAAACGTCCGCAGCGAGGATTGGGCAGCCACAGTGGTTCCTGTCCCGGATTTCTTTGGGACATTCGGTGCCCTGAGGGCCTGAGACGTCACGTCGACATTGCCATCATGAGCTAGCAGAATGTCGAGGAGCATATCCTGGTCGACTTCGGGGTGGAGAGACGATAAAATGGCCAGCTTTAGATCTGTCGATTCCTCCTGTGCCGCCGCCGCCCTCTCAGGACTCGATTTCCGTTTCTTTCTGGTCACGAAGGCATCCATTGTATCCGCGCTTCCTTTTGGCGACGCCGTAGACACTGGGCCTTGTGTAGCGATCCACGTTGAATTGACATTTCGGTGGTGACGCCGTACGCTGCTCCAATCCGCCGTTTGACGCGCCTCGCCGTTGGGTGACTGCACAGAAGGGCGTGGACAATGTGGGGCTGGATGGAAGCGTGCAAGGTGCGTGGTCACATGGTGGTTACCGAGGGTACATCATGGTACTGAGTACACTGTCCACGGCGACCTTGACATGGTCGATGTGACATGGACAGGGAGAGAAATGGAAAATCTCAACACGCTCTACGTTGTTCTGTATCCAATCTGTATCGTAAATAAGACGCAACCACATCGGTATTTCTCAATCAAAATCGTTTCAATACCAATGACCTGCTAGTGAAAGGTACTCAGTACTTGTACACTTCGCTAGAGGTCCCCCAGCAATGGCGGGTCCAAGTTCCCAGACCGAACCCGCGCCGACACGAGACCAAGAGACAGAGCCGAGGCCTCGGCCCCGCCATTGCTTGTGTTCCCCGGCGAGACTTCTCTCGGACCAGACAGATTCCCAAAACTAAACGTTATGTACCTTAACACAATCCACACTCGCTGATATCGCTCAAGCCATCTCAAGTCGCGCGCGCATTGCGCACCCTAGTCCCACGGCGACCCGGCCATGGCGTCCATGCTAGAGTTTCGCACGCCGGGCTTCAACCCGTATGCCGTCAAGTACTCGCCCTACTACGACTCGCGACTCGCCGTTGCCGCCTCAGCCAACTATGGCATCGTCGGCAACGGCCGCCTCTTTGTGCTCGGCCTGGGCCCGGCCGGCATTCAGCCCGAAAAGACATTCGACACCAACGATGCCCTCTACGACCTCGCCTGGTCCGAAATCAACGAGAACCAGCTGGTTGTCGCATGCGGCGATGGTTCTCTCAAGCTGTTTGACCTGGCTGCCGGCGACTTCCCCGTCATGAATTTTGCCGAGCACAAACGCGAGGCCTTTTCCGTCTGCTGGAATCCAATTGCTAAAGACAGCTTCATCTCAAGCTCGTGGGACGGCACCGTCAAAATCGTAAGCTCCCCTTCGGCGCATCAACAAAACTTCGCACCGATACTGACGAGTCATCTGCTTCCTCCCACACAAGTGGTCCCCCTCGCGCCCAACATCCCTCAAGACCCTCCCGGTCGGCAACTGTACCTACTCGGCCTGCTTCTCCCCAACCAACCCGGCCATCATCTCGTGCGTCTCCTCCGACTCGCACATCCGCATCTTCGACCTGCGCACGCCCGTCAGCGCAAAGTACCACCTCACCACCGTCATCCCCGCCCACGCGCCACCACCGATGCAGAGCCCGACCCTCCCCCTTCTCTCGACAGGCCAGACCTTTGCCGGCGCCGCGCCCTCCGAGATCCTCACGCACGACTGGAACAAGTACCGCGACACGGTGCTCGCGACCGGCGGCGTCGACCGCGTGGTGCGCACCTTTGACGTGCGCAACCCGGCCGGTGGCCCCATCGGCGTGCTGCTCGGTCACGAGTACGCCGTGCGCCGGCTCGCGTGGAGCCCGCACGCCAGCGACGTGCTCGCGAGCGCGAGCTACGACATGACGGTGCGCGTTTGGTCCGACGGGTCGGCGGTACCACAGCCACCACCACCGCCGCAACAACAACAACAGCAACACCCACAAGCCAGTACGATAATACCCGTCGGGACACAGCTTGGCGTCATGAACCGGCATTCCGAGTTCGCGACGGGCGTCGACTGGTGCCTATTTGGCACCGGCGGCTGGCTGGCGTCGGCCGGGTGGGATCAGAGGGTGCTTGTCTGGGACGCGCATACCCTGCTGAGGGGGTGATACCTGTGTTTTACTGTACCTGTACATCGAAGGCTGTGGGCGGATTGACCGTTGGGGACTGGCCGGAAGTGAAGGAACAATGTCACACTGTAATAGTATCCGTGTGTCTGTGTGGAGAAGGATACGATACGATGATACCCCGCTTTGGAGAAGGTATGAGGAAGGAGAGTTCAGAGGAGGGGGGATTCGGCGCAGCGCGATTCGGGCTTTGGAAACGTCAGGTTAGGCGGGATAAGGGAGGGCTGGGGTATGAAAAGGGGAATGGCGTTGACCAGAGCCCTGAGCATGAGATTGGGTTTGACCTCGAGGAGAAAACTTGGCGTTCTGGCAAGACTGGGCAATACTTGTGCAATCTCCATGCCTGGGGAACAGTGTAGAATGTAGAGTAAGGTAGCGATGCACATAAACCTACCCTACCTTGGAACCTATACCAAGTCCAAGGCTTCGATCACATCAACGAAAAACACTAGCTCGAATCCCAAGGCTGTCCGTTCATTACTTGTCTAATCGAACACAATACATTAATGAACTCCAACCAAAACGATACGTCTATATGTACAAGACAAAGCCAGAGTGAGATGAGAGAGTTGGGTAGCTTGCCCCCTGCCAAAATGGTCCGGCCCCAATGCAGCAGAAAATCAACCTTATCCCCAGACGCGACATCAAAACAGAAACCGGCAAACGACCCAAATGCCCCATCTCTAACGTTAGTCCCAAAACCGGCAAACTCCCTACACAATGATATACAACCCTCCATTCCTTTATGCCTTGGTCATCTTGGATCCTGGTTGTTCGTTTCCGCCGGTGCCACCCGCCCCCGCCCCGCTCTTGCATAAATAGGCATCCTAGCGGTAGCTTTTGTTTCCATCCACACGGCTGCAACTCCATCTCTTGCTCCTGTGTGGCGAGTTGCTGGGTATAAACAGAAGGCCAAGGACATGTTATCGTACAAGTACAGCACCAGAAGTCGCGGAAGCGCTCGAGCAACGAGAACCAAAACAAGTCCTCATCACTCCCTCAAGGAGCATTTAGAAGGCGGGAGGGGGGGCCCGGTGCCTGCGGGGACGGTCGTTTCCCATCCGCTCCATGGCGGAAAATGGGTCGCCACTACGGCCGCTGCGTCCGTCGCGGATCCCGCGGCCACCAAATCCACCATCGCGGCCACCGAAACCACTGCCGCGACCATCGTGGCGGGAGATACCGGTGTCAGATATCCGCAGCCCTCGAATTCCGCGCCCAACGTTCTGAGCGAGCCTGGGTGAGACCGCCGGCGGCTCGTCCATGCCCCAGCCGTACTTGGCCAGATTGTTGGCCTCGTGCACGACGTCCTGCCGGTCGACGTGTCTGATGGCGTTTCCGAGAAGTGAGGTATAAGTGTCTCTGAGAATATCGAAGGGCGCCTTCTCCGCAGCCTCGCGAAGCTGCCTAAACGGCTCTGGAAGCGTGTCGGCCTTGGTCACGTCGACAGAGGCGCATTCAAAATCGGTGCATCGCTGGATAGGCAAGCCCGGAAGCAGGTCCCTCGCGCCCGGAACCTCAACATCGGAAGCCAACAGGTAAGCCACGCCCTGCTTGCCGGCTCGCCCAGTTCGCCCGATGCGGTGGATGTACAAGTCCCGATCCTGGGGAAGATGTACCTGGATGACGTGGGTCACGTTGGGGAAATCCATGCCTCTAGCTGAAACGTCGGAGGAGAAAAGAATGGCCGACTGCGCATCCCTGAAGTCGTCTGCGCTCCGGGTCCGTGACTTCTGGGTCAACTTGGAATGAATGTCGTACACCCTGGGGATCGAGCGGTCGTCATGTTTAAGGCGACGGAACAGGTACGAATATGACATGACCGCGGATGTGGTGGGAAGAAAAACGATGGCCTTGAAGGGAAGCTTTTCCGGGTCTGACTGGGCTGCGGCCACGTCACGGCGAATCAATTCCAACAGGGTGGGCGCAAGATTCTCGAAGCCGCGGCACGGGACGATGAACTGCGGTACCCTTTCGTGGGTCGGAACTTCGTCTGCCCTGACCGTCTGGACAAACTCGAAGTTGGTCGGGTTGATGAACTGGCGGGCAATGCCAACCACGTTCTTGGGCAGGGTAGCCGAGTACAGAAGGGTTTGCCGGGGCACCTTCTCGCGATCAGGCAGGTAGCGAACGATGTTCTCGAGTTCGGTCTTGAAGCCCACGTCCAACATCCGATCTGCCTCATCCAGCACCAAAGCAGCAAGACGAGGGGCGTCGATTCCGCTGGATTCATCCGTGAGGAGGTCGTGCAGGCGGCCCGGGGTGGCGACCAGAAGGTGGCAGCCTTCGATGCGCGTCTTGCGCAGCATCAAGTTCTTATGCGTCCCGCCGACGGCAGTTTGCACAATGACGCCGGTCCCTTGGCAAAGCTTCTTCGCTTCGACGCCAATCTGCTCGGCCAGCTCGCGGGTAGGTGAGAGGATGATGGCGCGGATGTCGTCAGAGCGGGCCCGGCCGCCACCACGAGGCTTTTCGAGCTCGGGCTGACCAGCAATGATCCTCTGAACGATGGGGACAAGAAAAGCCAGGGTCTTGCCTGTGCCAGTCTTGGCTTGGGCGACACTTGGGCGGCGAGTGTTAGTCTGGGTGCGCGATGATCCAAAAGCGGCAAGGGTACAACCTACACGTCTTTCCCGGCGAGAGCAGCGTTGATGGTCATGGATTGGACGTCGGTCATGTTCTCGTACCCCATGCCCTTGGTGATGGAATGGACGAGCTGGTTATTCACGCCGAGCTGGGGCAGGTCTGCGAAGCGGGTAATGAAGCCGGAGGAGGCATCGGCCGACGGCGCGGGAGCGGCAGACTCGCTCGAGTAGAAGCGAAGAAGAGAGGCGGCAGATCGGCGGACTGCTGCAGGAGCGGTTCGGGCAGGGCGCGAGAGGCCAAGGGCAGCTGAAGAAGCCCTGTATGCGGCCTGTGCCGGGCGTGCGGCGAGAGCAGCGCGTGTCGCAGCCGCCTGCCGTAAGAGGGTGGTTCTCATCATGTTCGCGCACTCGAGAAAGGATCCTCAAATTAATTGACGCTTCTTTTGTAACCCTAAAGGGAGTGCCGGAATCCAGAACAGAGGCCGTCGTCGTGGGTGGGCGACGAAGTAGTTGTCAAGGGCCTTGTTGGTCGTGATCCGGGATGGGAATGCAGCGCAGAGCCAGAAGAAAATTCACGGCCGAGCTAGGGGCCAAAGTTCAGGACGCTAATCTTATCGCACCCATGCAAATATAAATGGGTTCTGCAGACAGCTTAACATTTAAGTGGGTCCCGGTATCCAGATCTAACGTGATCCATCCACACTTCCACTGCATCATCTTTCTCAGTTTCATGGGCTCAATAGGGACGAACGTAGGATCCAGCCTTCGAGGTATCAGGGCCGAGTGCGGTTTCTTTATGCTATATTTTGAGTTGGCTCAGTCACTTGTCCAAAACCTTCCAATCCCCCTCGCCCTGCCCGCTGTCGAGGCCATACTGTGTGCACAGGGAGGTTAGGCTACCCCAGCTATCACTACACCACAGGCCGAAAACGTTTTTTTAGACCCTCTGAGTGGAATATATTATTCCCAACGCCCATCGGGCAATCCACACAAGGAACACGCGGAGCATGGAGAGCGTCGCCTGCATAGTGATGTCGAGCATCAGAACTGGGATAAACAAAAGAACCCTGCCCGGCCAGCTCCTAGCGAACCACCGAATCATCTCGAGGAAACCGCGAAGCAGCCGAAGGACCTTCCGCAACCACGGCGCGATTGATGGGTCTTCTCTCTCCGTGTAGGAAATCAGCGCGAGAGCCAGTCTGCCGAAGGCGGCGAAAATGGGCCGGAGCGACACCCAAAGGTCGTACAGACCGATGAGGAACAGCAAGACGCCTGCGTGGGCCGCGTTCCGGTGGTGGTTTCGGCTGCCCGTGTCACCAGTTGCTGTGCGCACATGATTGGGGGCTGCCCAGTCATCGAGGTGTTGATCGCCGTGGAGGTGCGTTGGCCGTTTGGATTCTCTGTCTTGGTTGGCGTTTCCATAGCTGGCTTGGACCGGGCGTGTGTGGGCTTAGGTCTGTGTGAGCATCCAGCCTCTTTCGAAGCTCGGTAGGGCACAAACCAGGACTCCAGATGTCCACCATCACGGACATGGCGAAATGGCGCACAACGGAGAAAGCCAGTGAGATCAGTGATGTCGCGAGATAGATGCGCTCGCCGGCGGACATGACTGTTGCGGACTCGGCTAACAGCGCTGCCTGCCTCTCGTTCGACCGCCCTATTCCCATTGCCCTCACTTGCTCGTCGATCTCGAGGCAATCGCCCGGTTGAATTTGAATCGTCCTGCGGTGGGGTGATGACTGGCGTGGATTCGATGGGGCCGTGAAGTATGGAGGATGAGGGCGGGGGGAGTACGGCGGAAGGAACTCATCAGCCATGGCTGCCAGCTCGACCCGATTTACACCTTCCTCGGCAGGCGACTTAGCATTGCTCCAGGAAAGATCCACGGAATGGTGTTTTCCACACCTACTCTCCAGAACACCTTAGGACATATCACTTGGGGTAAGGTTAGGTACCTGACCTAGGAAGGACTTGAAGGAGTGTCATTGACGTTCCTGGTGGCATCCGTGCCCTTTTCCTATGGACCGGGCATGCTTGCGTCATGGGGCACGCAATGCGTAATGCACTCTTTGGCTGGTGTCTTGCGCCAGTTAAACAGTAAATTGAATGACTTGGCGTCGCCATTGTTCGTTGAAAGAGGGGAACCTATGTTGAGGGCGCATGGATGATAGGTGTTGGGCAGCCCTGCTTGCCACCGTCCAGAGTCCATCATCGGAACGGTCTGAGGAAGTCAACCATCGATGTCGACCTCTCGAGGCAGGACAGCTGGAGCCCAGCTTTTCACAAACCTTCCAGGCATATCATAGAGAACACTCTAGACTGGCCAAACTACGCCAAGGTACCTGATTTATAAGAAGACTAAACGCCAATAGGCTCTTCGTCCAACCCAAGTTACCATGCAACTGAAGGGTGGTCAACTACGAAAACCCCACTGGTTTTGCTCCGAGTTGGACTTGAACTTTCGCCACCGCGCGACGGTCAGTAAGGTCACCCGCTAAGCGCCCGAGTATACCGCTGCGTCAGACTGAAGGGCGGGTGCGGTGAAAGCCCAGATAGCGGAACACCTATATCTAGCGCTAGGTAGAGAAGGTGGGTTAGCATGGAACGGCGGGAAAGACAGCCAGTTGGTCCTTAGTCAGGTGTTGAGGTGAGATGAAGCTCGGGGGGAAACTTTGCGGTTCCAAGCAGAGTTGGACAGCCTGAGAAAGCAACTCAAAGCCGTAACCTGATATCCAAGGAAAAAAGCAGACAAATAATGGTGCATTACTGGTATCACATTCTCTATACACAGCTACAGGAGCAAACATCCACATCCCCTCTCATACACGATCCGAAATATCCAGCCCGCGCCATATGTATGTCCTATGTATCCTGCCGACCCGACCCTGCTTGACTCTGCAATGTCCCCATTCTTCTACCGGCCCCTCAACTGTTCCCCGCGCTCTTCTCAGCAGCAAGCTTGGCCTCCATCTTCCTCCTTGCCTCCAAAATCATCTGGTCCCGCCGCTTCTGCAGCAGCGACTCCCTTTCCTCGCGACTCGAGCTCCACGCTTTCCCGGCCCCCTTGCCAGGCCCCTCCGCCCCGCTGTTGTTGGCCCCCGAATTTTCGGCAGGTGTACGGAGCTTATCCTGCAGGTTATACCTCGTGATCAGATCCGGATGCGCCGGTCCCGCGGCGGGCTTGGACTGCGGCGTCGCAGCGCTGTTCTCGCTGGTGCTGCCGGTCGGCGGAGGAGGCGGTTGGAAGGTAATAGGGGGCTGTACAAGCTACGCGTCAGCCTAACCAGGCACACAAGCCACAAACGTAGGCAGCATATGGAATGAGAAAGCGGAGAAAGAAACATACCGTCTCCAACCGCCCCGCCAGAATCCTCTCCGTCGTCGCCGCCACATTCCCGCCTGTCCGCTGGAGATCCCACAGCGCCGTCCGCCGGTCCACCTGCGGGAACATCTGCTGTATCCTCTCGGCCGCCGCTTCGCGCTGGCGCATCAGCGCCGCCGTGTCCCCTGCTCTCTCTGACCTCGAGGATGACGAGGCTGTGCCGGCCGATGGCGAGAAGAAGAGATAGCGTATGATGAGACCCGAGAGGACGAGTATCACCGCCAGCGAGGGGAGGTTGATTTGTTGTTGGTCGTCGGCCATGCTGGGCTGACGAGGAGGGCGGTTCGGCTGAGAGTGTTGTTTTGGGTAATAGTAGACACGCCGCTGGGTCCGACCTCTGCGGGCGTGCCGCGTAACGTAACAGGGATCCGATGATGGCAGAGGCGGGGAGTGGAAATGGCAAGTTTCAAGCAGAGATTCAGCACCAACAGGGTTTGCGCGACAGCGATTGTCGAGACGTGGAGGTTGCCGTGAATGGGTTGGAACGGTTCCGAGGATCCGTATCCGTAAGCAAGTAGGAGCTGACGACACTGTACGGTGCGATTGCCGGTGTGTGCCTGGTGGAGCAAGTATTTTCCCAACGCCGAGGTCAAAGCAGGCAACGCAAAAAGTGTGTAAGGTGCAAGATGGCTTCGACGTTGGCAGAGCAGGAAACAGAACAATCGATAATACTGAACTGGAATCGAAGTGTGGCACGGCTCCCTGACGATGTTGGTTGTTCGGACGAGTGTAGGGCTTCCTGGAGGCCTATCGACGCCAAGCCCACCTTGACGGTAAAGCGGGCTGCGACATAGTCTATGTGCCACGTTGCATCGAAACAAGCGCCACACCTAAGGTTCCAAAGCCACAGCTGCTCCTGAGAGCCGACCAGATCATCCCAACGAAGGTGCTCAGTACATACTAAGGGCAAATCCCTCCGCTAGCCCCCTTCCATATCAGGGATGGGACTCACTATCGTTCCCCAAGTAACCTAAGTTACAACACACAAATAAAATCCATATCTTCAGCAGCCTGTGGTTTTTTCCAGGAGTGCAATCTAGAGGTGTTGCATCTTGTCTTGCAACCACCCAACCAGACCACCAATATCCTCAGGCCCCTAGGCTCTGGAGCTGAACCGTGGGAGTCGTATCAAGATCCGCATAATGCAGCATCAGTTCCCGCTACCAAGGCCAGAGTCAGCAAAAACAAAGTCGTCATTGGGCAGTGCTCAAGGCTTTAACATACCCGCTCCTTGCGCCAGTTGACAGTGTCCCAGACCACATAGTAGCCGCGCTCGTGCGTTGGCCCCAAAGACTGAGGAACCATGACGTCGTCCTTGGTCAGCCACATCTGCATCTTCTTGTGCCACCTCCAATTGCGGTTGTTAAGCTCAATTGCTGCCATCTGCTGCTTGATGTCCCGCGGGCAACTGTAGAAGATCCACATCAGAGTTTCCTCGTTGAAACTTGAGATCTTGGCCTCGATTGGCTGCACGTTTTTGACTTGATAGCAATCGGGGAGTCGGAATTTTGGGACTGGTGACCGCGGGGGGACGTCGTCGAAGAGCGAATAGACCTTGGTTGACAACAAGCTTGGAAAAAGAGTCAGCAAACAGAAAGAAGGAGATGTCTAGTCGCAAGGTAGCCGCATACTCTGTCGAACGCATATCCACTCCCAGCGTTGCTGGGTCGATCCCACACGTCAACGCATTGTAGTCAGGGAAGTTGTTCATCAAAGTCCGGAGCCCCTTCAAACCCCATTTATCGATGGGCGCCATGCCTGCAAGGGGGTCTTGCACCTCTCTGGTCGTTGCCTTCTCTTCCTCTTTGCCCTTGCTGGATGGGGCGTCGTTGCCGATTGCGCCGAGAGGATTCCTTCCGCCCGCCGCGTCTGCCGAATCCTCGCGGTAACCAGCCTGTTTCTGGCGCGCCTCGTCTTCGCCAACCGGACTTCTAGCGTCCTGAGGCCGCGCTATCGCTGTCGGCGAGCGAGCGTCTATGGTGCGTGACGTCGCTGATAGTGCACTCAGCAAGCCATTACCTGCCCGGTTCGCGTGCATGGCGGACCCAGGGGCCGAACCATGAGCGCCAAAGCCCAAGCTCGACATCAAATTGGCTCCCCTGTCCTGCCCGCCAAGGTCACCGTTTGCGCTGCGGTTTAGCGGGGGAAAATTCTCGTCGGACACACCCGCCTGCCCCTGGGACGCCTGGGATGCGCTCCCTTGGTTGCCGAACCTAAAAGTCCCCTGGGCCGACGACAGGCGCGAAGAAAAGAGGTCGTCTTGCTGATTCGTTTGTGATGATAGGGGAGTCCCTGGCCCTCGGTGCAAACCCCCGCCAATGGTACGGGGCCCTTGCGCTGACCACATTGAGGACGAATTGGCTGAATTGAGCTGGGACGTATTCGAGAGAGACGGAAATTCGCTGCAAAGGTGAGCGGTCAGCATTTTCTGCTCCATGGACGGCCAGCAAGAACCGCGTCCAGGTGTGATGGAACGATCGGATGAGGGTGGCGCATATCTCTGGTACCCTTTCAAGATAGACGCGTAGGGAAGCCCGTCTACCAATCTCGGGGGCTCTCCAGCAACGCCCGTCTCCTTCAGTTTGATGCACAGCTTTGGCTTGCTTTGCTGAGATGGTGCCATTCTGTGGCTCGCGCTTCCAACGAAAGAGCCAGCGAGACCAGAGAAAAAGGCAATGGAGATGTCCAAGTATGGCGGAGCCGAAAGTTGAAGTCCTGCGCATGCAATGACGTATAAAGAAAGGCTCGGTGTCCCAGCAAATCTGAAAAGAAAGAATAAGGGAGGAGTCGCTAGACTAGGTGGAAAGTTTTTTTGTGACAGTAAGTGTGCGCAAAGCTTCAGAGAACGGGCCAGTTAAAAGGATGACGAAAAGTTGACTGCACCCAGCACCAAACAGAAGCTCACAAGCGAAACTCTGACTTACGATAAATCCAGCGGCGTTGCCGGCTGCGACCCGGTCAAGCTCTGCGCAAAGCTGACATTCCCTCCTCCTATTTGCCTTGCCGCACCGGGCGGAACACTTGTGCTTCCACCCATGGGCATGCCGCCGAACCCCCATCCTGCCGCGTTGCCTACCGGACCTACCAGCCCAGGTCAGCTATTGTGTCCCAAACATTGCCCTTTGATTCGAAGCGAGGCGGCGGCACTGGGCATGCTTCCTCACCTATCTTTCCGTTCGGTAACCTATTCGACACGGCGCGGCCAGATTGTTGTTGCGGTTGTTGTTGGCCTCCGAACCCCCCCTGCATGCTGCGGAGCGACTGTGGTACTGGCCCTGAGAAGCCAAAGGCGCGTCAGCACATCTCGTTCATGGAATCGGTGGTGGCCGTGACGGGGTAGTGCATGGGAGTTGGCGATCGGGATGCGTTTCGAGGACATTCGGCAGCGTCTCGGCCGAAGAAGCAAGTCGGCCCAGTAGCGCTCAACCTAAGGGGACGTGGGAAGCGCCCTCCTCCAGACTTTCCGACCGCGTATTGACCAGGGGAGGCGTGCCCGGGGTCGGCAGTCTTTCTCTGGAACCACGCCAGCCAGCACCTCCACGACGCTGGCTCTGGCTTCCCACATCTCAGACCGGTTGAATCAGGAACCAGTCCACTGTCGACCTGGGGCGCGATCTATGCCATGCATCGGGAAGAGGCGAGAACAGGCGACGTCGAGATCGGGACGAGCAAGCAGCGGGGCAAGGGAGGTGCGAGAGAGGATCGAGATGGTAGAAGGACGTCGAGCTGGGACCATACCTGGCCGATTCATCATTGGAATTTGGATTGGGGACTGTTCGCTCGATCGATTGTCAGCTCGTTTGGGCACTATATCCGAACCGTGGTGTCCCTCAGTTCGAAGCAATGGCTCCTGTTAGCTTTCGAGTGGCGGATGAGGCTATAGCGGGACCTGTGCAAGGGAATGGAGTTGTGGTGAGCCGCAAACGCTGAAACCAAGGCTGGCACTTACCGCTTACCGTTAGCGCATAGGCACGTAGCCGCAACCCCACAGACAAAGTGCTGCGTTGCACGAGGCCCGTGCACTAGGGTAAGGTACCTAGAATTGATGAATCTTATTCGTACAGTACATTCACTGCATCCCAGGTTCTATCCATACTGCAGCCGTTATTGATCATGATATCTTTTACTCTTTGAATGCTGCGCTCAGCCGAGCCTCAATGCATGGTATAGCATCTTCAAGACTCTTATGAAAGTCGAAGCTATCCAAATGCCGCCCGATGATGACCAACTTACCTGCCCGCGAACCATTTACATCTGGCTGCTGGGCAGGGCTGTCGAAAATGTCAAAGATCTCCCTGACCCCTTGAATGATCTTCTCGCGTCCATCACGAATGAAAAAGCGGCCCTTTAGCCGGTGGATATCGTAGGCCGGCCCATCTGTTGGTTTGTGGCCCGGGAGGGTGTTTTCCCACAGCACCGACCGCAACCAGGCATCTACCGCCGACTGTTGCTTCTCAGTCAGCTCGGGGAGAGGAATAGATATCGTCGATACAGTCTAACAAGCGTCAGCTGCTGCGAAGGGCCGTGCCTCACTGCGTTGTGACCCACTTTGTCGAGATGGCTGTGGCCGAGTCCTGGGCGGTCTAACTCCTCTGCCCTGTCGTACGCATGGAGGTCCAACAGAAACCCCTCCAGCTGCGGCACCACACTCCGCGACGTGACAAAGATCTTGGCCAGCCCATTGATGGACTCAATCCTCGTTCTCACAGCTTGCAGCTCCTGCTCGCTGACCAAATCGGACTTGTTGATGACGATGACATCGGCATGGGAGATTTGCACATGAGCGGTTGTCATGACGGATCCGTAGTCGTCGTCGCTCTCTTCGTGGCCTTGAACTTTTCCGGCGGGATCATCGAGACTTCGCAGTATGTTCTTGGCGTCGACGAGGGTCACGATGCCGTCCAGATAAATGGTACTGCCGAGCCCATCGTCCATCCAGAACATGGGCGCAATATTCCCCGGGTCTGCGAGTCCTGTTGTCTCGAGGAGAATGTAGTCGAACTTGCCCTTCTTCACCATCAGTGACTCGATGGCAGCCACGCCGGTATCTCTGGAATGTCGAGTTAACACAAACACAATAAGCCCCTGGTGTGCGTATCTGTGGGATGGGGACTCACTTGACGGAGCAACAGATGCATCCATTGCCCACTTCCATCCACTCCTCGACTGACTCACCGTCTTTGTTGATGGTCAAGGACTTCTCGATATCCAGAGCTGGCTGCTGCGTCAACGGACCATGCGCCCCAGACTAGCCAGCTTGTCCCACTTACAGTCACCAAACTCTAGAGGGACCATCCAGTTAGATAAAGACGACAGAAATCAAACAACAAGAAACCAGGCACACCATTCATAATGACAGCAATTTTCTTGCCGTGCTCGGCAGTGAGGATATAGTTCAGGAGCGTAGTCTTTCCGGCCCCAAGATATCCTGCACACGTCAAGTCAGAACATACTCACCACCATCAACAACAGCACAAACTCACAGACCTGTTACTATTGTTATGGGGACTTTGACCGGTTTCTCTTCTGACTCCTGTTCAGTCCCCGTGCCGACTAGATCAGGCGGTGCTTCGTCGTCCCAGTCCATATTTGCTCAAGAGATGTAGTTTCGACTTGGGAAACCTAGACAAGAAGAATGAAGTCCAGTTTTTCACTCCCCATGAATTTGACTCTCAGAATTGCTGAACGTCGATGTCTGGTTCTTGATTTAATTGGAAGTTACATGCATCTAAGGAGGTCGACTCTGAGGGGGCAAGGACGAGCTCTTAAGTGCATGGCGGATTTGGTAGCTGAGATTACGTAAGTACATGCAAGGGTCCGGGCTCCGTCAACTGAACAAGGTTCCTTCAACTGCAACCTTCGGACCTCAAGCTAGCGCTGCCCGCTTTTGCGTGTGGCATCGCGGCACGGGGCAGAAGACAATTCCGGCTTTCTCATCACCTCAACAGCGGCCAGCAGTTACTTGCTAAGAAGTCGGACGCCCCAGACACTTTGCGCGAACCAGACGCCGCAGCTTGGGTAGGGGTCGACCAACCCGGAAACCCATCATCCGGCGCATCTTGTCGAAACAGAAGTCAGGCACATTGTTTTAACACATCCCGCCGCGTTGGCCGCCGCCGCATCTCAAGACGCTATGTCGCTGCCGCCTACCTCACCTCGGCTGCCAAGCCCACCCCCTCCGGCCGAGATCCAGATTGGACCCAAGTCGCCGCTGATGGGCCCTGATGCAGCCCGACAAGCTGCCCAAATTGAGCAGAGCGCCATTGACACAAATGCCAAACGTCGCATTCACCCGGGCACAAAGTCTGCCGACATGGCTGCCGGCCCTCCTCTTGTTCCGTTGCACGAGGTCAGCAGTTCGCTTCTTCAGCAATTCATTGTCCAGTCTGAGCTGACCTGAGAGCGCACATGTAGCTCGACTCGGCTTTCCAGCTCCAGGAGCATCTGGCAGCCTTGCACTACTACCACACGGCGAGCCACACGACCCCCATCAATCGCGACACAGCAAAGCTGCTGGCCACCCCGCCCCCCGGCATCGACAGGACGCTGTGGCTGTACGAGCTCTGCCGCTTCTTGATCGCGCAGTGTAACAGCCTGATCGTTGGCTTTCTCTTTGACACGCCCCCATGCAGCGCCGCCACCTGTCCCGAGATGCGCGCCGGCGAGTGGCAATTCCTGTGCGCCGTGCATGACACGCCCAAGAGCTGCTGCGCCATCGACTACTGCTGCCACACCCTCGACTGGGCCGCCAACGTTGTGACCAACCCCAAAATTTTCCCCAGCCGCTTTGTCGTCGATGCCCACGATAAGAACACGGCTCAAAAGAATCTTGTCAACGTGTTCCGTCGCCTGCACCGTATCTTCGCCCACGCCTGGTTTCAACACCGCGGCGTGTTTTGGTCTCTCGAGAGCCAAAGTGGCGTTTATGTCTTCTTCAAGACGGTCTGCGACGTGTACGACCTTCTGCCAGCTGAGAATTACAAGCTGCCGCCCGAAGCAGAAGGCCTCGACAACACCTCCGGCGCGGGTGATTTAGGTACCAGAGGGACCGACAGGAGACAGCAACCGCAGCAGCAGCACCCGGGTCCCATCTTAATCGCGAAGCCGCCCGGCCAACGTGAAGCTGAAGACGGCGACTACTCGGCCATGAGTAGGACCAACACGAGGAGGCACATTAAGAGCAGCCCCTCGACAGGGAGCGCAATTATGCCTGTGCCCGAGGCAGACGAGGACGAAAGTGGTGACCTGTCCAGCAAGCTGCGCGATATGCGCATTTCGGTTCCGTTGACAGCGGCCAGGGAGGAGGCACCGGAGCTGACCAGCATTCCGGTGGTGGTGGACCACAGGCCAATAGCGGCCGGCGAACAGCCTCTACGGCCATCCAGCGTGATCCCGCCGCCGGGAACCACAGCGGATGAGAGCCAGTCAAAACCCGCCTTAGAACCTGAGGCAGCGGACTTCGAACCCGAGGCACCAGCACCCGAGCATCCCTCTGGCCCCGAGCCGGAACCCCAACCTGAGCCTGAAGTTCCAGCAACGGTAGACGCGGCGCAGTCTTCTGCGCCAGATGAGACTACCAAGCCGCAGCCCGAAGAGGAATCAACTCCTGCCGCTGAGGAAGCCGCGCCAGAGACAAAAGAATCGGAGAATACCGGGCCCGAAACGAAGGAAGTTCCACCCCCTACGTCATCTGTTGATTCATCAAGCGGGGAGAAAGACTCCGCCACGGCCGCCGCAACGGACGGACATACCGAGACAGAGACGGGCGCCAAGACGGCGGACACGGCAGAGAAGGTGGAGGATCCGACGCAAAACCCTATTGCGGAGGCGGCAGGGCCGAAGTCATCGGGTTCCGAATCGGAGACTGCTACGGGGCCGGAAAGCGGGCCTGAAGAAGCAGAGCCGAACGCTGGGGTGCAAGGCACAGAGGAGGAGGAAGTGGTGTCGTCGGCCGAGACAAAGAGCGGGACGGATCAAGAGAAGGAGACGTCAGAGGAGAAGCAGGAAGGCGAAGCTCAATAGAGAGGGGAGGGAGGAGGAGTCTAGGGTCTTTGCTGACGAGGGCGCGGGTTAAGATCATAGTCTGCTTTGAGGGCTTCTGTACTGTTGTTTGTGTTATAAATACCCAGCCATGTTGTGTACCGGCATTTCGATTCTTCTATATTGTGTGAGGAACATTGGCTTCTGTACGTCTGTATTGAGCAATTCTTTTTTGTCAGTGCTCTGTTCACCCTCTCGCAGCATTCTGCCGACTGCAAGCTGTCATGGAAAGAGGTTGGCTGCAGCGTGTTGTGTTGTCTCTTGCGGGAATTAGGGGTTGGTAACAGTTGCCGCTGATAGGGTCGTTGAATATAGGTTTATATATAACTATGTACATAACACACTGCAGGATCAAAAATACACTATCGAATGATCTGCCGACCACAGCCGTCTCTGTCCCGTATATCTCTTGTTCGAACTCTCTCTGTCCATGCCATCCTCCCAAATCATCCAACATGAGATGAGTGTTTGGTACAAGTCTGGTCTGGTACCTTCCCAATCCGCATTGAATCATGCTTCATACCCAAGACAACCTTGTCTTTTCCATTAGATACACATTGCGTTTTCTGTATATGCCTGCTTCTTCCTTTATCCTAAGTTCGTCGTATCTCGCCAGAGTATCACAGTACGAATAAGGCGATGTGTGTTTTGTGGTAGCAACGAGGTAAAAACGGTTGACGGTGAAAATAGAAGAAAAAGCAAAGAATAGAACAAGACGCACGAAAACGTGGTTGTAAAACGGGTGGATACTAGGTGTAATTGACGAGCAGTGCTCTGACATATCTCGAGAGAATATAACGAAGAGATTAGTAATACAAAGTTAGAAGTAACAAAACAGGGGGAGAAAAGAAGACGAAACTATAAGGATGGGGAAAGGTAAATACACGAAGAAAAAGTGAAAGAAGCCCAAAAAACAAGAAGTGAAGAATGAAATGCGCGCCAGTGAGAGAGAGCTGGTGGTGAGTTGAGCGTTTGGCACAAACGGCGAGATGGTTGTCGGGGCGGGAAATGATGAAGTCGGAACGGAACGGCGGCATGCAAACCAAGCCCCTGGAGCAACCGCATCACGAATACGAGCAGGAAGGGCCAGACCCGGGGGCCAACGTTAACTAACGACCGGGTTACCCGTCCTTCCCCATTTCTCAGGACGTGGTGTGGCAGTAGTGTCGTCCGAAGTGGGCAGGGTGGGATGACGGCACATGGCAAGCCGCAACTTCTCTGCCCCAGAGAGTTTGTTAGCGCTGGGTTGAGGACCGGTTCGTCCGATGTTGTGCAGCGGTTGTCTTGGTCCAAATGCGCGGATTGAACAAGCGGAGTTGGGTGTGGGGTTCTGGGAGGGAATCCCGAGTGCCGAAAGGCGTGTTTCAGATCATTGAAAACGGCTCGATGAGCGATCCGAGCGTCGGCCCCTGCATTAGCATCAAATCTGACGTTGCAGGGCCGCATTATCGGGTCTCCCAGGAAATTGTTCAGGGACCACTTTGGGCCACCTGCGGCAGAGAGGAGCCGCATCATCAGCCGCCCGAACACCCCCCGACATCAACCCTCCCCGTCATTGGGCCGCATCATCTTGAGTTCCACGTGCCCGCCGTCCGTGATATTCCAGACCATTGTCGGCGGCTTGTAAGCGCTCGGCCGGCCGGAATGGCGAGGTTGTCGAGAGATTCCCATGACGCTTCACCCTCAACAATCTTCGTGATCGTCTCGCATTCTGCTCGCATTAGCGAATGCTAAGTTGTTGGTGTGCATCCGAGTCCATGCACAGGTTAGGGGCTTGTTCAGGCCGTTGGTTCCTTCCCGCTGACTCCAGCTTGGGCGCTGCCTTTGTCATCGGCATCATCATGTCCGACCTGCATGGTGGAGAAGACGGCCCGGATTTGTTGCAGCCTCTCCCTCTGTGTCGACACCGCCATGGCATTGCGCTCGTCTGCGATGGCTCGGATATTCTGCAGTAAGGGGCTGAAGCCCTCATCGTTCGGGAGCCACCAACGGATACAGCTTTCGTCATTGAAGAGTTCGGCCATCCGCATACGCATCGTAATTGGGGATATGTACCTATAGTTCGGTTAGCCATCAAGCTATTGGATATTCCCCCATGCCGCAGGTCGCGTCTTGACGAGAGATGTCTCCTTGTCCGATCCTTGGAGAGCTCCAACTCGAGCCCAGTCCACTGAGGGGAGATGGAACTTACCCCAGCGTCTCAAGCAAGGCAAACTTCCTCCTTATCCACATGTGGTGCCTGGGGTCCCGTCGAACATAGAGTGCCGCGATCGCGAGAGAGGAGTGCAGTATGATTAGGCTACCCGGCGGACTTAATGGCCAACGTTCCACCGTCTCGCAGATTTGCAATATCGCGTAGGCGTGCTCCATCAACCTTGCCCGATCCTCTTCCGTGAGCTGTTTCGCGTTTTGACTGCCATGCATAAGCGCCACTGAGTGATATTCGCACGTCAGCAGCGTCGAGGCGAAGAGTGGCGGCCGAAACAAGACCCCGGGGGCAAACGGGTCTACGATGTCATCCGGGTTCGGCTTCTGGTTGCCGGCAAGTTCGTTCACGAGACATGCGGCATCCGTGAGGGCAGGGTCCCAAGTCTTCCTCCCGTTCCCAAAAAAGACAGACAGCCTGCGATGCTCCGCAATGTACTCGTCCTCCGTGATCTCGTGTTTTGCGCCCCTGGCGATGAGGAGCGACATTTCCATCGAGGCCAGGCGCAGTCGTGCCGAGCATGCCTCAATCTTCCAGCCGACGTTGTCAGGCTCTGCCGCCGCCCGAGACTCGTAGTATTCGACCGGCACTGAAAACCATTCTTGCGACAATAACGTTCCGAAGCTGCTCATGATTCCCACGAAGACATCGTAACGCGCGTACCACATCAGGGCTACACGGCCCACGGGCGTTTGCATGACCGATTGTGGAGTGAAAAGGTGCGTGAGGACCTCGAAAGCTGCTCTTTGGTGGCCCATGAGGTTGACCCAGTCGCCCAAGTACTCCTTCGCTCTGGATTAGCATGATGCGGCGTTCCCGGCGTGGGAACTGCACAGCTTACCTCTATCGTGGCAAGCTGCAGGATGGTCAGTAGAGTTCCTACGCTATATTTTTCTGTCTTCTTCAAGCATTCCAGAAGCAACGTGACGCTCCGGCTGTAGTATTGAAGGAATTCGTTGATCCTCCCGTTTGGGTTCTTCATCGCGTGATGGTAAGCAGAGAAGCCCACGACCGCGTAGAGCAGAGGCTTGTTTCGAATCGCCATGCTTGTGAGAATCGACCGAAAAAAGTCGTCGGCGTCGTTCACCCCGCCATAGTGGTAGTGGGTGATGTTATCATAGAAATAGCCGAGGTAGAACTGCAGCTCGTGGGGCAGGAATGTCCAATCCGGACGGGAAGGCGTTGTTACTGTCGATACATCAGGAAAATGCAACCCGGCGGGTGTCTGAGGGCCGGTGGTGCCGGCTGTGCCGGCTGACAACGCTGGGGACGAGCTCTTGGTCCCGTCATAAGAAGGGGTTTCCGATCCGTGGCGATGTCCTGCCATGACCCGTTGGCGGCCGAAGGAGGAGGTGGTGCTGGATCTCCGGAGAGGAAAATTCGGTGCCGACGTCTGCGATATGGCGCTCTCGGGCTCATCTTCGTCCTCGTCCATGATTGGATCTAACCTCGAATCTTGCTCGGGTTCGTCATCTTCGTCGCCACGGGAGGAGGTTGGGCTGGCCTGCTGGCTTGGTTCAACTGAGTCTTTGGAGCCACTGCTCCCGGAACCCTTTGGCGCCGGCGGTTCGGGGTAGATGCATTCTCGCTTTCCTTTCCTACATCCTACGCCTTGGTTAGCAGCGGCAAATATCGAACAGCTGAGCCGGCCGTCTCAGGACGTACTTTCGCAAACAGGACGAGTCTCGTCACACTAAAATCCGGTTAGATAACACCACCGTGGTTGGAGGTTCGCGGAATAATACCTTGACCCGGCGGCTTCGGCAAGTGTAGCAACCCGATCTTGTGCGTCGATGTTTGATGTGGTCGAGACCAGGCGCGGATTTCCGCCTGCTCCGTTGCGCTTTTGGCGCATTGAACATGACGGGTTCGGGGAACCCGGCGAAATACCCCAAGCTTTGATAAGGGTTGGAAACCGGAGAGGCTCCCATGGGTACAATTGACGGCTGAGATATCTGTCCGGGGCCATCTAGCTGGTTGAAACTGGGCTGCCCCCCAACCCCTACCATCGAGGAAAGAAAGTGATGGTAGTAGTCACTCATCGCGGTCTCCTGGCAGGCTCGCTCCTCGGCTCCGCGGGGTCGGCAGTTCCGGGCGTCTGCAACACGTCGTGAAGAGTATGATAGAGGCGGCGCAGAACGGCGGGTTCGTCGTCACGCGAGAGCAGCTGAATATGTGTCGAGCTCGAGGAAGTGGAGTGGATAGGCCGACCAACTTGTTGTGGGAGGCGGTTCGACGTCCGAACAGCCCTTGTTCCAGAGCTCCTAGGCCAGCGGCTTCGGGGGCTGTGGATGAGGGGAAACTTCAGGAGAGAGTTCAAAGGTAATGATAACAAAGCCTCAAGTGCCGTCCGGTCAAGAAAACTGGACCCCTGTCAGGTGCTTGGGTTCACTTCTGGATCAACCCTTCAGGTATAAGTAGCATTATAGAGGTGACCCCGGTCAATAGCAGACGGTTGGTGTACAGGGGATGGGCGCCTTGGGGTCGATCAAAGGAGCTTGAACCCGGGGGCTGAGCCAGATGCGAACCCTAGGTGCGCCGATAGGGGTGAGAAAGAGTAGTAGCTGTACCTCCGCAGTGGATTGGTAACTGGCGTAACACCGGGCTAGGCTAGGTCTCCACAACAGCCTCGGAGGAGGAAAACTAGACAAGCTACGGGTGGCAATCCTTCGCAAGCTGCGTGGCTCCTTGGCCGGCGCTGTGTGGAACAATGGAGCGAAGGGAAAGCTGGCAGTGAGGTATGTCGCCTCCGCTTCCGTCAAGCCTCGGGGTTACCAGAACCTGGCGTTTTCGGGTCGATATGGATGGCTCGTTGGCCGGGATGAAAGGATGAGATCTGCTGCTGAGCCTGTCGATTCTTGGTACACCGTGGGTATGCAGGCGGGATACCACTGGGACCGAGCAATCGTTCGCCGAATGGATACAGCCAAGATAACCGTACCCTACCCTGGAATCCTACCCCTCAGGGGAGGGAGGAAGATGGCGTCAATGCTGGACGGAGTCTGCCGTGATGCGGGAACGCGTTGGATAAGTCTGTCTCGAGTCCGTTAAGCAGGACAAGGGGTGGCGAACGACGGCAGGCGGTTTCTTCGAGCTGCCAAGAAGAGAGTCATCAACCCTGGTGCGGGATGCTACCGTCCCGGCGACGCGAGGGACAAGATACTCGTGCACAGAAATCGAGGGCTAGCTTGTATGGGTGACTGGGCTGCAAGTCCAATTGCTGGCAAGTTAGTTACCGCCGAAGGGTTGGTGTGGGCGAACAGGGGAGCCGTTTGTGGTTATTGGGCCACGGGGCATGCCGCTGGAGGTCTCAAGATGGCGGCTCTGGGGGGTGACGAGCTGCGACGAACAACCGGTGAATGCAACGGTGGCCTGGCCTTGTTATGCAGAGCTAGGAGTGCCTTTCATGGTAGGTTGAAACCAGCGGCGAGACGGATGGCCGATATTGAAAGATGGCCGGGAGAACGAGTTGCGCTCCTCCACAGCTCGATCTTATTACGTGTAAGTCGATCATCGATAGCAGGGACTGTCCTCTAGCACCAGGGCATGTCGTCCAGGGTCAGCTTTGGCCCCGGGCCGGTCAAGAGGTGGGCGTGGTGGTGGTGGGGGGTTATCTGTCATAGGGTAACCCTGGTACAAGTACAAGCCTGTTGGTAACTTGGTGCGCGTTAGCTGTCACAGGCCATAAGCCTTTCCCCCGGGTCCTTGCCAACTCTCCGGAAGACAATCCAGCGAAGAAGCCGGGCATCCAGGATCCCAACAGCGTGAGTAAATCAAGGATGCGGCATGCCGCCGTAGTTGGCTGTCGTGGAGAGATCGAGCCCTACTTGCGTCGGTGATACTTATAAGCTTTGGTCCTTGGAAGGATGACGACAGCACGCGAGCGAGGCAAGCTGTACAATACATTGTTGTGCATGGCGGCCCTTTCGCCTGAGGCTCCCGTGGCTTCTTTCCCGCAAATTTCCCCTGATGGGGTCCAGGTCCAGACTCCCGCCACAACCGCGGTCGGGATGTTGTTAGTTGATCCTCCGCCATCGCAGGGCAGGGCGAGCTTGTCTCAATGCCTGGCCCTGAAAGGGCTTTCCGGGAGAAGGCGGCAGAAGACTCTGCAGGTTGTGGGCTAGTCGGCTAGTTTGATTCGCTTGACAAGGATGCTCAGATGCATCCCAGAATCCCGCCGGGCGGAGTCGACCAGACCAGCAGAGCGAACACATGCAGACATCAACTGGCTTGCATGGGTAATAATATGCTGGGTTGTTGACAAGGCCGGTACTTCGTAATAACCAAGGTGAACCGGACCAAGTGCACACCAAGTCTCCAAAGCAGCCTCTCGGGGATATGGTGAGGATAGGAGGCTGGGACAATCGTCTTTCATCGTTCGATCGCCCACGACTTACGACAGGCTACAAATTCTCTTCTCGTCATTGCGTAGGTCAGCGGCCCGTCTGATGTGTCGAGTGCGTCCCTTGAGACCCAGTGCACAGCGGCCGTCTGGCGTCGTAGATGTAGAGCCCGTTGCTCCCTCGAATCGGCAGGCCCATGTGCGGTACAAGACTTGGCAATGGTGGTCTGGCGATGCCGGGGTCTAGGCCCCTGCCAACGTCCTTCTCCACCTGGACGGTGGGTGGATCCCTGTTCCAGACTGAGACATGCCTCCGATGGTGCGAGAGCCACATGTGCGGCGAAACACATGGCTTTTCCATGCTGGACCGACATTTTGCGTTCTCTGCTTTCCGAATAGGCGGCGTATGTCGACGGGCAAGGCCGTGCGGGCAAGCGCCGCCAGCCCTCTACGTTCCATGGGACAGCATCTAATTGACACCATACCCATGTAGCCGGAGAGCGCGCCAGTCCATAAGTGGACAGGCCCCATGCAGGACCCGCGAATGTCGGTCCTGCGCTCCCAAGAATCTGCCGGGGTCTGCGTCCTCCGTGTCCAGGAGCTCGTCCGCGGCACGGTGGAGACGATCCGATCCAGTTCTGCGCAAGATATCAGAACGCAACGGTGTACGGAGTACTGTGGTACTCTATCACAGTGCGGCAGCAGAGATGCGCCGCTATCACTTTCGTTCTTCGTCGATCCGGCACTCCATGGTGGCACTTTCTCAAACATGCCGCGGTGCAAGCATGCATGGGCAACGGAGGCAAGATGGCTTTGCTGAAGACCTACGCACTCTAATGTCAGCAACTTGGGGATAACCCAGATACATCCATGAATCAATCTCGGGCGTGTCACACAGATTCGCAGTGCATTTGGTAAACAGCACCAGAAAAATAAAGTGAGGATCTGACTGGGAGGGCGCGGTTGTGGGGTTCAGGAGAGCTCAGAAAGGTAAAAGTAACTTGCCGGATAGCACCACACCTCGGGTCCACGCCCGGTGAATGGAACGGAAGTGCTCCATCCCCAGCGAATTGCTGGTGATGTGAACAGAATTTCGTCTGCTAGGTACCAGGTATAGATACAATACACCAATACCGCGCAAAATGAAGGGAATTGGCCGATTATTTTGCTCCTGATTTGGATTGCGTGGTAGGGCCTCAATTCCCATCGACATCGCTGGAGCGGATAGTCGATCGGCCCAGAAAATGGACGTGGTACTCCGTGAACACACGGACAGCCAAGGTTTGATGTTGTTGGTGTAAGGTATTGAGTTCAAGACAGCCCAGGACCACCGCTCCGAGCCTAGGTCGGTCACTGGACAGGCAACTCGAATAAGGCACAAGTACAAGTACCGGGTGAAGGTTGAAGCCAGCATTCAGCTTGCCGTGCCCGGAGATTGAAAGATTCAGACGTCGATGCGCAAGTGGAGAAAACGCAGCTCAGGCTGCCTTTTGGCCCTTCAAGTTATGAAAAATATCTAGGTAATGAGGTACAAAACAATACCTTACCAACCTGCGAGGTACGGAAACCTGGAAGTTGCGGGAATATCCTCCCCCTGCAGCAGCTACATGGGACGGAAAGAGCTTCCCCTTGCCCATACCACCCCTTCCCCCGCCACATAAGTGAACGATCCTTGATGAGCAGAATACATCGGACGGACCACCCAACCATCATGCAACACGCACCGTCTGAGTTTACCTTAAGCTGCAACTCCCTCGAAGGTTGCAGTCAAGCGGAACGTACCGAATCCGACTCTATCCCCTTTCCTGCTGCTGTAGTTCCACCTTCAGGTTTGCCTGGGCCGTCCAAGACGTCACCAATAGCGCAGTGCGTTCAAGATGGGTGCGACGTAATGCAAGATTGTTGTCTCGGGATGGCCTGTCACCCCGCGCCGCAGCGGGTTCCCTGAGGCTTCTAGAAAGCTGCAACCACACAGATGGGTCGAAGAGATGAGTATTGGCATCTGGGAATGAGCCAAGTTCATGCAACACAAGGTCAGGGCGACAATGATCTGCTGTTGGTGGAAGCTTGATGGCCCAACGGCCCAACTTCCTCCAACGGCGAGGAACGGAGGGTCTGTGCACCACCGCCGGCCCGGGGACTGCAGGCCGCTTCGCTAGCGTCATCTCGGACTGCAACGCTTGATTGGATCCATGGATTTTGAAGCTTTTGCGAAAATATGCAGGCCCCACCCTCTCTCCCTTTTCTGCGCGCTGAACTTCCAAACATGTGAATCTCCCCAGAAATCATCAAGGTACTAATAAACCTGGTTTTTACCATTCTACCGTACGTTATCAAGCACCGTAGAAAGGTGACGGTAAGTACAATATCTGGCTCATTGTCGATCAACACGATCTATTCCGTATATGCCACATTCTCCGTCCATATCTAGCGAACTCTCTCCTTCACCAGGACCGACATTGTGCACTTTGCACCACTGGAGTCTCATCATTTTAGTCCGTCTCGCGAATGACCGAACCAATCGTCTCATACGGCTCTGGCAGCTTTGTCCAAGCATTCGAGCTGACTGATTAACCCGCCTTGCCCCACAGCCCGACACGCGGGACGGCAATGCCGGCTCTTCGCAAGGAAAACCATAGCTGATGCGAGGTTGAGCTTGTATCTTAATCTTATATCGAGTCTCATCCCGCACGTATGACACGCGTCTGCCTGGAGGGTTTCAGTACGCCGCTCCCCTTGTTATCGCCCTTGTTGGTTGCTCGACAGCCAGCATCCCTTTACAACATCGGCTTGAATGCCCGGGCCATCCGCGGGCGAACTCCAGCATTTGGAGTTTCGGCCGCTTCATATATGGCGTCTCCAGACCTTGGCTGTGAAAGCGCCTCCAACCGACTTAGGCAGATATAGGCCTTTTCTCCGTTCTACCTTGTGATCATGGCATTGCTTTGAAGTCGACCAATGGCACCTCGATGTATGCTACCAACCTCCTCTTTACATCGCGTTCCAAATCTTGGCTCAACAGACTACAGATGACAATTGGCGAGGTAATCCGTAAAGGACCCTACACAGTGCCGTATGTCAGTTTTTTGGTGTCCTCACACACCCCAGCTCTCGTCGCCGGGCTTCGTCCTCAATGCCAGATTGTTTGACATGCCACTTTGATGAGGTGTTACCGTTTCCCCATTCCAGCGAGTTGGAACCGAAAACTCAAGGTTTCTTTGCAGCCCACCTCTTCGCCTTCCAGACCTCTCTGGTTGGACACTATCGCTGTTACACGGCATTTGGCAACAGGTTCTCACACTTGCCTTTACCAGGGCAGGTTCCCAACCAACAGAGCACATGGAGTTTGCCATCTCGGCTAGGAAACGCCACCAGAACCATCTGCGGCAGAGTAACGCATCACATAGCCCGTGCGCCGGCCTTCGCATCCTTCCTTACCGGCGAACTGTGGTTCCCCGCTCCCGCTCCGGCCGCGAGTTCGGGACGGAATCCCGGGCGGCACATGAGGATCAAGGTAGCGTACGACAGCAAATCAGGTCGGCGGGGTTAAACTCCAAATGATGCAGCCCTACATCAAATTGCCGGGTCAGCTGGGGGCCACATCCGTCGGCACTAGTCGTCGAGATGATGAATTGCTGTCTGGACCCCGACAGTCAGTGATGTCTACTTCCCGTTCGACAGCTCCTCTCAGCTGGTTTCAAGTTAACACAGAGTTGACTTGCTGTTCTCAGACCGCCGATCTTCTTCCTTGACAACAGGTCCTAATCCAGTTTTTACGTCTCTACATTGAAAGGTATTAGGGCCCTCTAACTGCCGCCGTGTCCAAGTACACTACACCGGAGGAGAGGGGCTTTTTGAGCACACCGCGCCATCTCAAGCAGATGTCTCGGAGACGGTGTAAAACACCTCCCTGTAAATGTTATCCATTCCCCGTGCATCGCATAATGGCACCGATAACGTTACCATACCGTACCATTACCATACGTCTTGTCACACGACTGCCTGCTGTTCCCCGGCCGGCAAGCCGGAACCCAACCTTAGTAAATGAATTTGGGACAGCACAACCGACAATCGGCAATGGATGGGAGTACAGCCGCCCGGGGCGGTCCGACCATTGATTCAACGAGTGCATTCGTGCTTCTCGTAACCACTCTTGCCTTCTTCTTACCTCTACTCATCCATTTCCCGCCAATTCCGCCGTCCAAGCGCGATGCACTCCTTGAGACACATACCGAGATCGGCCTGAGACCATCAAAATCCCGCCTGCAAGGGAATCTCAAGGTTGAGGCAGGCTCTACCGCTACAAGTAATCAAACCCAGATCCGCAGCCTCTGGATCTACCCGCTTAAGTCGTGCAAGGGCATCGAGGTGTGCCAGAGCAAGGTGCTCCCGACCGGTCTCGAGTATGACCGTCTCTACACCTTTGCCCAGCTCGGGCACCCCGGCCCCGTCGGCGCGCAGAGGTCGCGGTCGTCGGACCGAGATGAGAAGTGGCAATTCATCACGCAGCGCCAGTTCCCGCTGCTCGCCATGGTGCAGGTCGACCTCTTCATCCCGGACATCGCCAGGGCCCGCGGCCAGCCCTCCAAGGTGTCGGAGCCCTTCCTGCTCGTCCGCTTCCCCTGGCAGGAACCTGGTCTGCGCGGCATGCTGGCCTGGACCGCGGCCAAGCTGGCCCGCGGATGGCGCGCCCGCCCAGAGAAGGAGTTTGTCTTGCCCGTAGCCTTTCCCTCGGAGGACGAGATTGAGGCCCGCGGCTACACGCGCGAGCCCGTGACCATTTGGCGCGACACGGTTGAGGCCCTCAACATGGAGGCGGAGCTACCTCGGGAGCTCAGTCTGTACCTTGGCGTGAACGACAGGCTCGGCCTTTTCCGCGTCGACCCGGCCCGATTACGAGACGTCTACCGGTGCGCCCCTACGCTGCACGATGTTGGCTACCAGCCTGTGACCAACTTTCAGGATGCTGTGAGTGATCGCTCCATGGCTACCCCGCCTTTTTCCATTACACTGTTGCTCCAACAAAATGGCCCGATTGCAGCTGTAGTCTTCGGAAAAGGTATGTGCGCTGTATGGAATAGTTGAGAACTGACATGTGGATTTGCCGTTCTCAATTTTGCAGTATCCCCTACACCTCCTAAACTTAGCCAGCGTCCGGGATTTTGATGCCAAGATCGAGAAGGACAAAGCCCTTCCGGTCCTCGACCCAAGGAGGTTCCGGGCCAACATCATAGGTGAGTCGCCGTGTGCCAGTGTTGACATGGAACCGAATTGACACTGGATGGCGCATTGTCCCGCCCAGCACCCCTGAATTACCGTCGTGATTTCGCTGCTTCTTCATGACTATACTGACATCCGCTATCAGTTGACGGCGGTAACACGCCTTACGACGAGGAAACCTGGAAGAAGATCCGCTTCACCCCGCGGCCTGGCAGCAAGCGCGAGGCCTCGACGTTCCATGTATCTTGTCGGACTGTCCGGTGAGTCCCCTTCTGTCTTCCATTTGGCTCTTCATAGCCGCTGATCCCCGTTGCAGTTGCAAAATGCCCAATGTAGATCAGGACACTGGTCATCGTCACCCGGTAGAGCCTGACAAGGCTTTGAGAAAATTCAGAGATGTGGATGAAGGCGCAAAGCACAAAGGTTGCTTGGGGATGCAGCTCACTCCCCTGTTTTCCAAGACCGAGTCGCATGAGGATCTGGAAAGCTGGGTCGAGGTTGGGATGTCGGTCCAGCTGCTAGAGCGCGGGCGTCATGTATACATCCCGCAGTAGTGGGTCAACCGCGAAACATACATGCAGACATGTACAAGTCCATCAGTGTACAACATGTATAGACACCTCGGCAACGGCGAAATAGCACAAAACAACCAGACAACAATGCAAACCCAACACACTACTTGCCAGCGCAGTCAAAGTCGTGTACGACACCATACCCATCGTGATGACCGCCCCAAGCCACACACCCATCATCACGCCAGATGCTCTCGGCATATAGACCAACAGACCTAAACCCATCTGGTATCCCTCCTTCTAGAACCCCAATGCCGACTGAACTCCCAACAAACCCCTCCATGCCAGGCTTCTTTCAACCTCCCAACCATGTATTTCACCCTCCAACAAAAGAGCATAAACGCAACGACTAGAACACAAAATCACCTCAGATCCGCCGGCGTAAGCGCCTGCACCATACTGGTGCCCTCGCTGAAGCGCGTCCTAAAGATGCGATTTGCGTTCTGGAACATGCCGTCCTTGAGCGACACGACAATGAACTGGGACCCCTTGAACCGCGTCTTGATGAGCCGGCCAATGTTTTGTGTGTGCGACAGGTCCAGTGCCGCGTCCACCTCGTCCAGGATGTACATGGGCGCCGGTTTGAACTGGAGCAGGGCCATGATCAGGGAGAGGGCGATGAGAGAGCTGGATCGTTCATAACCCGGCGGTGTTAGTTGAGTCTGATAATAAGGGGATGGCTATGAGGGGGTATGGGGGTTGAGGGAGAGTAAGGAAAAGAGGGAGAAAGAAGAAACGCACCGTTGGCCGCCGCTCAGCTCCGTTAGACTCTGCTTCCACACCTTGCCCAGGCAGACTTTGACCTCGAGGCCGTCCGAGATGGTCTTGCCCTCGGGCGGGTCCAGCTTAGCAAAGCTGCCCGGCAGCAGCTCGGCAAAGATCTGGCCGAAATCGGCATTCACTTTCTGCCACGTCTCCTGCAGCGCCTTCTTCTTGTAGTCGTCCAGGCTGACAATGGTCTCCTCGATCTTGCGCTTGTCGCGGATGACGGTGCGCATCATATGCTTGAGCGACACCTCCTTCTTCTCGACGCTGTCAATCATGTTCATGACCTTGGGGTTGATCTTCTTGCGCAGGCCCTGGCTGCGCTCGAGCAGGTTCCGGTGCGTCGCCTTGCACTCAGCAATGTTCTGGCCCTTGAAGTCGTAGGGTGTGCCCGTGCGCCCAAACTGGTCGCGCGCGTCGGCGATCCACTCGTGCTCCTTTTCCATCTCGGCGACTCTGCTGGCGGCCGACTGCTGCTCCTTGTGGAACCTCTCAATATCGTGGCCCAGCTTTTGCTTCTCGAGCCCTTCCTCGGTGATGCGGGCGTTCTTGGACCGGATGGCTTCCTCGAGAGCGCGCAGCTCGTCGTCATAGACGTGCAATTTGGCACGTTCTTCGTCGAGTTGAACTTGAGCGGCGTCGTGGGCTTCCTTTACCTTCCTCTGCTGTTTGATCAGGTCTTCAACCTCCTCCTGTTGGGCCTTGAGGGCGAGGTCAATCTCCTGTAGCTGCTCGCGCGCCGCGGCTAGGTCGCCTGAGACCTGTTCCGAATCGAGCTGCGCCGTTTGGAGCTCCTTTTGCAGAGCCTTGTTGGACGACTGCATCTTCTCAAGAGAGGCACGGAGTTTGTCGACGGAAGCCTGGAGTTCAACGAGCTTGGCGTCCTTGTTGTTGTCAAAGTCTTTCATGTCCTTCTCAATCCTCTTCACATCGGCACTGGCTTCAGCTTGCCGTGTTTTGGCTTCCAGAATGGACTCCTTGAGTTGCGCGATCGTCTCCTGCATGTTTCGCACTTCTTGGATGATGTAAGACGAAGAATTGGTGCCGATTTGTTCCTCGGCAAGCTTAATCTCGTGCGTCTTGAGGTCAAGCTCTTGCTTGATTCTTTTGGCTTGGTCGAGCCTAGACTTCTCCCCCGCGATTTGGGATTGCAGCTGGCCAAGCGACGCTTCCGCTTCCTTGAGCTGCCTCGTGATGTCGTTGAGCTTTTGCAGCGTGACGAGGACACCACTTGAGTTGGGAGCGCTGCCACCAGAGAGGGTGCCTGAAGGATCATATGCATCGCCTTCTAGCGTGATGCTGCGCATTCTCACGTTGGGGTCAAAGGTTACGCGCTTAGCCGTGTCGGCGTCCGCGCAGACCAGAGTATTGCCAAAGACGTACTCCATAGCGGCTGAGACCTCCTCATCGTATCCGACAAGAGACAGCGCCAGGTCCACCTTCCCGGGCGCTATCCGCTGAGCTGTGGCAACTGTTTGGGCAGACGCCCTGAAAGCGGCGATCTTGTTCAGGGGAATGATCGTCACGCGCTTTCGCAGTCTTCCACCCTGCAGGAGCTGTGTGCCGGTGATTTCCGTGTCGACGACGACGTTGTAGAGTCGCCCGCCCGCGCAAATTTCGAGCGCCGTGGCCGCCTGTGTGAACTGCTTGTCCAGGGTGAACAACTGCGCCACCAGACCTTTGACCTTTGACCGGTCGAAATTGGGCACAGGGTCTGCATAGCTGAAGTCGATGTTCGCAACCTTGCGTTTTAGAGCATCTGATTCTTGCCGTAGGTTCCGGATGGTCTGCTGGAGTTGGCTCTCCTGCTTGTACATTTCCTGCTCGGTACCTGGTTGGAAGCCAAGTTTGCCCAGCTCCTTTTCCAGCCTCTGCGCCTGGTGCTTAAGGCCCTCGAGGTCTTTGAGGAGACCGGCGTTCTGGTCTCGCGCTTTCAGAGCGCGGGGTTCCTCCTCCTTTATGCGCTTCTCAAGATGGGCGATCTTGATCTTTGCCTGTTCCTGCTCCGTGACGGCTGCGGTGGCTCGGTTCCTTGCGTCCTGAAGCTGTCCTTGGTACCCGTTTTCTTGGCCTTCCTTGGATGCGACACCTGTTTGCAGGGTCTGGAGCAGCTCTTCTTTTGATTCTGCCTCCTGACTCTGTTTCTCGGCCGCCTCTTTAGCAGCGTCATACTTCGCCTTAATCTTCTCGTAAGCCTTGGTCTTCTCCTTGAGTGCCGACTCCAGCTCAGCAACCGTCCTTTCGCAAGCCGACCTCCGCTCTTGCTCTTCCGACATGCTGCTGCGCTTGAGGTCTACCACGGTGGCAAGCCGAACCATCTCGTTGGCCTGCTTCTTGACCGCCTCTTCAAGCGCCTGCGCCTTGCCGCCTTTTCGTAATTCCTTGTCGCGTTGGGCTTTGACCTTTTGCACATCCTCCTCCAGGTGGGATATTTCGCTCTTGAGTCTCGCGGCTGACTCCTCCAGAGCCTTCTGGCGCTGCTTCTTCGCCTCGAGATCTGAGGCAGACTGCTTCAGCTTCTCCTGGTTCCGAACGTAATCATGAGCCACCACCACCCTGGTCAACCGCTCGAGATCATTTTGTGTCTGCTGGAAGTCGAGAAAGGCGCGCTTTTCGGTTCGTAGCTTCTCGAGCTTTGGCTCAATCTCGTCTCGGAGCAACTCGGTGATCTCCTGAAGCTTCATCTCCTTTTTGGCCATGGTCTTGAGCGCTTTGTCCCTCCGGTCCTCAAACATCCTGGTGCCCGCGGCCTCCTCGATCATGGCCAGAATCTCGACAGCTTTCATGTTCAGGACCTTGGTGATGCGCCCCTGCATGATCAGGAAGTTGGGGTTGTTGATGTTCAGCTGTACGGACTGGAACAGGTTCTGGACGGTCTGCTGTTGCGCGCGGTGGCCGTTGATAAGATATTTTGTCGTACCGCCGAGCACGATCTGGCGCGTCACACTAATTGTCGCATACTCCTCGAATCCGATGGGCGAGCGTTTCTTGTCCCGGTTGTCGAACACGATGGTGACGCTTGCCTTGGTGACGCCTGCTTGGCCCCGTTTGTAGATTAGGTCCTTCAGGTAGGGTCAGCAAGAAGAAAGTTCGCAAGTTGCGGCGCATTCGCGGCTCGGTCCCACCTGGAGGTTCTGCGCGCGGACTGTGGACATGTTGGTAATGCCCAGCACGAAGCAGATGGCGTCCAGGATGTTGGACTTGCCACTGCCGTTGAGGCCAGTGATGGAGTTGAAGCTCTCGTCCCTGCGGCCAGCAATCAGCGCCGGCATGTTCTCCTGAAGTTCAAGTCGTCTTACCATCCTGATATGACAGTACGCACGGCGTACGACTTGAAGCCCTGTTTGCAGGGTCAGCGGCTGGCGCAAGAACGAAGAAACTGCTGCGCCTACGTCAATAATGAGTTCCGTTACCCTCATGGCGGCGTCGTCAGAAAATGCCTTTTCACTTGTTGGGTGTCGAGCTGTCGCGATTCGCGGACGGCTGAGACGCGCCCCTCTCTGCAACTTTCGGTTTTTGTGTGTATTTGTTTACTTCCCTTTTCCTGGTCACCCCGCAGCACGGTGGCACGTGTATCGGCCATCAGAGGGACAATGCTGTACTCCGTAATTTCGCGCACGTAACTTACAGTAGAATCTGCTTGGCAGCGATTGGCCAGCTTTCAAAGACGAGAACATTCAGTTTCAGGGCAGCAGGGGCTCCTGGCACCTGCCCAAGGGCCACCCGCCTATTAGTGTTGCCCCAACTGGGCAGGGCCATTTACGAGGGGATACGTACGTCAACTCCTACAACCCCCAACCGCAACTTGCAATCTCGAGAGTTCGATGTATTGTGCGAACCCGGGCCGAATCCGTGCCCGGACCCGGCTTTCTGGATGCGCCTGCCCCGGATCAAGACTGTTTAATCGCGCGGAATTCCCGATTGCTGTGCAGTACGGCTGATAGCTGCCGTTTGATGAGAAGTTGCCGCCACCTTTAGCAGCCTCCAGCTAGGTACCGATCCCAGCTGCAGGACGCCGTTCATAGTCAGACCAACGCACAACGGTTTTGTGCGGCGTGACTCTGAATTTTAGCCGTCGGGAAGCGCATCATCCCATGATTTGAACATCCCTGGTCTGATGCCCATCCGCTATCGCTGCTATTGCCGCGCATCAATACCCAGGGCCTGGTTGGGAGGATGCCCGAGCCTATGATCCCCTCGCGGACGTCCCCTTCAAGCACAATCCGGCCCGCCGCACGAGATTCCGACACGACATCCATCAGGCCGCGAAATCGTCGCGTTCTTAGCGCCCAAGAGAATGCCGCCGTTTCGTCGGCTTTGTCGACCCAGGGCCGGTCACCCAGTCGAGGTGCATCGCCCATACCGCCCGCCCGCATCGGTTCTGTCACAGGAAGGATCAATCTCAGAAACGAGGTTGTACACAGCAATGCGCGAACAAAGAGTCCCGCCGGACGCGGAATCTTCGATGGATCATGGACCCCTAGTTGGGCATCGTTTCAAGAGTTGGCCTCATCGCTGCTTGGTGTCGGAGGCTCGGTAGTTAGCGGGGAGCCCCACCAGCCGCTCAGTGGTGATGGCAGCAGGACACGGAAATTGACCAGACAGGCCAGCTATCGAGATGACTCGAGGAACGACGCCTGGGGGCCCGAGCCGCCGAACGAGTCAAGACCGCACCCAGATGACATTGCTGCCGGATCGCGCACAAAGATAGAGGCGACCTTGAAGGCTATGCGTACAGCAAGCCTGCTGGAGAGCCATGAAGGCGTCAACGGAGGACTGGACGTTGCGGGAAGGTTCAAAAAGCGGAGCTCGGATGAGAATTTGAGAGGAACATCCCCAACCCCTGACACAGAGGAGTACCTGGCGTACATCCACCATGTCCAACCAACAGACACATACGCTGGTATTGTGCTCAAGTACAGGTGCCGGGAGGATGCTTTTCGAAAGGCCAACGGGCTATGGTCTCGAGATAACATCCAAGTACGGAAATGGTTGGCAATGCCGGTGGACGCTTGCGAAGTGAAGGGACGTCCCTGCGATCCACCGACGAATCCTTCTTCCAAAGTCGACTTGCTCTCCCGGACGCCTGATGCCATCGATCCCTTCGGCCGGGACAGCCAACAAACACATGACGACTTCTTCACCTCCGGAAACAGGCGCACCTCGGATCATAACGAAACCGGCGACGATGACAAACCCTGGAAGCATGTGAGGTGGGTGTCGATCGACTCGCACCCGCACCCGGTCGAGGTCGCGCGGGTACCGCGAAAAGCGCTGGGCTACTTCCCCCCGCGGCGGAAGAAAAGCATGCATACCACCTCCACCCTGTCCACCCCTCGCGCCTCGACCGACCTCCCAAGCGCTGCAATACCCGAACCGGCGGTTGACAGCCCTCAAAGCAGCTCTTCCCGCCGGCCGAGCCTCCTGAGCAGCCGTGGCGCATCCAGGATCTCCGCAAATCGCAACCGCCTCAACAGCACCGGCAGCGGCGCCGGCGCCACGGGCGACTCCAGACCAGCCTGGATGCGCCGACCAGGCGGCGTCGGCTCTCTCGGCCGCCACGTGAGCGCCCCGGGCCCGGAGAGGGATTACCTCAACTCGTGGACCAACAAGCACCTCCCTGGTCTCAACATCGACTCGCTCCCGTCCATGTCCGTCATGGGCTCCGAGAGCGCACGCTTCGGGTTCACGATGCCAGACGAGAACCCTTCCTCGGTGGCCATCGTCGAGAGCCCCTTCGAAGAAGGCCGCGACGCGGCGTCGACGAGCAGGCAGGGCACGGGGCTGGACAAGGCGGCGGCTGCGATCGAGACGTGGCTGAGGGGCGCGTTTGAGCGCGCCAGGCAGGCAGGCCCGCTTACCCCTGTGCTGGGGCCGAGGGGGAGACAGGGTGCTGGGGGTGGCGGGATAGGCGGGATGCCTGACGTTGGCGGGGATCTGATTGAGCTGGCGGATACGGGGAGTGATGACGGGAGGCATGATGGGTCGGGGCGGGACACCAGGGGCGGGTTGCTTAGCTCTCCGTTGCCTGGCGCTGCGTCCTCTGCTGCTCGTGCGACGCAAGGCGGAGCTGCTTCGGGGAGGAGCGCCGGGCAGTGGGCTGCTGGGGTTAGGGGCCGGGGTGGCAATACTATGGGTGGGAATAAGAAGGCGGATTAAAGGGTGTAGAGGGAAGTGGAGTGTGTTTTCGGTCTAGATGGTGGTGTTACTCATTGAATGTGGCGTGCTGTCCTATGGGATATCCTAGCGTTGCGCTGTGGGCTTTTGTCGTATTGTTACTGAACGCAGCGAGCCTGACCTCTGTGCCGTGGTCATTTGGTATGTAGAAGCAGACGGCTAGATCATGGCAGAGGACTCGGAAGCAAAGCGCTTTCCAGGATCCTTGCACATACCCTGGTTTTCACGAAAAGCTCTCAATGCCATTAGGAAAAGGGATGCAAGGCAGCCGTCTAAGCGGTGCTAGCTACCTATCTGCCTCTTAAGGTCTCTTACGTGACTAATTCATATAATGTAGTAGTTATGCGACTGTCAGTTCTCCTGTGCGGTGGCAGACTCTGAGGTCAACACCCGTGGACAAATACCCGTAGTGTTCACTTGTGCCGATAAGGGTTCTTATCGGTCGAGGGATACCTCAACAGCCCCGAACCGGCATTTGCGATCGCAACACCATCACGTCCTACGCTTTCGTTACCCGGATTCGTTTTTCTGCCGACTTCGACTACTCACTCCGTCCCAAACCCGGTGGCAACTTCATATTACTCTCCCTGAGTCACATCGAAATGTGCCCGCCACCATGCCCATTTGCATAGAGTGTCGACACCCCGTCAAGACGCTCTGGCGCGAGGGCGGCGGCGACAAGTCGGGCGGGCACAACATCCGGCTTACGGTGTGCAAGAACTGCGGGCGCTTTTGCGACAAATATGTCGAGCACGACTTCGTCGTGTTGTTTATCGATCTGGTCCTGATCAAACCGCAGGTGCGATGCCAGGGTTCTACCATGCATATCATCTTCGGAAGGCAAGGAAGGACGGAACGCTGATATAGGTTGGGGAGATAGGTGTATAGGCATCTATTACATAACACGTTGATGAAGGATGAGGATGAATTTGCGGTATGCTTCCATCCTCCCTCGCAGGGTCTATGTGGGAGACAGAGCCGGGCTAACACTGCTTGACAGCCATCAATCATCCGCCTCGGCATCCTCCTCCTCTTGTTCGACGTCTATCTTACTTGGGCCCGCATCGAGCGCCAGTCGGTCCCCGACGCCGATGTCGCGAGTGGAGGTACCAGCAACTTTGGTCGGCTCGCCCAGCAGCCGATAGTATTCCAGTACATGTTCTTCTGTATACCCCGCCGTTCCAACCCCCTCCTTGTCTTCCAGCCCCGTGGCCACCACTAATGCCTTTTCTCCCCTACAGTGCTCCTCTGCACCCTCTCGATAATTGCCTTCCACGGCTCCATCCGCTTCCTCACCTCCTCCCGCTACTCCCCGCTCACCCGGCTGGGCATCCTCCCGCGCTATTCACGTCCCAACTCGGTCTCGACCGCCCTGCTCGTGTCGTCCTCGACCAAGCTGTTCCCCATCCTCATGGTGATATGGGAGTACGACGTGCCGGCCGCGGCGCGGTCGCTCGGGTGGGCGGTCGTGGCCAACAATGTCGAGGCGCTCAAGATCCTGCTCGACTGCGGCTATGGCGTGGCGGCGCTTCTTGCGATGGCAGGGGCGGTCAGCCGCTGGGCGATGGGGCGGGCGGTGCTGTGGGCGGCGGGGCTCGAGGGGGTCGACTCGGCCGGTGAGACGGGCGTGGCCGAGGACGGGAGGGCGTTTGTGGCCATGCTGATGTATGCGCGCGACTGGGCGGGGAGGTTGGCTGTGGGTTAGTTGCCGAGCATGCGATCTTGACCGTCTTTGTCCTGATTTAGTCCTTCTGACCCCGAAGCTTTGTGTCGGAAAATGATACATTCTGTATTCGACTGCCCAGGGGCTGTCTGCTGGATGTACAAGCCCACAGTCGCCCAATTGTGAAATCCAAACCCGTAATATGCCTGCCCGCCTGAACGCCGTCCTGATTAATCTGTATGGAATGTCGTGGGTATTCGTTCAACGGCTGTAGAACTATGTCCTCATCGCGCCAGGCTCCCTCCGGAATATACAGCTTAGTGGTGGATGTACTCCTTCCGTAGATCCGACCGTCTCGGCTCGATGAGCGGGTGCAGCTGGGAGAGGAAAGTAATGGCCCACATGAGGTAGCAGCTTGCGATGGAGAGAATGATTGAGGAGCGCCAGAGCCTGGTTCAAAATCGTGCCATGTCAGCTCCGTGGTTTGATGATCCGAGAGAAGGGGAAGCGAGAACCTACACCTGGTTCTCGCCCTTGGGTGAGAAGAACCATGCGGCTATTGACATGGCGACCACTATCACTAGGCCAATGATGACACTCCAGCTGCGGCAATCAGTGTTAACCAGCAGTCGTTGATATGCCCTGGAGAGATTACCCGTGATGGTTTGCATACATACCCGTTGGCCATTATCCGGATCTATGAAGATATATTCTAGACAACCGCGGCTATGTCCAGCAAAGAACCTGTTGTTGACGCAGGCGGGTCGTTGGCGGCAAAGAAGCAGTACAGGCGGAGTAACGTTTGTGTTGCGAGTTGGATAAACTGCGACGGAGGTTGGTGCGGAAGCACAAGGCGCAGGCAAGCTTGGGACCCCGGCTCGCCTAGCAGAACGCAAACAACGTTTAGTCACCAATTCGGTAAGTTACCGTATGTACAAAGTACCATCGAAGCATAAGTTACTGTACGGCAAGCTCGGACACTTTCCACTTTCGCACAGAGTTACGAATTATAGTTAACGTATATGATAAGCGAGCGGCGCGGACAAGCGAGCGGCGCACTGGTAAGAGCTGCATTGACATTTAGCTGTAGCACTAACAGGTCATTTCCGCCTCAACCCCGCTGTTAGTGCTACACCTAAAACGTCTATACAGCTCTTACCAGTGCGCCGCTCGCTTGTCCGCGCCGCTCGCTTATCATTATACGTTATCCGGAGCTTTGATAGGAGTTTGTCTAACTAGCAGTCTAACGCGGATTACAGGTCGGCCGTGGAATTCTCTCTAAGAAATAACCAGTCACTAATTACTGCGCCTTTGCCTTGCTCTTGTTCTCCTCTGGCTCATTCTCATACTTCAACCCGGCCTGGGCCCTGACGGTACCATAGATACTGGCGATGTCCCCCTTCTCCCCTTGGTGCTCCACCACCTGATCCAGATGGGCGTCCGCGACCTCCAGATTCCTCATCCGAACGCCGCAGGCCTTTGCCAGACTAAGTGCATGCCGGGCGTCCTTTTTGGCGAGGTAAACAGGGAAAAGCGGGTACGACATGCGATGGTACGCCCCGGACAAGATGCGAGTCGACTAAGCCGCAAACGGACCGGGGAACATGCTCCCGACAAGTTCGTGCAGGTATTGCGTCCCAAGCCCGGATTTTTCGGCCAGCACCAGGGCCTCGGACAGCTGCTCGACCATGTTCAGGATGAAGGTGTTGCCGACCAGCTTCAGCGTGAGCGCTTTCTCATAGGGCTCGTCGCTCATGTCGATTTCGCCTTTGGCCATGACACCCTTGAAGTACCGGCTGGCTTTCTGGACCGAGTCCTTGGGCCCCGCGAGCACTCCGACGAGCTGCCCAATCTCAGCCATGGCGGGTGCGCCGAATACCGGGGCGGCAACGAATTCGACGCCGCGGTCCCAGAACGCTTTGGCAACGCGGACGGTGGTGTCTGGGTGGATAGTCGAGCACTCAACTATGAGCTTGCCCGAGACATCTCCGGCCTTGAGGATCTCGTCTGCTACGGCTTCGACGATGTCGTCCTTGGCGAGGATCATGAATATGATGTCAGCTCTGGCGACGCCCGCAGCGATCGAGTCCACGATCTCGGTCTTTTCGGCGGGGAACTGCTTGCTGAAGTCGACTGACTTCTGCTTGGTGCGGTTGTAGACGAGAACAGGCTGGGCGACATCTGCTTTCTCGACGATATTTTTACACATCCCCTGGTAAGAGTTAGACCAACTTGTCCGCAGTTGGCGAAGATGTCCACCTACCCGGCCCATGTTTCCCAGGCCAATCCAGAAGAGTGTTGGAGCCATGGTCTATGGTTTTCTGAGCGCGGTTAACAAGCGAGGTATATTTCGTGCAGGATGTTCAATTGAGCAATGGTGATGGTGTATCGTTGCTGTAGGATGGTTTGATGGTTTCAGGGCTGTGGGTTCTGTGGTCTGTAAGGTAGAAATGTTATGCTTTGAATCGAACGTTGGGTCGTCTGGCCTTTCGATCGGCAATGAGCATGGGATGGCGGGGAAACACTTTCCCAAATTGGACCTTGCCGATAGAGTTGGAAGGAAAGACTTACAAAGGGCAGCCCTGATACACAGTCGCAAATTGAAGCATCTCCGCGACAATGAGGTAGGAGCCACCGGTTCACCACCAACTGGTCTGCAACTCGCCGATCCTTACTGAGAAGTGACGTGCACAAGCTCTAGTCCGGGACAATTCCGAATGCGGGGCACTCTGCGCCGTCTGTGGGGTTGAGTCTTGGCAGCAACTTCAATTTCCTCAGCTGCGTTCATTGTAATTGCCCAATCATGTGTTCGGCTTGGGACGATGCCGAGTGTCCCGTCGATGTCTGCTCGGTCCGTGTACTATTAGTACCACAAGCATGAGGTGTTTGTGAGTCTCGTCAATCACGACGTGCCAAGGACAACCACACAATGTGTTGCTCCACCCGCTTTATCTTGATGATCTGATAATTTTGCTTAGTGAACAAGGGTCGTGAGCCGGTGGATTCTTCGGCCTCTCATTTCCTGAGTCACATGGTCGCCTTCCTCACACCGCCAGCTAAGATAATGAGTACGACCTATATCTGAGAACTCACTTGCTGGCCGGGTCACCCGCCATTGGGACCACGGGAAATTTCTCATTGCTTTCAGAGCCCCCTTTTTGAACCATGTTCGCCAGGGGAAGCGGCGCTTGGAAAAAGGCAACCTCGGCAGCTCAGGTGAGTGATAGTGAGCCACATTGGATCTTAGCCCTGGATGACTTCTTACCGTAATGTCTTTGCCGAATCCGTGATTTGATTTGTCTGATTTGTTCGCTAGGCTTCCCTCCGCAGAGAGAAAGTCTGCCACTTTTCAACGGCTGACAACAATTCCCGGCCTGGAAGGGCAGCTGGCACTTTGTCCGAGAAGGGACCCCCTTCTGCGAGTGAGGCAAAGCAGAAGAGAGAGTCGGATAGGGTTAGGACGCCTCACCTCCCACACGCCATGTCCCGCTAACCCCTGGCAGCAATTCTTGATCTCTGTGCTCGAATCGTCGGCGACCAAACGTGACGCCAAGGCCTACCTCCAGACCTTTGGCTCTTCTCCAGACCGGGGGCCGAAGAAGACGCCGGCCTTCACTACCGTCGTACACGACGAGCTCCATGGTCAGGACGACGCTCCGCGGTTCGTCCAGGGCCCAGTGAGAGTGTCCGTGGCGGACACAAGCGAGGTGCCCCACATCGCTATCGTCAAGCTTAGGGAACCACAGACATGGGACGATGCTCTACTCGACGGTGTTGCCAAAACACTCACGCATCTGCGGGACCTAGGTCTGCGTAGCGTTATCGTTCTCGATTGCGACCTAGACGGAAGCGATGGCGTCCGCTGGCAGGAAGTTGTTTCCCAACAAACAGACCGCTTCATCAAGGCCATTGGCCGACATGGCTCACCAGGGGCGGAGCTGGTAAGCTTGGCTATTTGGAAGAAAAAGGGGTCGCCGCAACGACTCTCATCCGTCGGCTCAACGAATTTGTTTGTGGGGTTTGGGAACGGCGTCACTACGCCGCTCAGGTACGGCCATCTTGTGGTGGTTCCGCCTCGTGCATTATGTGAGGAGACGCTGGGATACAGTGCAGCGGATGCCAACGAGATCATATTTGCGTTGACTAGCTTCTTCTCGGGCTTGCAATTCGACAAGCAGACGGGTACAGAAGATAGTCCAGAAGTCCCCTCGGGGCGCCGTTCTCTACGGAAAGCTCTGGTTGACAGAGTCATCATCATAGACCCATTCGGTGGAATACCAGCGAGCAGTCACGGCGACGGCGCGCGCGTGTTTGTCAATCTCGAAGAAGAGTTCGACAAGCTCCGAGACGCGCTAGCCGCCCACGGGCAACATGACTTTCTGCCGAGCAGTGCAAGTTTACTAGGCTACCCCAAAGCCAGGCATGTCGAGAACCTAAAACTCGTCAAGAACACGCTGGGCATACTCCCTTCGACAGCATCGGCCGTCATAACCAGTCCGGCCGAGGCCGCTAACCTACGAGCCTCACCGATTCAGGTGAATGAGGCCAGTGTTGGGCGATTTGCGGGCGAAGTGAAAACTAGGCGGTGGCAAAACCCCCTCATCCACAACCTCATCACCGACAGGCCCATCTACTCGGCGTCCCTTCCCATCGGCAGAGTGAAGCCCACAGCCCGAAACATGGAACTCACTTCAGCCCGCATGCCAACCACAACCCTCGCAAAGAAGGGCCTGCCGGTCACGATCTTCCCGAACCCCCGGTCGGGCCCCTGGAAACCCCCACAACCTGGCAGCCCGCGGCTCAGACTCACCGATACCTGCATCGATCTGCCGCGGCTCGTCCACCTCATCAACGACTCGTTCAACCGCAGGCTCGACGTCGAGCACTACCTGCGGCGGGTGCAAGACAGCCTGGCGGGCATCATAATCGCGGGCGAGTACGAGGGCGGGGCGATCCTGACGTGGGAGCGGCCGTTTGGCATGGACGAAGAGACTGCGTACCGCGAGGGCAGGCTGGTGCCGTACCTGGACAAGTTTGCCGTGCTCAAGAAGAGCCAGGGCGCGGGCGGCGTGGCCGACATTGTGTTCAACGCCATGGTGCGCGACTGCTTCCCGTCGGGCGTGTGCTGGCGCAGCCGGAAAAACAATCCCGTGAACAAGTGGTACTTTGAGCGGTCGTGCGGGGCGAGGAAGCTGCCCGACAGTAACTGGGCCATGTTCTGGACGACACCGGAGGCGGCGACGGATGAGCAGCTCATGCGGGACTATGAGGATGTGTGTAGGAATGTGGTGCCGTCATGGGAGGATATGAAGCCGGCGGATTAGGCGGGATGGTTCAGTTACCCTGAAGAGGTTGTTGAGGATACAATCCGTATCCGTAAAGAGGGGCGTATTAAAACAGTGGTGATTTTTCGACTGGATCCTTTGAGGTTGCCACAGCTGTGTCGACCCGGTTGTTCTGCTTTGATGATCAAGGCACTGTGACCTGCTTGTACGGTAAGGAACCTGCATCCTCCTCCGGGATCTCTTCAGTTTGGGTTCTCATCAAGAGACAACTTTCTCGAGCTTGAGAAGATGCCTATTTGAGAGCGGTCGGCCCTGGCATTATGACGCGGCCAATCATTCTTTGGGTGTTCAATTGGAACAGGCAGGGATTGGCGGGTTGTCCTGCGCCTTGGCGTCCCTGCGGCGGCCTGTTACCAAAGCTTCTCTTATCGACATCCGCCCTTTTCGCTGACATTCATCAAATATCGTCAATACGTTCATTGTGCAAGGGCCTCCGAGTTGATCATCATCGAACAAATTCAAGATGGACGCGTTCAAAGGTTTCCAGAAGAGTCTCACGTAAGAACTTTAGCGCTACAAACCAGTCGCGGAATAATAGCTTCAGGGACAACGGCTGACATGGAGGCGCCACAGCTCGCTGGGTGGGCAGATCACCCCTTTCGCCTCGCGTACCTTCCAGTACACCAAGGAACAATTGGGCCAGGCTGAGGACAAGGTTTGCGACGCTTGCCCTGCCGGCCGTGATGGAAACGATGGCTAATACCGACGGGCACAACAGACCCAGCTCCCTCCCGACTACATCGACCTTGAGAAGCGGGTTGATGCGCTGAAGGCGGTTCATCAGAAGATGCTGGCTGTGACGTGAGACCACCAGACCCTTCACCCGGAAGCCACCACAATTGAGGCTAACGGGGCGATTGAATAGTTCGCAGTATTCCCACGAGTCCTACGACTACCCGCCCAACATCAAGGAAACCTTCCAGGACCTGGGCCGCACCGTTAGCGAGAAGGTCAGCCTTCTGTCGAGCGCCACCACCCCGGCCGAGGCCCAGGCGGCTTTGACCGCGCCGCCGACCGCGAAGCCGCAGCCTAAGACGTTCCACCACGCCATGGCGCGCGCCGCGCTGGCGAGCAGTCAGACGCTGCACCAGCAGCACACGGGCGCGGGCGAGGACCCGCTGGCGACGGCGCTCGAGAGATACGCGTTGGCAATGGAGCGCGTGGGGGAGGCGCGCCTGGCCCAGGACGCCCAGGTGCAGAGCCGCTTCCTGGCGGGCTGGAACACGACGCTCAACACCAACATCCTGTTTGCGACGCGCGCCCGCAAGGCCGTCGAGAAGGCCCGACTCACGCTCGACGCCGTCAAGGCGCGCGTCAAGGGCACTACGTGGAAGCTGGGCGGCTCATCGCCGCGCGGGGAGGCGCACGACGAGCACGAGCTGAGCCCAGAGGCGCAGGAGGAGATTGAGAAGGCCGAGGACGAGTTCGTCACGCAGACTGAGGAGGCGGTTGGAGTCATGAAGAATGTGAGTTTTGTTTTGTCCTCTCTGACTGCTGTTTTCCGGCTAGCAAACATGATCTGACGAGGAGAATGGCTACAGGTTCTCGACACGCCCGAGCCGCTGCGCAACCTGGCGGAGCTGGTCGCCGCGCAAATGGAGTACCACAAGAAGGCGCACGAAATTCTGAGCGAGTTGGCGCCCATCATCGACGGGCTGCAGGTCGAACAGGAGGCAAGTCGTGCTTCGGCTTACTCGTTGCATTAAGAAGGGCGTGAGAGAAAGAAAGAGTCTGTGTTGCTGACGCGCCACTACCTACTTCAGGCGAGCTACCGCAAGAGTCGAGAGAGCGCTCCCTAAGCGGGAGAACGAGGATTTGGGGCTAACCTAGGATGTCATGGGCGCCCGTATGATTGGACTCGCCGGGTCTTGCCCTGACGGGTGCATGGTATATCTGTCTGGTTTGGTATTCTCAATGTGGTTATCTTCGCGTACTCTGGAACGCCTGCTGCTCGCTTTGTGGTTGTCTTGACTTGTATGGCTCAGGAGGATTTCGGTCCATAGACTACATTCAAACTGGAGACAGTTCTGAAATCAACTGGTCCGCACTCACTCCGTTGCCTTCGACAGAACTTTTGGTCGGTTTCGGCATTGCCGCTGGAGTGTCCGCAACCCTAAGCGGCACGATACCAACCGAGGATGTCTCGTTTGACTGAAGAGGAGTATGAGGTTTGCGACAAGTCCTCTGGCTGATGGTCCCCTAAATGGTTCCAACCTCATAAGGCTGATAAGTGGGGAGTGTGCCTATCTTCCGTTATCTATTCACGTAGGGCGTGTGGCTCAGTTGGTAGAGCGTTCGCTTAGCATACTCTCGGGTTTGCGAAAGGTCCTGGGTTCGATTCCCAGCCCGTCCAATTGCTTTTGCTACTCGTCACCATGCCCTCTTTCTTTTTACGTTCTTTTGGTGTGTTGTTCAAGCAAATGTCGAATACAAGCGAAGGAATTCATCACGGTACTAGCAGACCCGGAAGGCAGTGCCTTCCGGAGCATGGGCTTGCCCCACATCAGCCTTGCTGTGGTGGGTCTGCCAGTCATTGGTTGATTGTTTCGCCTACTGTACATAGTAATCCCTGTAATCTGAGGTCACAGCTGGCGGTTCCTCCACTAAGTTCCAGCCTGCTGCATCTGCAGTCCCCCAGCTGGCCCAACACCAGCGACAACAACAACGAATAGATCGGCGCTGGGACGCAGACTTCTTCAATATGGTAAGATATTCGATATCCAGTCGATATCTTTCGTATTTTTAGAAGGAAAATAACTTTTCTGTTTGATTCTTGACAGCTACCCCTCGGGCTCTTGAACGCGGCGCAAGGCCACCCCATGCTGGTTGAGCTCAAGAACGGCGAGACGCTCAACGGCCACCTGGTGCTGTGCGATACATGGATGAATCTGACGCTGCGCGAGGTTGTGCAGACTAGTCCGGTGAGTTCACTGTCGTTTTGCGCGTCCACTTGCTGCGACCGAATCGCCGCGGATGCGAACGCTCAATGAGGGTCAGGGCGGGCTGACTGAAGACTGGGATTGTAGGAGGGCGATAAATTCGTGCGGTTACCCGAAGTTTATGTGAAAGGGAATAATGTGGGTTCCATTCCGCTCCGTTGTCTGGGGTGGCCGAGGTCGCTGACAGACGGCGTAGATCAAGTACCTGCGGGTGCCGGACGAGATCATCGACATTGTCAAGGAACAACAGAGTCAACAAGGGGGCTACCGCGGCGGGCGTGGCGGGCAAGGGAGAGGCGATCACGGCGGTCGGGGTGGCGACAGGGGGCGCGGCGGGAGAGGTCGGGGAGGTGGAAGGGGTGGGAGGGGCAGAGGGTCATGAGCTGGATCTGGTGCTGAGGAACACTTGAGGATTAACCTGGCTAGAATGCTTGTGGAGGGAGGCATCGTTGGCACGTTTGGCTGACAACATGAGACCGGCCAGGAATGGAGCGATGACAGCTCAGAAACGGCGCCCATCCGGTATCCAGGCAGTTGATCATTCGGGTGCGTTATAAGGTTAAGGGGGTTGGTGGCTGCTGGCCGATGAACCTCCCCCTTGATGGCCCGGGATACATATGCGCTCTAGCACAGGCTGCGGGACTACATTGCATTCAATCCAGGGCAATGACGAAGCATATGAAGGCCATGGGCTACCCTGCCGGGACTCACGTGATACCCGGGAACTCCGAAGTACATTATTCACCGCCTTTTTTCCTGAGTGGCAGAACGCAGCTTGCCAGAAGCGCAAGACATGGGTTCTGGCGGGATCATGATGGCTCCATGGCATCCCGGCCAACACGCCTAAATCTGACTAGAACGCGCCGTCGACGGCGCTTCTTCGCTATTCGGAGTTCATTACCCATTCCTAGAATATCTGCTTAGAGGATGTGCATCTTGGCGCACCGAACGCGCCTTGCCCTCCCGATCACACCCGCTAGGACTGTTCTCGGTTCACAACCCCATGCCGGCAAGGTGCGCAATCGCTCGCGCCGTGTCGCGGGTGCTTGGTCTGTCGGTTGACAGAAGACTCCTATCCACAACAGTCGCAGATACCGGCCTAGCCTGTCGTCGCCGTGGAACCGGGTTAGCGCCGAAGCGCCAGCGCATCCGCCTCGCACACATCAACAAGCCCGCAATCGACCTGTCCCCGCCTGGGAGGCTATACTCAGAATGGGCGATACCACAACCGCAAAACCCGACAGCGGATGAACTGCCAAATCCCATCCAGCCACAACCTAACCTGAAACTGGATCCCGTCGAGGTTACAGTGAGTTTTGGACCGCACCGCGCGGTACCCGTAACGGACACAGAACTACCACAACGGCCAGCTTCCGACATTCCAATCGAACTGCTCAGCGGCTCAGCGCCAGTAGCAGTGAGTCAAGTTTCCGACCTCATACCCGCAAATGAAATTCGTCATTCAGACTCAGACTCAGCCTCTCCGACGTCCATCGAAATAGCGACACGTACCGCGGGGACGAAGGCCTTACTCCGCTCCCCGCTCGAGTTTCCGCCTCAAACGGTCGACGTCCCGACGAACGGTATATACGATGCATTGATTTATGCTCAGCACCTTTATGGCCAGGGCCGCAAGATACGCCGCCTCGTCAGGTACCTGGTAGAGGAACGTGGCGAGCGGCCCAATCTGGTGTTGTACTGGTCGCTGGTTTCGGCCAACCGCGAGACGACGACTGGCTCGGCCGCCGAGCTGGCGGCCATTCTCAAGGAAATGAGGTCGCTGGGCATTGAGCCGCCTTCCAACTTCTATAAAGCTGCGCTGCGGGTACGTTTCGCGGTCCAAAGGAACGCCGGTGGTGCTGAGGTCTCAACACTGCTAACATGGCCAACAGGTGCTTGCGGTCCATCCGGATTATCTCACAAGGAACACCATTATGCAGAAGATAAAGGCACAGGACTTGGACCTCATGGCTTCAGCCAGGCATAGCGTCTCCTTGGGTCTTTTGCGTGACGGCCAGAACGAGATGGCGTTGGATTACTGGGACCAGATGCGCCAGGACGGCATCGAAATACCCGAATGGCTGTCTGACATTTTTATCTGCGTGATGGTGTTACGCGGGTTTCTGGACGAAGCAGTCCAGCTGCTTTACCAAAGACTCGAGATGGTGGGGGGCGATGCCAGCAGGGTGCCTCGTGTCCTGTGGTCTTACCTCCTGGACGAATGCAGCAGGAACCTGCACTGCAACGGGACGAGCTTCATATGGGACAAGATGGTTCGCCAAGGAAGGCTCAACCCGCCAGACGGCGTCGCGGTCAACGTGCTCCACACCGCTGCTCGCCACGGCGACACGACCCTGGCGACGGCCGTCCTCGAGCTTCTCTCGGGACGCGGGGTCAAGCTAGGTCTCTTGCACTACGAGCCGCTAATCGAAACGTACGTGCAAGCTGGCGACTTGGAGAACGCATTCCGGGCGCTCCACATCATACGAGACGCGGGGATCCGTGTGGACTCACGCAACACGCGGCCCATCTTCCTGCTGCTGAAGCGGTCTCCCGAGCTCGTGGACAAGGCCGTCGGCTTCCTCCGCGGCATGGGCAAAGAAGGGTACCTCCCCGTGCGCGCCATCGATGTGCTGTTAGAGGCCGTCCTGCAGACGCGCGGCTTCGAACAGGCGCTTGACATGTACCGGCAGGTCTGCGACCTCTGCGAGTCCGGACCGGACAAGCGCACGTTTGGCCTCTTGCTCGATGCGTGCGGAAAGGCCGAGCACGCCGTGTTCCTCGTGTCGGAGATGGACCGCTTCTCAGTCCGGCCGTCGAGCGGAATCCTCGATAACCTGGTGCGCTGCTTCGCACACGACGGCAGCCTCGACGTGGCGCTGGTGTATTTGAGTGAGATGGACTCGGCCAGCGACCGCGCCCTGGAGGCGGTCGTACGCCGCTGTTGCCGGGACAGAGATCCCAGGGTGTGGGCGGTTATGGGGGAGGTTCGGAAGAGAGGACTCAAGCTTGGGGAAGATGTGAGAGAGATATTGAGCGAAATCCCAAGGGCCTGAGGTCGGCCAGGGCCTGTCTCGTCCAGGGTGTGTAACAATAATGACTGTATATATGTATTGTACACTATTGTACAATGTCCGCGAGCAGTCCGGGCGACATACGGAGTTTGTAATACAAAGATTCAAGCTCCTCGAAACGACGGCTGCTCAGAGATTGGCGAGACGGGATTGGGAATTTTGGGAAGCTGGTTGAATGCACTTACACGATTGATACCCTCAAGCTGTGACTGGATCAATGGTTTGTAATCCGGCGGCCTTGAGACCCCGACCCCGACTACCGACAGGCACCGAGACTGGTGCGTCATCGTCGACGCACCTTGGCTAGCTGCCAGTTGCCATTGGACAACCGGAAAGTGGTTATCAACCATGCAGGATGCGGTGTCAAGAGTCTCATCCTGTCGTTTATGAATTCGAGATGCAGCGCCCGTTGGGGGTCTTCTTTTCCAGAGTTCGAGGAAGCGCTGAGCTGGATGGAAACGGGAGTGAGCCGTTGAAGGGGAAACAGATCACCCATCCCTTGATCGTTGGAGCTGAAGGGATAGCGTTACCTACACCGTTCAGTGACCGTCGAGCTTCCATGTACAAAATACAATATCAGTGAGACAATGGTTCTGTGTTGCTTTTGAAGCTCTGAGCAAACAAAGCGACAGCTGTCGGGGCCACAGGAAATCAGTAACAGCTTGGAGTCGAAGCTCCGCCCTGGGAGAGCTGCGACACTCTCCACTGTGGGGTCACCCCACCCATTCCATCTTGCTCCAGGCAATCAATCCTCCATAGGTACATCCGTATTCGGACAAGTAATCCCACCGTCATGACCAGCTCCTATTCATCTTCCCTCCCCCATCCGTCGGTAAGCTGTCTTCGTTACACAGGGAATGGCTTCAGTGCCACTTCGACTCTTTTCCGGGTAGTAATCTGTCCCGTCGTCGAAACTAGACATCGGGCCTCGGTGCTTACAAACCAGTCGAGTCTGATTCCCAACTCATACAATACACATCAGTCATCCATATCACAGTATCGATCAGTAAAATCGGCCTTCACTTTCCCTGGGGTCATTTTCTCAGTCTACCACACCACGGTTGAGAAGGCAGTATACAGGACCACGGTTGTTTTGCACTGCGGCGTGGGACATGACATCGCGCAAGGGCCGGGACGAGTCTGATTCGTCCCCAGGCAGGACGCCAGCTGGGACAAGCGGCATGGCCGATATCCTTCCTAGCGATGCCGACACTGGCTTTGCCAACACTACCGAGGCCACTGGACTCCTCGAGAGCAACGTACATGCGCGCACTCGGGACAATGGCTGGGCGGGAGACGACGACTTCGCCGGTCTGCCGTGGTGGAAGCGGCCATCCGTACGTGTCAAAATCCATGGCTGGTGCTCAAGAGCGTGGCGCCACGCGGGATACCGGACACTGACGTCGGATGATGCAGGTCGGCTTCTTGCTAGCTCCTTATGCACTGTTTACCCTCGCATTTGGCGGCTCCATCGTTCCAAGATTGAATCTGTATGTGGAACATTTCGGTCAACTGCTCGAGCCGCACTTATACTGACCTTGCTAGTATTATTGACTTGGTTTGCAAGCACTATTTTGCCGACCGCTCGGCCACCGACCCGGGTCTCACCTTCACACCAGCTGTGGCAGGGGCCAACAATCGGCAATGCTTCATTCCCGAGGTGCAAAAATCGGTTGCCACCTTCACGCTGGTGCTCAATGTACTCACCGGAATACTGAGCTCCCTCACGGCGCCCAAGCTCGGCTCGCTCTCAGACCGCTACGGCCGCAAGCGGATAATTCTTGTCTGCGCCGTGGGCGGCATCCTCAACGAAATCATTACTATCCTTGCGGCCAAGTACCCCGAGACGGTGCCCTACCAATGGCTGCTCCTCGGTTCCTTCTTTGACGGGCTTACGGGTTCTTTCACGGCAGGCAGCGTCCTGAGCCATGCTTATACCAGCGACTGCACCCCGCCCTCGAAGCGCAGCGTCGCCATAGGCTACCTGCACTCGTGTCTTTTCACTGGCCTCGCTTTTGGCCCTCTGATCGCCGGCTACCTGGTCGAGTCGACCGGCTCACTGCTGTCCATCTTCTATATTCTGCTCGGCTGCCATGTCTTCTTCGTCATCTTCATGGCCCTCGTCATCCCCGAGTCGCTATCCCCGAAGAAGCAGCTCGTGGCCCGCGAGAAGCATGCTCGCCAGCAGGAAGCCCTCGGGTCCGCGCCCGACTGCGCTGGGCTCGCCGCGTCGAGGGTTCCCTTCGCAGGTCAGATCAACCACCTGGTGCACTCGGTCAGGACGGCAAACCCGCTCGCGCCGCTCGACATACTCTTCCCCACCGGTCCTGGCTCCGCGCAATTGAGGCGCAACTTCCTCCTCCTGGCCTTCATCGATATGGTGACGCTGGGCGCCGCCATGAGCGCGGGCACCGTCATCGTCATGTACGTCGAGTACATGTTCGAGTGGGGCAATCTCGAGAGCTCCCGCTTCGTGTCCTTGACATCCATGGTCCGCGTGGTGGCGCTGTCGTGCGTCCTACCTCTGATCAACTACTTCTTCCGCAAGCGGCCGGCAGCCAGGAGACGAAGGGAGGGCCTAACCCCAACAGGGGCCGAAAGGAACCGTGGCGCGGACGAGCTCGACATATGGATTTTACGGGTCGCGCTATTCTCGGACGTCGTCGGCATTGGGGGCTACGTCTTTGCGCGGTCCTCGGCCGTGTTTGTCGCGTGTGCCGTCGTTACGGCGTTTGGTGGGCTTGGTTCCGCCACCATCCAATCGGCCGTCAGCAAGCATGTTCCGCCCGAGCGCGTCGGCCAGATGCTGGGTGCCATTGGGCTGCTGCACTCGCTCGCCCGTATTATTGCGCCGATCGTCTTGAACCAGCTGTATGCTGCGACGGTCGAAACGTTTCCGCAGGCTTTCTTTGTGCTGCTGGCTGTGCTGTTTGCGGTGACGCTGGTTGCGTCGTTTTTCCTGAAGCCCCATGGTATGTCTCTGCTCGTATCGCGTGCTTTTGTACTATAGTTTGCTGACCAGTGGATAGTGTACATGAAAAGCGAAGAGGACGAGGCAGCTCCTCGCTCGAGCAGCAGCGAAGACCGGGTCAGGGGGGATGTCCTGCAGGATGAGGAGCTCTTGCCTGGACTGTGATTGTACAAGGTTGGCTGCCATCTTTTCGCGGTTTCATTTTTCGCAGTAAAGGATACGTGTAGAACGATGGCTGGAATGGGCGGTTGAATTCCGGGTACGTTTGAGTTGCCCCAGCGAGGTTATATCATGATGGGTACGGACAATCCCATTGTTTGAGTGAACAATCTTGCATTGTTCTTGCATTGTAGATTTCATTAGTACATCAAGCGTGATGGTATGTATACTTTTGATTCCCATCAACCAATTTGTTTTCAGCAGCTTCTAAGAGAAATAACAGACATGACATTGACGCAGTGGGTAAGGTCGCTCAAGGTTGGCTTGGCCGAGTTGTGGAATCTGGCTGGGGTCACTTCCAACTTTCCAACACGAGCAACCTGCTGAACCTCACACTACCCCACCTGAAACCTTATAAAAACGACAAACATCTAGAGCTGCCGTAAAATCGGGCTTGATCCCTACGGTACCCGAGGTAGCATGACCGCGACCATAAGACCCTGGACCAGAATAATCGGTGCATTCCAGCCTACAGCTTTCATCCGGCAATCGATAGTCCCTCGATCATCGGTGAGAATCATGGGAATGAACAGCAATACGTCCTCGTCGGCCACAACACCCCCGTCTCAACAAGACACCATTTACTTTGGCCCGTTCGAAGTAACAAAACAGGCAAGTTCATCCTCTAGACTTACTACAATCATCATGGCACTAATGTGGAAGCCAGGTCTTCCTCAAAACACCACACTCCTTCGCCCTCGTCAACCTCAAGCCGCTCCTGCCAGGCCACGTCCTCGTCTGCCCACTGCGCCCCCACCGCCGCCTGACCGACCTTTCAATGGCCGAGCTGACGGACCTTTTCACGGCCGTCCAGCGCGTCCAGCGCATGCTGGCCCGCCACTACTTTGACCTTCCATCTCCTTCTTCCCAGGTAAACACCCCTGATGGCGGTACCACCAGTACCTCAACGCCAACGCCTACAACGACGACGACAACCCAACAACAACAACAACAGCAGCAGCAACAGCAACAGCAGCAAGCCAGCGAAAAGCTAGTAGCAGACGCAGACGCAGGCCCAGTCGAACAAGGCGGTTCCTTCAACATCGCATTACAAGACGGGCCCGAGGCTGGGCAGACCGTCCCACACGTGCACGTGCACGTGATCCCGCGCATCCGCGGAGCGACGGCCAAGCCGGTCGAGACGCCGTCCGACGCCATCTACGACCAGATGGCGGCCGAGGAGGGCAACGTGGGCGGGGCGCTGTGGGATCGCGATTATCTTGGTGGTAGTAGTAATCATGATCATGATCGTAGGAGCCATGGGTCTCCAAGTCTCGGGCATGGACAGGGACAGGAGCAGGTTGGGTATGGTCGGGGTCAGGAGGATGGGGTTGGGGAAGGGGATTTGGGAATGCACACGAGGCCTGTGCCCGGGGGCAGTTTCCCCAGTATTGAGGACGCGAATCGGCTGCCAAGGAGGATGGAGGATATGGAGGCTGAGGCTGCCCTTTATCGCGAGGTGTTAGAGCGGATGGAGCGGGAGGCGTCGTGATGCTGAATTATCGTACAATGCGCGAATGCGTACGAGGTGGTAGAGCGGGGGGGTTCAGGAGTTAGGTTGAGGAGGTGCTATAACTACTGTTGGTGCTAGATATTACGATGCTGAGAAGATTGGTGTTGATAGCTGAGTGAGAGCGATGACTCGCCATTAGACAGACCCTGCAAGGTTTAAAATAGAAATTCGCTGTTAGTCTTCTGGTATCTATCTACATACGGTCAATCCTCGCCCTGATCCCAAAATTCGAGAAGTGGCCTTCCCAACCCTGTAGTCTGCCGCGCCTCCTATATGCATTCCCTACCATAACACCAAAAAGAAGTTCCAATCAACAGACATCCCTCGGCATCCCAATGACGTACCCAGCGTCAGGAGAAGCAAACGCCTAATCTAATCTAGGCCCGGTAAATGATCCAGGTTGCCCATCCCCAACGAGTCAAAGCTCGAGGAGTCCATGTCATTCATATTAACCCCGCGAAACATAAACATGGGCCCGTCATTCATCCCGCCGCCACTCGCGCTACTCCCTCCCGCGTTCGAGCTCTGACCGGCGCCCGCGCCAAGTCCCCACGTTTGGAAATTTTGCTGCCAGTTGACGCCATCTTTGATGTACCAATCCTGCCCGTCGATGGCGTAGAGATTGCTCGACGTCATCTGTCGGCCCGGCCCCGCGCGCGATGTTTGCGGACCACCCATGCTCACAGAACCAAAGGCTTGTTGTGTGTAGCCGGGCATGGCTCGCGTTCCTGGCGAGACGGCCCACGAGCTGATGGGCGAGAGGGACTCGTTCGCAGGCATCGAGGCGGTCGCGGCGGGATGCGTTATTTGCCGCCGCGGAGCCTGGCTCTGCATGCTTTGCAGCTTCGGCGGCACCCCGGATCCCGCCAGACCGCTCAGCATGTCGGAGGCCCCGGTCGTTGTCGGGAGGTCAATGGCCATCGGCTGAGCTGTCGAGTCACTGTACTGTTTCGGGGAGGTAAGGTGATCTTGTCCGTTGGTGACGGGTGGTGAGTTTGGGAGGGACTGCGGTGACTGCGCAGTTGAACCACCTGATCTGTGCGGTGAAGGGACGTCGGAAATGTTGAATGTCCCGTATTTCTCGTCGGTTCGTTGTAATACCACAGCCGCCTCTTCTGGCAACTCGACTTTCCACTTCCGTGCGAGCACACTCAGCGTGCTCAGCGCCCTGCGCGCGCATGGCCAGTCCTCGGCGATCTCCTCGAGGTGCTTCACGCCATGGATAATGTCTCGCTTGGCCGTCTTCTCCGGCAGGTGCAGAATGTGTATCGTGCAAGCCGTCTGCACCATGTACACGGCAATGTTGCAGATTTGCCGCAGGTCATACAGTTTCTTGTATAGTCGCATCAGCTTGGAGATAGCCCCAGCGTTGGCAGCGCACATCCGCCAAGGAGAGACATGCGCTGGTAACGGAGATGTTGCGGGCGTGTACTTGAGAAAAGCTTTGAATAGGTGGATGAACTGGAGGTGGAAGAACATGCTGCAGTTGGTCAGACCCACAATATCGTTAAACAACAGCAAACGGGAGGGAACACTCACTGCATCAGGATGACATGGGGGAGCTGGCCATCCTTTGGCTCAAACTCGTTTGGCAGCTCGTTTTTCCAATCCTCCAGACGGCGATGGAGCTCGCTAAGCTTCTTCACCTCGATGTTCTTGCCGCTTGACCGCCCGATGTGGTTGGGATGATAGAAGAAGAGGAGCAGGTCGCTACTAATCTCACACAGCTGGCTCAGGTGCAGGCCAACCGCCCGCGTCCGCGAGGGCTGCTTGTAGGACGTGTCAAACCCGCTGTCCGTGTAAGGCGACCAGGACTCTGCATCTTCGTCTGGGAACACGTCATATTTGGGGACGTTGTAGGTGTTTCTAGGAATCTGCGGCAGTCTGCCAAGGTAGTTGGACCAGCACTTGTCAAAGAGAAAGCAGCCCCAAAACGTGATTCTGCGCGCGTCGACCTCTTGCTCGTCGAGCGACCCCTTGTCCTTTGCGCCTAGATTGAGGTTGAGCCCGATGTCCTGTGCCATGCGGAAACTCATGCCGCTGTACACCCACCCGTTGGCCTCCCGCCCGCATCCGGCTTCGCGGACCGACATGAGGGCCAGCGCCTGAACCGTCGTGAGCCTGGGCTTCGCGTACTCGTCATTCTCGATAATCAGGCGCTTCGCCTCGGCAAAGAAATGGTCCCCCTTGGTCTTGCTGTCCCCAGGGACAGCAAAGGCACCCGTCACGCTCGTGAAGTGACATCCAAGGGCCAGCATGACGTTGACCAGCAGCGGGGAGCAGTACACGGTAGTTCTGGGTTCCCTTTGTGGCTTCCCTCTGAGGAAGTCCCTGTAGAAGAGCGACTTGGAGAGGGTGGCAAAGTAGGGGTAGTGCCAGTTGAAGTACATGTTGATCAGGTGGACGATCAGTTGTGTGTCCTTGGTGACCTCGGTCCAGCTAACAGTCGGCTCCTCGCTCGGAAGGGCAGTCTCGGATTCGGGCTCGTCGGGAACGGCTGCTTGATCGCCCAGGTATAGCAGGTGCGAAGTACCGCCGATGTAGCGGACGGAGCCGTTCTCGAGGCGGAGCTCGCCCATTTTGCGGGCAAGTTCCCTCTCGCCCTCGACGGGCTGGTTTGTGGTGTAGCTGGCCTCCATCTCCTCGTCATCCTCCTCCTCATCCTCTTCAACCGACTCGTTCTTGAGTATTGACTCTGCCACGGCGTCGAGGCTGTCACACGTGCGGATCTTTCTTACGATGGCTGGCACATCCTCCTCGGCCGCGTTCAAGATGGCCTCGATCAGGATCTGCAGCGTCGAGTTCCGGGCCTTCATGCTGTCTGTCTTTTCGCGATACACGCCTTTGCGGCGGTGGTCCGAGTTCGGGTCGTAGACGCACTCGGTGCCGTAGACGCTAGCACAGGCGGCACAACTTGGCAAGGCTCCGTCGCACTTTGATTTTCTCTTGCGGCAGGCGATGCAGGCGGTGCTGACGCATCGGCGCTTCTGGTTAGCGGGATCGGCGCCGCGCCGGGGCTTCTTCCTGGACGACGGCGCCGCTGGCCCGCCGTAGCCGTCCTGCCCGCCCGGGTGCAGCGATACCGGCGCCGTGTCGAGGCCAGCCATTGCTGCCGCGGAAGTGGACGCGACACGCGAGGCGGGTTCGGCGCAATGTGCGGGAATCCCGCGAAGCCGGGAATGGTGGAGAATTCGCGATGATGGTTGCGTTGTTTTTGGGTGATTTTATTCGGAGGGAAGCGGAGTGAAGAGAAGTTGACGTTCACCTCAGTCCACTCCGTGTGCAGCGTTTGAATGGGGGGACCGGGATTGGACAAATGGGCTTGTCAGGCCTATCTTTTTGGAGTGGTCCACCTGCAAGGGACTAGGACAGGGCAATAACGGAGGGTCTCAACTCCCAACTCCGACTCGGTTGAAGAGTGAAATTCGAAGCAAGAGCAGAGTATTACTGTAGTAAGTAATGGTCAGTCGGTCAGGGCAGAAGGCAACCTATCAAGGGAACTCGGTTATTCAGACGAGAAGGGCCGTGATTTTGGTTAATAATCTGGCCAGCCGCAGAGTAGCCTTGGGTCCATCCATGTCGGCGTCGAAAGGCATGGTTTGACGGATAAGCACGGGTGATATCGAGTCCCAGGTTTGCATCGGCCGGGCAGAGCCTTTGTACTCGGCCCTCTCGCTGGCCTTGGGACCTCGCTGACGGTCTGGAATCGACTCGGAAGCGAAAAAGCGGGGTGGCCTGCGGCTTTCTCAAAACTTTCCATGGATGGTGAAACCAGGGAGCAGCAGGCAATGTCTGCCCTTCAGCTCCCGGGAGGAAGAGGGCAACATGGGGTGGCGACCTCCACGAACGGGTCGATCTGCACGTTTGCGCGCTGGAACCTGCGGGTGCCGGGATGAGAGGTTGCAAGAAAAGCAGAATCCAACTGGCTGGCAAATGTGCAGAGATAAGAGACGCCCCGGGGAGACGTCGAGATAAGGCAATGCTGGAGTTGTCGCTCACGACTCGCGTATGCACAAGGTAGAGATGGGCCCGCAAGCGCTGAGCCGGTACCGATCAAGCTTGATTGCACTGGGCCTATCGACAGAAGCACAAACTGCCTCAACAAGTCGCTTTGGGATAGACTGCCCTCCCGAGTGCACAACGAAGGGTGATTGATGGTGGATTCCAGGTTGCCGTTCATCAACCAAGGCTAAACCCCGCGGTTGGATCTGGATCGAAGTTCAGCCCCTGATAAGGCGCGTCACCAACCATCCGTCTGGATTGTGTGCCAAGAAGAGCGAGGGCTTTTGCAGCGTGGGGGTTCAGACACTATGTAATCATCGAGCTGCCTTTGGTGGATACTTCCGACCAGCATCCAATTACTCGATATTTGAATACACAGCTACGGATAGAGCGTTGGCATCGTCAATGTCCCAGTTCTTCCTCCTCGCTATCTCCCAACACCCATCATCGTCATCATCCTGAAGGTCGCTGCTCAGCAGTCCCCTTGCGCAACTAGAGACATCTTGGCTCAGTCACAGCAGATTGGGTGAGGGGGAAACACCCGGCAACTAGCTGAATCTCGTGGATCGACGGGGTTTTGGGCCAAACTACTACTGAAGGTCGCGGTGAGGAGGGCTGTTCCCAAGTCATTTGCCAATGACCGGGTGCGTCTGCCGCGCATTGTGCTCCATTTCAAATGTGTGTTTGTCTTGTGCTCCGGCTAAATGATTCGAAGTCCCTTCAAACCTCGACATCTTCCATCTTCGCGACTTGCCGAGCGGCGACACCACCTCGGTCGAACATGCCAAAAGCTTCCTCTACCAATAGCTCCCTCTCCAGCAGTGCTTGCGACACCCGCTGCAAAAGCAACTGGAAGTCAATGCACATTTCCTGCCGCAGCTGCCGCCATGTCTTGATAGCAGCCGGGAATAACGGCGATACGGCCCTGCTCTGTCCAGAGCAACCACCCTGCCTGAGCAGTTTGGAGTCGTCGAGCATCAGCAGAGGCATTAGAGCCATTTCCGCCACTCACCACTCGCAGTACATTTATTTCCTTCTGTGAGCTTGAAATGCTAGGAGGCCCTCTATTACACCAAGCCATCGCCCTGGCCAGCCTTACACGACCACAACCGCACCAGTCCACGGTCACATATAGTTTGCTCGGGCCTGCAGCAACTGCCGTCCCTCCAGCTGCGGTGAGAGACTTCAGGCTTCAATTTTTTTTCGCCCTCGCGATCTGCAACCACCTCATCATTGCTGTTTTGCGATGAATGCCAAAGAACGGAATGCTACCTTCGTCGGAATCGTCGACGCTCCCGGTCGATCCGGCCCGCCATGCTACCATAATCAGTTTCACTACTACGGCAACGGCCACGGTTACGTCTACTCTTACTAATTATTAGGTTGTGAAACACTGAGCTTGGGACGATCGTATCCCAACCGCCAACAACAAGGCCAGGGCAAACTAGGAGGATGGCAATTCCACCTTCCTAATGGAACTCCTAGCACACGATCTTCCTTACACAGCACTGTCCCGCTGGACAAGCCAGATACAACACAGGCTCGGGATAGCAGTAAAGAGGCCATTCGGCAATGTCGCGGAATCGGCGCCCGAAAGCTAGGGCACTTGTTTATACCAGCGCGTGCTCGCCGTTAGCAATCATCCAGCGCGGTTCTATGTACTGTGCCATTTATACGCATTCGAGTATCCCTCAGGTAGCAAGACGGTCAAGTCAAGCATTCGCCAAGGTCATGCAGTACCCGAATTAATAAATGCCGTGCAGCATGAGAGCAATCTTGGCGTATACGAGAACAATATCCTCAATGGGGTTCAACGTTCCGCCCAACGAATCATCACTTGGTTGACGCAACCGCTGGTCTCTCAGCCGAGCCGAAGGCCACGCGCGACGGGATAACGTAGTGTGCGGCTCGCTTGGCTTCACCAGCACATGTGACGAGAACTTTGTTGACGAAGTCAACCATACCCATAGTCAGGCGCTTGTTCTTTTAGACACACCCCAAACGCGATTCACTTCCAGTGACACCGTATGTACCCGCTGCAGCATAACGCACATTTTCAAGCCGTCGCAACCGATCATACCTGCTGGCTGGCAAAGAACTTCTTGGACTCCAAACACCGGTCGCTCTTGCAACCCGGACACCTCAGGCCCATCTGCGACGAGCAAGCGATTCTGCTGTCCAGGTGCAATTTGGCCAAGTTGGCAAGGGCCTCGATGAATACTGGGCTGCCGTTCAAGCTCTCGACGCGCTTGACAGTGTCGGCATGCCCTGATTCGCCAATGACCTCCTCGTCGAGCTCGTACAGCGTCTCGATGTGGTCGGACGTAAATGCGATCGGGATGAGTAGTAGGTCCTTCTGGCCCTGGGCGATGTAATTCTCCACCGTACTGGAGGTCTGGGGCCCAAGCCATGGCTGGGGACCGACTTGTGACTGCCAGCATAGCCGCCAGGGGTTGACAAAGTTCAACCGCTTCATGACGGCGTGGACCGTGGCGGCTACCTCGGCGGGGTACGGATCGCCTGTGAAGACTATTAGCCATGTAACCTAAATCCTGCAACGGACGACAGAACTTTACCCCTATTTACCACTGTCATGGGCAGACTGTGCGCTGAAAAAAGCAATACAACCTTGTCCCGCCTCTCCTCGGGATACTCCAGCAATTTGGTCTCTATATTCTGCGCAAAGGCTTCGACCAGGCCGGGATGCGCCGGCCACCGGTCAATGACGCTCCACTTGATGGTCCCGTCGGTCCCGTCGTCCAGCGCGCCGGCCTTGCCCTCGAGCCGCTGGCGCCACTTCCACAGCTCGTTCAGGCTGCTGCCCGTCGTCGAGCAGGAGTACTGAGGGTATTGGGTAAAGGCGACGGCGCGCCCGCCGCGGCCGTTGCCGAACCCGTCGGTCAGCAACTGCCGGTACGTGTCCTCGGTGAGCGGGTTCGCGTAGCGGAAGGCAACGTAGGGCTTGTGCGGCGCCGTCTCGGGCGACAATTTGTCGAGCATCTTGCACATCTCGGCGCACTGGTACTCGGACCACTTGCGGATGGGCGAGCCGCCGCCAATGGCGGCGTACTGTTTCTGAATCTTGGGCGTGCGCCGCTTTGAGATGAGTGGGCCGAGGTAACCCTGCAGGCGGCCCAGGGGAATAAGATCGCCGTCGGCCTGAGATATTGGAGTTAGGACGGCGTCTCGCAGATGTGCAGGTGGCATTGGGAAACTGACAAATAGTCGGCTTAAGAAGTCGCCCACTTCATCGACTGTTGAAGGACCACCCATGTTGAGGAAGACCATGGCGGTCGGCCCCCGAGAAGAATCCTGTGTAATCGGATGAACCGGAGTCGCGAGCCATCGTGCTTGTTGCACCGGGAGCTTTGCAATCCCAAGCGACCGGAGAGGCCGTATCACAGCGCGGAAGGCCATATTGGAGACCGTCAACTGAAAATCCGAGCCTACTGTGTCGTTTTCGCACTCGTGAAAAGGAAACCCCAGGGTTGAAAGCAGGAACTCGTCAGTCCTGCAGATCAACAATCAACCACCTCTAAAAGCACCCGGGCAATTAATTCCTCAAATTTGTCTTCGGCGAACCGCTGGTCTTCTGAAATCGTGGCGAGTTCGGAGAAGGCCAGATCTGCTCCATCATTTTATTTGTCCCGAATGTCCGGCGGCAACGGGACGCAAGGAACCGAACCGTCACTCGGCCCCTTGGCATCGAGCCATGACGTACAGACCGCGTGCAATCAATCAGAACTCGGCAATTTGATCATCAGGTCCCACTTCCATCACATGTTCTGGCGTTTAGGCAGGCGCGTCAGCCTTGAACACCTGTCGCGTCACAACGTCGGGTTCATCACTGCCTTTGTCTTTTGCACGAAGTTTCAGGAACTGGTCTTGCGTGCAACTTCTCAACAATAAGTTGAAGACTTGAATTTTCGATATTTTGACAATGGCGTGGGGAGGTGATGAGGACAGACGTCCGGAGGACGAGGGTGAGGAAGAGCTGGATGAAGCTGTTCGCTGTCACCCTCATCTCTTCCCGACATAGGATCTTTCCTGACCTCCAATAGGATTACAAAACGCAGAAAGACGCCGTCTTGTTTGCAATCGATGTCAGCGAATCGATGCTCGAGCAGCCTTCCACCACACACAGCAAAAAGGCAGACAAGGACTCGCCCATTGCAGCAGCGCTGAAATGCGCCTACCAGTTCATGCAGCAGCGCATCATTGCGCAGCCAAAGGATATGATGGGCATACTTCTCTTTGGCACAGAGAAGTCAAAGTTCCGCGACGAGACTGGCGGGCGGAGCGGAACTGGATATCCCCACTGCTACCTCTTCACCGACCTGGACGTTCCTGCTGCCGAGGATGTGAAGACCCTGAAGTCGTTGGTTGAGGAAGGAGAAGATCCGGATGAGGTGCTTGTGCCGGCGAAAGAGCCCGCCTCTATGGCCAATATGCTCTTCTGCGCTAATCAAATCTTCACCACCAATGCGGCAAACTTTGGCTCCAGGCGTCTGTTCATCATCACAGACAATGACAACCCACACGGCAACGACAAGACGGCGAAGTCATCGGCGGCAGTTCGCGCCAAGGATCTTTACGACCTCGGCGTGGTCATTGAGCTCTTCCCCATCAGCCAGGGGGGGAAGAAGTTTGATGTGTCGAAATTCTACGATGTATGACGACCCCTGGCTGACGTGTTACTTGCATACTAAGGCTCGACAGGACATCATCTATCGCGATCCGGCAGCCGAGGCTGGCTCCCCGGACGAGCTCAAAACGTCAAAAGCAGGCGATGGCCTCACACTTTTAAACTCCCTGATATCTAACATCAACTCAAAGCAGACGCCGAAACGCGCGTATTTCTCCAACCTACACTTTGAACTGGCACCTAACCTCACAATATCGATCAAAGGCTACATGCCTCTTCATCGGCAACAGCCTGCGCGTACGTGTTACGTTTGGCTTGGAGGAGAGCAACCCCAGCTCGCCCAGTCCGAGACCATCAAGGTGGACTCGGAAACGAGGACAGTCGACAAGTCCGAGGTGAAGAAGGCGTATAAGTTCGGCGGCGAGTACATCCACTTCAAGCCTGAGGAAGCGGCGTCGCTCAAGAACCTTGGGAGCAAAGGGCTTCGCTTGATTGGGTTCAAGCCGCGTTCCATGCTGCCATCGTGGGCCTCGGTAAAGAAGTCCATCTTCATATTTCCCAGCGAGGAGCACTATGTGGGGTCCACCCGCGTGTTCTCTGCTCTGTGGCAGAAGCTGCTCGCCTCTGACAGGGTCGGCATCGCGTGGTTCATTGCCCGCGAGAACGCGAATCCCATCATGGTGGCCATGATCCCGTCCAGAACGCCGGACGAAGAAATGTCGGAGACGCCGTATCTCCCAGCCGGGCTCTGGCTGTACCCTCTGCCGTTCGCGGACGACTTGAGAGACGTGGAACTATCGGCACCACCCCGTTCTGCCGACGAACTGACGGACAAAATGCGTGAGATTGTGCAGAATCTCCAGCTGCCAAGAGCCATGTACAACCCGCTCAAGTACCCCAACCCGTCTCTACAATGGCACTACAAGGTTTTGCAGGCCATGGCGCTCGACGAGGACGTCCCCGAGGCCCTGGACGACGCAACGATTCCCAAGTACAAGCAGATCGACAAGCGAGTCGGCGGGTACCTTAGCGAGTGGAAGGAGGCGCTCGCCGAAAAGGCCAGATCCCTCATGAAGAGCAGGGCCATGAAGCGGGAGGCAGAGGATGATGACGAGGAGGACGGGGGACGGCCGGCGGCGAAGCGTGCTAAGCCCGTCGCGAAGGCCGCAGGCGGTCCGATGAGCAACGCCCAGCTCAAGACTGCGTTTGAGAAGGACACGCTCAAGAAGATGACGGTTGCTCAGCTCAAGGACGTGCTGACTAGCAAGGGCGTCAGTGCGGTGGGTAAGAAGGCCGAGTTGATTGAAAAGGTGGAGCAGTGGATTGAGGAGAACGTGTAATGGGGAGGTGCTTTTGGGATGTGGGTTTCGTTCGGAGGGCCTCGGGGGCAATGGAGTTCTAGGCGTGTTCTATCCTGGGCCACTTTAGCAGGACGAAATGTACCAATGTACTCTGTACAATTCCGTCGTGATGTGTCTGGACAATGAGGGCATCATAGTCGCAAGCTTTGCGCTTGGTCTACCACATACGACCATCCCTACTAGAAAACTGGGGATCGTGTTGGAAAGCCAACAGCCACGAATTTACCGTACCGAAATGATTGGGTACCGAAATAATTGGGCACAAGAAGATGTGTAACCACTCAATTGATGATCATGCTGCTGTCTCCCTTGTTCCAAAAGTTACCCCGTCTCCTCCTGTTCCTGAGAATCGTAGTGCTAAGCTATTAGTCACCACCGAACTGCCCTCCATAATTACCTGCCAAATCTAACATACCCTCTTAGCCGAGCCAGCGCGATATCTGCGCTAGGGGCCTTGGAATAACCACTACGAATGCCCTCCACTGTTTATATCCCTCTTATGCCTCTGCTTCCAGTTTCTCCTTTTCTTCTATTTCCCTATACTCTGCGAGCCTCTTGCTTATATTAACCAAGCCTATCTGCTCCCTGAAACTGACAAACTACTCCTGAGCAAGTGCCTTCGTTAGGCCATCTGCCATTATCTCTACGCTCTTTATGTATGTGATGTTTATTCTGCTATTCGTATACCCCTAGCGCAACCAGTAGCTATGGATATCTATATATCTGAGGCTGGTTTTAAGCTTCGCGATCTCCTCCGTGACTAGCCGGATAGTCTATATATTGTCGACTTCGATAACTAGGCACTGCGAGTCCAGCGATACCCTAACTCCTTCAATAGGCGAGAAATGAAGAGTCTGTAAGGTGACACACATAGGCTCACCAAGGAAGATGCACCGAATCCGCAGCGAGAAACAGGCAAGACGACTGTATTGTGCGTGCATCACTTGACTAACTAACTGATCCTTGAGAGAGGGAAGTTCCAAGTTCCAATCTGAGCCTCCCGCTCTCCAGATATCCTCCCTCTGTTGCGAGTCATGTCGCTTCGCCATGAAATCCACAGTGTCTCGCCCACCAATTGCCCAAGTGTAGGGCTCATAGGGGGGGCCGTGACAATTAACTGTTTTAGGCCGCTAAAACAGGCGTATAGTCGGCAAATCGAGGACTTAATGCGTATGCATATCAACTACGTAAGCAATCTCGAGTTCCTCTATACCTTCTGCGGGCCTATTTTACCTCTATACCAAAGAGGAATATTCAGGACAGCTTTGTAGAGGCTAGTCTTATACTATACGACCTAGAAAGAGTACTTTCCAAGCTAGATGTCAAGCTTCGTACACTAACACCCCCGAATTCACAGCCTAGCACTGCACAACCCTAGGTCTTCCAGATACTATACAACTCCCACAAGCCGGGTTGCAGTCATGTCACGGATTGTGACGGGCACCACCCAAGGTCTGGTCAGCTCGCACATACAAGATCGATATTGCTACAACGAGAGCAAGAGCTAAATGACAGGAATGGGCGTGCAACCAGACCTTAAGTACTTGTCACGGGATTCCCCGTTCCTGTTCTCAAGGTTATGTCATATGCTTGCGGTTATGCATACGTCATGGGGTCTGATCATACGTCTATGGTCATGCTTACGCATAGGCCTCTGCTCCAGTACTTAAGGTCTGGTGGCACGCCCATTCCTGTCATCTAGCTCTTGCTCTCGTTGTAGCAATATCGATCTTGTATGTGCGAGCTGACCAGACCTTGGGTGGTGCCCGTCACAGTACTGGAGCAGACGCCTATGCGTAAGCATGACCATAGACGTATGATCAGACCCCATGACGTATGCATAACCGCAAGCATAAGACATAACCATGACAACAGGAACGGGGAATCCCGTGACACGGATATGGCCGCATGCAGACCCGGAGGGGCGCGAAGGGAGCGTCCTGAGCTAATCATCTAGGACATGGTATAGCCAATTACGAAGGGAGCGCGAAGTCCTGTCTTCGCTCCACCTGGAAGCGATGGGAGCGTTGAGCGCTCCCAGTGCTCCCCAAAGACAATGGGAGAAGGAGGTGTATATAGTCTACGATCTTTAGGCCTACGGGTATCGATAGCTTCCTCAGTAAGCAATACAAGCAGTTAGCTACACCTACTATTGAGACATTTGCTTGTGCACTTGTTGTGAACCTTTTGGCTTCACCGAACCGAACCTCGTTAATAAGTTATAACCTTCAGGAGTCCCTTTCAGAAGTTGAGGCTTCGAGATTCGTCACAACTCAATGCTCATCAAGACTCGTATTACCAATCATTAAAATAGTTGCTCAACTTCGATATTGGCTGCTGTAGACTAAGTTACTAAGGGTACAATGGATATGATGCACTAGGTGGCTCTCCTTCATGCAGAGAACGCTTCGCTCTATAAGGTCAATGAAGCCTTAAGCAAGCGCCAGAGACCAAAAAAAATACGTGTACAGTCAAGAGGATCACTTACTAGTGTTGGAAGACCAACAGCCCCGATTCCACGATAATATGCTTTATGGGAGCCTTTTAAACAGTGAACTTTTCGAGTGCTTAGGACTAGCCCAGAATTATCAATTGAGTTCTTTCTTCCTCAAGTTACCTGGGTATCTCCTAGACCTTATGTAACAGCCGTGTATTACCTCTGACCAGGGTACGACACCGGCAACCCAGTTGCCGAGTTTCAAGTGCCATTACTTCCAATAACTAGATAGGAGGCATAAGAGGCAGTAAGCCAAGGCGCTATAGGTAAAGAGGCAATGTAAGAAATATAGCCGGATAGAAGTAGTGCAAGAGGGGTCATACGAAGGTTCACTGCTATAATATATGCTGCAAGTCTTGCTATAATGCCCGCACCTGCTAGAAGAGTGCAGAATTATCTGATTCAACTGCTTCTGATATAATTATAATTAGTTCCTAGTAGTATTATATTATAATTGAAGATAGTGTTCGCAGAGTAGTAGAAAAGTGTCACGGCGATTGCGCCGTGCCTGCTAGGACCCACGGGTGGAACCCGGCATGTGGAAA